TATCAACTCGTGTTGATATATTTGATATCAAAAGGCACTCGGGTGAGATTCTCTATTTATCATATTTATCATGAAGGAAAAACCTCAAAATGATTTAATCATACGAAAATGTCCGAATGTCTCTGCAGAATCCCTGTATTATTGCAATAAGACGATCCATGAGCCTTAAAAACGTGGTAGTTAAGAAGATGTCACCAGTTTCGCGAACATTTAGTTTGATCTTTGTGTAGCTACACAAATAGTGAGTGGTATTTTTAAATAATTGCTTCCCTTTTAGTGGAATTGTTTCCTTTCCCCTGACATTGAATGCTCCAGGCAATTATAGTTTTAGGTTTGTCAGTTTACCAATACAGTGTTGAAGATTGAACTACACACCAACTCATAAAGCACATGCTTTTGTTTCATGAACTGGTGCTCGGGGCTGAATATGTGATCAAATGTTATCTTGGATATTCAAAATAACCAGCTTGGTCTCACGTTTGGTTGGGAAACAAGTCTGAATGCAGCTATGTCAACGATATGCGCTTTCAGCTTGCACAACCTGATGCACCTCACTCTTAAATAGGTAAGAATATGTTATATTTGGTAGTCCATGGCAATTGGAGCATGCAGAAGATTCTTATAGATGTGGCATCATGTGTATATACACGTGCATACTGTATATGATGAACTATCCTTTGGGTTAAACTTCGTTAACATACAGAAACAACAATATCTAGTGTTTGGAAACACTGATGAATTGCTATGAATATTATGCTTTCATGGAGATTTAAATGACAAATAATCAATATTTGGTGTATTCTTTATGTTTTTCTGTTTGTTTGATGAAGGTGGCTTGTATTAAACGTTATATTACTCTGTGGGATAGTGGATAGTTAGGATTTGAAGGCAGTTGTCCTTTCTTTTCACTGTGAAAGTTACACGAAATGAAGATTCAGGAGCCAGTACCAACCTCGTAAACGGAATCGAGACATTATTTTATTTCGTCTCCTTGGGCCTAATCGGGGCATGGAAGGCCCAGTGGTCTAAGAGAGCGTTGATCGTTCAACATGGTTCTAATTCATGATTCGCTCACATTATGACCTTCAGCAACATATCCGTGTTTATGGGTTACACGAAAGTTGACAACGTTTACTACTGGGCTCCTTCAGACATTCTTTCTATAAGAAGAAACACCGTTATATCATGTTATATGACAGTGTAATTTATTGTTAAACAATGATTGTAACTGTTGAGAGTCAACAGAAGCTCATTGCACTGTATTTGGACAATGTATAAGTTTTTAATATTTAGATGATAGTGTGATGTGTAAACTTCTGGAACAGCGTGGGCTGATGTGGGCTATATAAATTGAGCGGGCGTGTCCCTGTCTCATCTCTCACATTTCATCTGACATTACATCAAGACCAGCCCTGGCCTATCGCGGAAGCTTGACCACTGTCGCTGCTGGGTGAATATGGTATTATCACTGACGTTTGCTATCACCACTGGTTTTTGATTTGATACTGCCCACTGCCATCTTATTTTGTATTCGATACTTCCATTGATACTTCTCACTAAATCCTTTAACGTACTGATTTCTGATTTATCATATTGTTTCAATTTGGGAATCGACACGTAACAATAAATAGTTCGAACTCCCTTTCACAATGGTACCCTTACTCATTCATTCACTCATTCCCTCCCTCACTCTCTCACACCCTCATTTTTTACCCACTCACTTATTGCACACATAAAGTAACATAAATACATTGTATGGGAAACAAGAAGTGTGGACAGATCCATGATATCATCACGGCTATTTCATCCTACTCTTGAAATATTTAGAACACGTGCAATAAAAACAAATATGGTGATAACTTGATATGAGATATCCTAGATATGTCATTAGCTGTAGCTTGGAATGATATATAGCATCAGTAATTGTAAACCTTTCAGGCTGATATTAATTTGTATCGCGTGTTTGTTAATGTTGCATTGCCGTAAATGAAAGTATCTGATTACATTTTCCCTGAAGGCAATTCAACATATTTGTGATTATATTTTCGAGTCAACCTGCCCTTCAGATATGGCCTTATTGTCCATAACATATTAGCTATGACATCGTTTACAAATTGTAAGTTTGATGTCATTTTAGAAACAGCCGAACATTGAAATATGTCACACTGTTAACATGGAACAGATATACAAGCAGTCTACTGCTCATCAGCAAAATGTGTAATACCAGTCTAGTATATGTAATATCGTAACGTAACATTTCAGAAAAAAAGGGATTAAGTATGCAATACTGAGGAATACATATACACAATACATTAACTTCAGGATTCGTGCTTCTTAGCTTCAAACTAGTGTATGCCATATCTCCTGAAACTGTTTCATTCTTCGTTTGAATTACGTTTGTATCTTGATTTTCATTGTCTAGGCCACGTAGCTGAATTGCTTTTGGAAACTGTGAAGCAGAGATTTTAGAAAAAAGAAATATGATCACGTACGTGTTACATTGGGATAACCAAAACCGTGCATGCTGTAGCTGCAATTCTGCCAGAAGAAACCGGCAGCTAGGAAACTTTTTGGTTCTCGTTGTTAGTTTTCATTGCTACCCTGCATCGATGCTAAGAATGCTTGAATCGAGTTATCGGTAGTTCGAGACAAGAAGAGGGCCGGTATATGAATTAAGCATCCTATAAAGTCCTGCAGGTACTGTCACCGTGGGTGTGCGGGAAAGCTCAAAGCAGCAGTCAAAGAAAGTTCGAAGATTAAATAAATTTAGTCATCATACATAATAACATATACAGTACACAAAGAGATAATAATTGTGATTGTATCTCGGGTATTCCAGCGAGTTGTATATTAATTCGTGGTTGTCCGCCTGCAAGTAGTCAGATTTCCAGACAACAAAAATAAAAGCGACAAAACCATTTTTATAATCATAAGAAATACATGTATCTCATGAAATTAGAGTTCACACGTCTACCGGGGCGGTCGGGTAGCCTTGTAGTTAAAGCGTCAGCTGGTCACGCTGAAGACCCGGGTTCGATTCCCGACATGGGTACAATATGTGATCTTGCTAGAATATTGCTAAGAAACGGCGTCAAATCAAACTCACTCACGCGTCTACCATAAAAAAATCTTGAAAGCGTTACTGAAAGCGTAATCCTGTTCTAACAACGTTTGTGCTAGAGTTGTATGATGCTCTTTGTTGGAAATCTTCGAAAAAAGAACATTGCACCTCAAACGTTAGGTCAAAACATCTAATTTTTTTTCTTTACTTATTTATCAGTTAGTTATGTGCATTGTTGTGTTGATACACATAACCCTCACATTTGAGTACTATTGTAGTCGCCACTGTGTAGCATATTTAGGGCACCGAACATTCCCTGACAACATTTGATGACCGTAATTTCAAGCGCGATTTGAGGGCACCGTAAATCCTCTTGCATTTAGAAACTTGAGCATTATGTGTAAAGTGACTGAGGTGAGCTCGAGGTCTGTCACAACTTTTAGCATTATTTTACGGAGGGGAAGCTCAACATGGTAGGAAATATCACAGTCACCATGGTAGGAAAGCCAGCAGTGAAAATGGTCTGAAATCCGACAGTGACCACGGAGGGAATCTGACAGTAAGAGTGCTAGGAAAGCCAACATTGAGAGTGCATGGAAAATCCACAGTCACTATGGTAAGAAAACCCACAGTCACCTTGGTAGGAAAACCGACAGTCACCATGGTAGAAAAGCCGAGAGTCACCATGGTAGGAAAGCCGAGAGTCACCATGGAAGGAAAGCTTAGAGTCACCATGGTAGAAAAGCCGAGAGTCACCATGGTAGGAAAACCGAGAGTCACCATGGTAGAAAAGCCGAGAGTCACCATGGTAGGAAAGCCGAGAGTCACCATGGTAGAAAAGCCGAGAGTCACCATGGTAGGAAAGCCGAGAGTCACCATGGAAGGAAAGCCGAGAGTCACCATGGTAGGAAGGCCGAGGGTCACCATGGTAGAAAAGCCGAGAGTCACCATGGAAGGAAAGCCGAAGGTCACCATGGAACAAAAAGCTGAGTGTCACCATGGTAGGAAAGCCGAGGGTCACCATGGAAGGAAACCGACAGTCACGATGGTAGGAAAACCGACAGTCTATATGGTAGGAAAGTCGACAATCACCATGGTAGAAAAACCCACAGTCACCATGGAAGGAAAGTCGACAGTCACCATGGTAGGGGAGTGACAATAAACCATGTTAGATAAGCTCAGGGCGAAAATACATGTACCATAATCCTGGTGATGGAGAGAGTGAGTGGCGTTTAAGGCCGCTTTGAACAACATTTCCGTATATATCATGGCATGGTAGCTAAAAGTGGGAGGAAAGTAAGAAGTAATGCAGGTCTCCGTGAAACTCAACTCAACTCAACTCTACAATATCTGAACATTCAAGTGGAATATGGAAAGCATTATTTCTTGGAATAAACATATACAATTCGAAATTGTGAAGGAAAAATGTAACTAAGTAAGCCCTTTGCCACAAGTACTAAGTAAAGATGCTCGCTGGCGTGTGATTCATAGCAGGAAGAGTTATATATATAAAGGGATCGATACCCTGTGACGTATAGAAGCAAAGATGACATATGCTGCCTCAGCTGAAAATGATCTTAATTAGCAAATGATTGGGGGATATTCGTCCAGCGCTCAGTACAAATCACCCAAACAAAACATCATCTAGGTATAACCTGACATCCGTGTTTCTTAACTAATGCTTGATCTGGTTGATGACGTATGCATATAACTCACTGAAATTCCTTCAGTAATAAAGACACGAGAATCACTCTGAGACATGACAATGCCACATTTTCCCCTGAACAAATCCATCAATAAGTGGATGTCTCTAATTACGGAGTATTTGGCCTGGGACGGGGAGCGTGGATACTGCCAACTCCACCAGAAGAACCATCGACTATTGATCTTACAGTGAGGAGTCACGACTGCACCATTGCGGTTGAGCTGTATACGACGCCGTTCCCAGTCGTTGTCGTGTATGGCAAGTGTTGGCTGTGCGACAGGGCGGTCCCGTGGGACAACTGCTACCTTTTATAGGTACAGCCCTGACTTGGATGTTTTAACAGTAATGAAACTTTCATCATGCCTAACAAACGGATAAATACGATCTGAAGAATTCTGCAATTATGTGCAACTAGAGAAGCTCAGTTGTATCGACTCGATGATGTTGGCAACTTGCATTATAGTGGATGTGACAGATTGTTTCATGTTAAAGGATTAACATTCATAGTGAATTGTGTTCTGATGGAAACACTCTGGCTGTGCCATAGTGTTGCCATCACCTGTTCAGCTTTCCATGACAGTCAGAAGAGGTCATTTATGTACAATTCCATCAAATGTCATCATCTTCAACTGCATCAAATAGTTCATGCAGTGTGTTGAAGCGTCGATTTGAGATAACTTTAGGTAAGCCTTTCTGTTTTGGCATGTGTTTGACAGGTTACATGATATTACTGAAATATGTAAGCATTAGACAGGTTAACAAGGTCGATCAGTTCATCTTTGTCTTCATCAAACGTCCTATACCTAAGCAGTCGTTATGTATTGATAAAATGATTACGCCAAGCCTGCGTGAAAGCTGGCAAGATGGAAGCGCTTTCAGACAGATTGTGCCACTTATGGCATGTCCATTATAATTGGTTCAGTAAATGTTGTGTACATGTCATTGAATGACGTACATATTTTTTTAAGTAGTACGAGGTTTTTCATAATGTCAATTCTTATCTGGAGACTAAATAATTATAGGAATGAACTAGAAATAAAAACAAATCAGAACCCAAACATCAAGCTCTGGAAATTGAAACATATAGGTATGCACCCATTCTGTGTGCTGTGTTTGCTGCGACTAGCTGTGCCTAAGTAATACCACACAATCAATATGTGGGCTAATCTAGGACTTCGTAATTGGGTTGCTCTTCAGCCTGAGGAGAATTAGGATCAAGTCGCACGTCGACATACCTGCCGACCTACCTGCTTTATGGTAAGTCCTGTTCGTGGCATTGATTCTTGACACGTCCTGATTATGATAGTGAGTGTAAGCAAATGGTGATTATGTCAATGAGTCTTGATATGTCTTGTTTATGTCAGCGAGCCTTGGTAAATCCTGTTTATGTCAATGAGTCAGTGCAATCATGTTTATGTCTGCAAGCCTTGATACGTTCGGTTGATGTCAGTGAGCCTTGATAAGTCTTGTTTATGTCAGATGACCTAGTCCAGTCCAGTTACCTTCACTTCACACCATTCATTTAGTTTTTGGTTTCAACCCCTATCAAAATATGTTTCAGTTAAATCACTCCGCCGCCTGTTAACATATGTTACCAAAACTCCCTTGTGTCTTTTCTTGTGATTCGCCTGAATGAATATGCGGATAGTTTGTGATAGTAAGGCTTGTAGAGCTACTCCTGTCTTTTATGTGAGACATTCCACATCGTTTCTGTCAATACAAAAGAGTCAGAGTAGTCAATATCCCTCTAACGTTAGAGTGTTTTACACTCATAGATAGGAATCCATTGATATGTTTATGTAAAAGTTTCTCCATGCTGTGCATGACAGATCGGTAGATAGATTATCTGGCCGCGTTAACCAAAATACCTTAACAGATGGGACTTTTCACCCTGTCAGCTGCTCAGGGGGACGAAACAAGGCCTGGGAGGCTCGGAGTGCGAATAATGTATCTATTTTAAATTGTGGCATGGTATGTCAATTAGTTAACACTACAGAACCGGCATAAATCCAAACTAGTACACACGCACGCACGCATGCACGCACGCACGCACGCACGCACGCACGCACACACGCGAGAATTAGGTCCTTCTCCTGATGTATATTTCGATAATACACAGTGTGTGGAACAACGATCCACGCCGTCGGGATACGATGACCTGCGCTCAATCAAGACCTCTAGCATGACCACCCGGTCTATGTAATCACCGCGTACCACAAACATGGGTTGGTTGCGACCTGATCAGACCGGGAATGCTCATGGAAGATGTTCTAATTAGGAAGACCGCAAATATACATTCCTTCAAGACAAAATGAACAGAAAACTTGGCTGTATCCAACCAAACTATATACATGTGGTAACCTGTACGTTACCATAGTCGTACTGTGCGGTTGATGATATCTATGTGACAACAGAGCATCTGACAGCAATAATTGTTTTCATTTAAAGAACTGAGTTACATATGCAATGCATGACGATAAATCGAAATAATTCTAATGATTCTTCGGCAAGGACGCGATGTTGTATACCTGAGGAACCTTCACGTCGTCCCTGAAAGAACATTTATATATAAATAAATATATGGATCAAATTGCAAAGCGCGTGTTATCTGAGATATAGGTCATATGTTATCACATTTAACGAGAACCTCTTCCTCTCGGTATACCTTCATGTATTAGATAATGTGTAGCATCTGTAGTTCCGAGTTCTCAATGATAGTATGGCCCCGGATATGCATTCTCGGACCATGTTGAGACGACTACGCAGGCAGAAAATATTGTTTTAGAGCGTCACGATCGATGAAATTGATTTTGTTTCGAGAGACTGGCAAAATAGACGCAGGTGCTATTCAAGCCTGATGCTAAAATTGCAGACTAATAGTGGACCGGTTCGTGTATTGAATACCTGTGGCACCAGGAGCCACATTTCGGCTCAAATGTTGCTTTTGCTTTGTACAGAAAAATAACAAACTTTATCCCTGCACGTACTCGCGAACATCATACCTCCTGTCTCGGAAACAGAACCGCTGACCCAGACTAATATTTCACTTAAATGAATGATTTAACCTTGTGTTAATCCAGACACAAATGATTCATTAATGCAGTTGGGCTTCTTAGTGTTAAATCCTCATACCCAAGACCCGGATTTGATTCCCTACATATGTACGAGATGTTAAACCCTTTTCTCCTATCTCCACTGTTGATAATGATGTAATATTGCTAAATAAGGCGTGCAACCGCACTCGCATCTAGTGACATGTCAATCCGGTCGAGGTCACTTGGAATGTTACGTTGGTATGTACGGGTAAGGACTGTTCAGACAAGGTACGGTCAGAGTTGCCAAATGGTGTATGCTTGTTTGTGCAATTGAGCATTGCGACCGAGGCGGGGCGGTGGGGTAGCCTAGTGGTTAAAGCGTTCGCTCGTCACGCCGAAGACCCGGGTTCGATTCCCCAAATGGGTAAAATGTGTGAAGCCCATTTCTTGTGTCCTCCGCCGTGATATTGCTGGAATATTGCTAAAAGCGGCGTAAAACCATACTCACTCACTCATTGCGACCGAGGCAATCTTTGTTGTCATTTATATATTTGTTCAAAATTCAAATCTAATTGTTCATATGTTCTTATTGTTGAGCTTGAGGAGTTCAGGATAAAACATTGTTCTATCATAACGTCATTTCTGGATATTCGAATATGCCATCGCAACTTGATGGCGTCGTAAATTGGACGACGTTAATGTTGAGAGGGAAGGGTCTAGTGAGTCGGTCCCCGTATATGGAGATGGAGCTGGGCAACGTAGATATAACGCAATGGTCGAACGATCGTATCCAAAAGTGGAAGAGATACGAGGGCTTGTCAAGATCTCTAAGACTGACTAACTTTCAACTATGGTCCATAACAAAGTGAACTTGTCAATGTAGTACATTGTTTGAGTAGTCCATTGCAGGTGTATTTGGTCAGTTGAGGTCATTATTATACTAGTGACAGCCAGTTGAACGTGGTAGGGGTCCACCTGGACACAGAATTGGAAAAAAACCGAGTACTGATCGCGACCAGTCATCAAGTTGTTGACCTTAGAGAAAAGTACTCCCCAAGGAAATCATGACGCATGTCACAAGTGTATGGGAAAAAATGCCGAAGCTATTCCACTGTTAAACGTTGGGCAGCTGTGTTTAAAACTTGAGAACAAGCCTTGATGATGAACCTAGGTCCTGACGTCCTTCAACTTCCATCAATGAAGATTCAATCAAGGAGATAGGAAAACCTATCTGTCAGGTAGACGGTTTACCATTGCTGAACTTGTGGAAGACACAAGTCTAAGCCATTGATCCATTGAAACTATTATTTACAGAAGAATGAGATATCTGCTAGTCGGGTGCCAAAGTTTCTAAATTCTGATGTTAAGGAAAAGTGAACTGACATTGCCAGAGAAAAGTTGAGCTAATTGGGGAGGATTTTTCGGGAAATTAAAAGAGATTAGTAACGGGTGATGAAATATGGGTCTACCACTGCGACCCTCGTGGTTTATTTCCCCTCTAGTGTTTTATTGTACGATAAACAACTCCCACTCGTCGTTTATTTCTTAAATGCATGTGTATATTCTAGGCGAACATGTTCTGTAATTTTATTTTAATACTTCCAGTTAGAAACTGCAAGCAGTCACATTATATTTATAGTGCTCTATAAGTACGAAGCCATGGTTGATTTGATTTGCTTTAGGGAGCAAGGCGCTTTTGGAAGCCATACGAGCCGGTATAATACAATAAAGACCACTCGAAACACATCCGAAAATACTTTATCCTAAACCGCAGTCAGGTGGCCATCAAAGTGACAGATTCTTCAGTTAGAACAAATGTTTTTCTCCCTTGAGAACTGCCTTGGAATTGCAGCATATATGAGCTCTAATTCGTTTATTGTGTACGTTTTCAAGAGAAGTGGTGCCACAATGTTATAACAGATACAAATGATGTTGACTGCCGTAAAATATTGAAAGCTGACATTGGATGTCATATATCAATCAGAGTTAAATGACATCATTCAAGCATTAGGATGTTTTTAGTTCTGTGCTCAGGAGCAAATTTCGGCTATAGGCCTTCGATCCATAGAAAAACATATACAGTAGTCTCTGAAATAAGGTTGTGTATAAGGTTAAATATAATAATCCTCTAAGGGAATCTCGAGTATTGATGAACCATCAAATCTCTTAATTTCAGATGATAATGGTGTAGGCTGATAGTGTTGAGAAAGTGATGGAATGGAATGAAAATGGGGGTTTCGTTTATTAAATGTTATTGTATATTTGAAACCAGAGAAGAATGAAACAGATTCTATTGCACGTTAGAAGCAACATATGTAGCGGTAAAAAAAATTGTGCATGGATCAGAGATACTAGGCGGTGATATATGTATGCTGACATGATATCATGGGATGTTAATATTCTATGAAAAAAATGATTCTCATAGATGATATAGATTTTCTATTACTACATGGTTTTACTTTTAACATAATAGGGTAGCAATGCCACAATGCCGTTTAAAAAGAACTAGCATCAGCTATAAAAAGTTTCACCATCAGGTTATAGACCAAGGTCGTTCCTGCATCTCTGGCATATTCGTGTATGTACTGGTAAGAACTCGCAGGCATTTACTTGAAACATGGGTTCGATTTCAGATATGGGTACTAAATGTGAAGTTCACTTTTTGCGCCTCTTTGGCGCACATTGTTTAAGTGAGCTGTGAAGCATATACCTCATTTGCCTTACCTAAAATGCCCAAATATTTCATTTTGAACCGACCGTGTTATGTAGGGGGTATAGATATTAATTTATCGCACATTAGACTCTTAATAACATCAGTAAATCTGCATAAGGTTGTATTGACATTTTGTAACACAAACCCGATCAGTAATTGTGATTAATCAACCACTGTGAGATTTCTTCACACTGTCGTCGTCTGGTTTATTTGTTCACGATATCGTCCAATGGCATATTTGTTCACATTGTCATCAATTGGAATATTTGTTTTCAGCAGCATCCACAATTTTATTTGTACACACTATCATCCACTGATATATTTGTTCCCACTGTCATTCTCTGGTTTATTTTTTTCCCACTGTCATTCACTGATTTATTTGTTTGCACTATCGTCCATAAGTTTATCTGTTTACGCTATCATCCATTAGTTTATTTGAATGCACTTTTATCAATAATTTTGTTTGTTTGCACTATCATCCACTGGTTTATTTGTTCACAATACTTTTTACTGGTTTTATTTGTTTACACTTCCATCCAAAAGATGATTTGTTTAGACTATCATTCAATAAGTTTATTTGTTTACACCATCATTCACTGATTTATCTGTTTACACCATCATCGAAAAGTTTATATGTGTACACTATCATTCATTGGTTTATTTGTTTACGCTATCATCCACAGGTTTATTTGTTCACACTATAATCCACCGTCTTGTTTATATATTGGAATATTTGTTTGCACTATCCTCATCGTCAAGTTTATTTGTTCACACTATCATCCACAAGTTTATTTGTTTACACAATCATCCGCAGATTTATGTGTTCACACTATCATCTGCAGGTTTATATCTTCACACTATCATTCACTTATTTATTTCATCACACTATCATTCACTGGTTTATTTCTTCACACTATCACCCGCAGGTTTATGTGTTCACACTATCATCCGCAGGTTTATTTGTTTACACTATCACCCGCAGGTTTATGTGTTCACACTATCATACACAGGTTTATTTCTTCACACTTTTATTCACAGGTTTATTTGTACACTATCATACACAGGTTTATTTCTTCACACTATAATTCACAGGTTTATTTATTCACACTATCATACACAAGTTTATTTGTTCACACTATCATTCACAGGTTTATGTGTTCATACTATCATCCACAGGTATATTTGTCTACATCAACATTCCCTGGTTTATTTATTTACACTATTATCCGCAGGTGTATTTGTTTACGTTGCCATCAACTGGTTCATTTGTTTACACTATCATCCACCGGCTTGCTTCTTAACGCTACCATCCACTGGATCATTTGCTTGCGCTATCATGCCATGGTTTGTCCTGGAGTTATTGATTCGTACATTTTCTGAAAAGGCAGAGACGCAAACCTACTCACTGAGTCAGAAACAGTCAGAGGACGTACAATCTCATTTATTATGAGCTATACAAAATTAATTAGTTCTGAGTTTTTCTGTCAGCACCCGTTCAGAAGGTGTCGATTTCAAACAAAGCTGTTACCACTGAAGGATTTCTTGGTAGGTCCCTGTGACATTGTAATATGAAACGATATGTGTCGAACAATCAATTTTTAAAATGAATAAAAGAAAAACAGTTACTTGCAATTGATCGATAAAAGTTCACAAGACATGTTTTATGCGTTACTGGTTTACAAAGGAATGAGAATAAAATGTGTAAAAGAAGTTTACATATTCATCATATCAGAAGCATCTTTATCAAGTCAGATGAGGTATGAAACATGAATGTTTAAGCAAATAAATTAACACATGTATGTGAGTGGGTTATACGTAGCTTTCTTCATTATTTCAGTTATATGAGGGCATGTCAAGTTAATATGAGAAGATGGAATATGCGATGGAGCCGCCTCGAGGTGCAGATCTGTATGGTAGTAGCAAATATTCACGAGCATGTGTGTGGTTCTGACAAATCGCAGACGATTATTGGGTAGAATCAGGGATCCTGGCACGACTAGGGGAGGTAACGGATTTCTGTGCCTCAGAGCACAGGGTTGCTCACGTTCCTTTACTCATAGCAATACTGGCCACAGTAGTTAATGATACACACATTAGTACACTGTTATTTCATCAGTGTTCTTTTGACCTATCCCTGGATACTGCCGACACTCAGAGGCAATGGACACAACATTTGTTCAGACTAATATTAGCCACTAGTTTCATCGCGAAACTTTTAAATTTACTGATTTATTAATTTCAGTGAACTGGAGACAAGGTACTTTTAACAAGATCTACCTGAAGTCTGACCTGTTCGGGGCGTTGGAAACCATATGAATAATATTAACCACAAGTTTCATTATAAAATTAAAGTAAAGCTTACTTATCTGAATGTATTTTCAGTGAACTGGTGAAACGACAAGTCAACAGAAGGCACCTGAAGTCGGCCCGACCAGATATCGTATCCAATGCGTCTCCCAAGACACTCTGTTCACTGGACGTCTGTAGAAGCCGAGTCAATCACAAAATCACATGTACAGACCAGAACCAGATCGGTGATATGCATGTGTGCGTCGCGCAGGTGCATTTTGCAGAAATTGGAAAAAAATAGAAATTATTCACGAACGTCTTTAACGTGCTGTGAAAAATCGACAAGACTGATTTTAGCGTGGTGTGTGATGTATTCAGCAAATATGGAATAGCACATTGTTAATGGTTATTTTACCATTTCCATTTCTTTCTTTCATGTGTCCAGAGAGTACCTTTCATATTTGCTTGATGACATATCAATTTGAAAATACATTTTGCCTGAACTGGATACAACGTCTGATGTTTGGATACATGATGAATGGTACACCACCAATGATATTATTGCTCAGCCAGAGTGTGAGGCTTGATGACAACACCGTTGATGATCAAATGTAAACCACCTTTAACATCAATTCACAGTTCTGAGTTTGAATAGCCACCACTAATGATCCAATGTAAACCGATACTGATATCAATGTATTGTCTAGAGTGGGAGATCTGAATACAGCACCGTTGATGATCAAATGTAAAACCACAAATGACACTAGTGTACAAACAGAGCATGAGGTTTATACAGCACATTGATGACAAGAAGTTGACCAACATCACGCTCTGTGAATAGATAAGGTTTCTAGTCAACAAAAACAATTACACTTGTCGACGTAGCATGAGCAACACAGGTGTCACTCACTCAAGGACTCAACCGATATCAGCATTGTTTTCACAAGTGCAATGAAGTTTCTACACAGCTGCCTTCTTCTCTCCGTCCACCTCAACTTCGTCCTGCCTCTTCTTACGTGTGAGTAGTGTTTCCAGTCATTATTATCTCATCCCTTGTGCCTACAGTTATATACCCTTCCTTTTCTAAAAAGCTGTATCCATGCTTGAACAGCTACACCTTAATCTACTATACAAGCAATGCATAAAAAAAGTATTATTGATTTGGGCTTTCAGTTGCAGCGCTGTTATGTCCCCGACACGATGGATAAACTTCTATTTATGGCATCTGTGGGGGTGCAAACGGGAAGTATCCGTGTTATGAACGGTCGCTGTGCCCACACCCCACTGTCCCAAGAATTAATGAAACAGTGCTGTCTATCACAGGGAACACCTTCAATTGTATATACACTACACTGAAAACTCCGTACCGTGAAAACTCATTGGGCCGGGACCCCTTTAATGTAGAGACGTGTAAGGGTACTTATATACACATGTTTTGTTAATCATTTCGCTTGCCGTTTAAAGGCTGTTCAGAGAAGGTAATCTATAACATCTTTAAAGATACAGGGAACTTAAGTATTGATCCGTTCGAGAACATGATTACCACTCAAACCACACTAGCCCACGATGTAGTGTGCTTCAGTTCAAATGTTATTCCAGCTTTGAACATCACACAGTTAATCATTTGTAAACAGCTAACAGATACCACGAATGTTAATATATTCACTCGTTAGAAAACTGCAGTTTTTATTAGATGTTTAATATGAAACACAGATGCACAGTCACTGCATCGATCGCACCAGAAGGACAAGGCTCCATCAGACATAACGATATTGCGTTTGGATGCTACTACACTCATGGGGAACATACGTTCATTCTCATAAAGTTAATGGGTTGTTGGTGCCAATATGTAATCCCACGATCAAGTAGTGATGATGACATTCTGCGCATGAGATGATTAGCAATCGAGATTGAGTATCACATTATGCATAATTCTCATGCTTAAGCTTCAAATGCTTTTTATGCTTAATATTTAGGTTGAAGAAGTTTCTTCATAAATGGATGCAGTAACAAAGTCGTTCTAACGATTGTATTGACAGCGAGTGAGCTGGGATCATTAGGCTTTGAACAGTAGTACAGTCATATCAGGGCGTATCAGCTTGAAGTGTGTGGTCGGGCTGCTGACAACCCAAGGATCATAATCGCGGCGAGCCTGGGATTCAAACTTATTATCGGATCTTGGCACGGCGCCTTATTGCCTTTGACCACAGGTCCACCCGGCTAACGAAACATACAAGATGCGTGCCCAGTAGTAGGCCAGCGATTGGGTGGCAAGTAATTCAGTGTTTTCACCGCGGCACTCTTGACCTCGGTGCGAAGACTCGTATGGACATAATTTAAGGTGCTTCTTGACGTCATAACGTCATGAAGTTCATTCGTCTTGCCAACGCAAGTGTTATTGTCCAAAATAACAAGGATTGTAAGTTCCGTGCTGAGGCGTCGCCCGTGACCTGGAAACGTTGCTCTGTATGTCAATTAGTCAGGTAACTATCTTTATAGTTTTTTCGGGGCGGCCTGGTATTGATGTACTAACCAATATACGTTTCTGTCTCTGTTCAAGACATGCAATGTTTTCTTTTTCTGAAAGAATTTTTCAACAATACATTTTATTCAGGGCACCTAAAGTATCCAGTGACAAAATATTTTCTCCGATGAGGCAAACATATTTTACAATTTTCACTCGCCAGTCTCTCGTAGGCAAGACGTGATTTATAACTATGCGTCGTCGACCTTTACTTAAATAACTATTATCCTTGAATAGAACAGTTGTAATACTTCCGATGATTTCATTAATGATACATTCGCGAACTTCAGGTCAGACACCCTAAATTACCACCTTGTTTAAAACTAAAACCTTGTTTTTATGCATAGGGTAACCTAAGAAATATATATGGCTGGTTTAAGTGAGAATTACAAGCATTGGGTAATGCTGACACAATTAAGGATCATAATAAACAGTGAACAAGGGTTGCAATTCTCTCTGTTGTATCTTAGAAGGAATTACCACCGGTTTTGAAGATGATAAAATTGTTTTCCTTCGGGTGTTATTACACAGTAGATCCATGTAGATCCATGTCTGTTCCATAGTATTGATAATATAACAAGGCACGGGCCAATCGAGGATGCATGTACGGCTAGATTTTTAAACATAATCAAATATGGGCAAGTAGAAAAATAATTATTATGTTTTTTGAGCGACTGAACTCAACTTGCTAGAAGTGCCCATTTGCTAGCGCCTTGTCGCCCTTTGTGGCACTAACAGATGGTCGTCACGATATGGCTGAAATATTGCCGATGTGACGTAAAGCATTAACTCACTCACTCACTAACAGATGGAATGTCTAGCAAGTCAAAGTTTTCTCTGTTTCAGACTACATGACAGAGAGGTGCTCTGAGAATCTGCTTGAGATGGTGGACCGTCCAGTCTCAGCCGGGAGGTTGCGTCTCACGTACGAGAATGAACGATACCGGAAGGACATGGTTTGCACGATGTCCATCCGAGCACCTGCTGACCATCAGCTGATGGTCAGTTTTCTAGACATGGAGATCGAAGGGTTTATGTCGGAGGGGTGTGAGTCGGATTACTTGATGCTCTATGATGGTCCAGATGACAAGAGTCCTTCCATGGATAACCACAAATATGTCGAGCAATATACTCGTAAGTAATTACAGCATGGCCTTTTCCTTGTTAAAAAGGGACCATTGTTCGTTTTAATCGTATAAAGTATCGCTTTTAAAGTATTCATTTTTTCTTCACAATGGATTAAAAACAGCACAAACACATCAGACACATTGTGTTCAATCATGCAACAACATTGGGCATGCACTATAATTTACGTGATGAAAGAATGTTACCAAACGTGTAATAAACATATATTATTTTAGGACTTCCATCGAAAGAAATTAGTTGGACAGGTTTAAACATGTCATGTAAATGAATCTTATTTGTTCAGAATTAAAACATTCAAGGCCTCAGTAATGCTTTCAAAACATTCTATAGTATACATAAGGTAGAGGTGATTTCCAATTTCGATGCATCATTAACAAAGATTGTCCCAGGTGTCCAGCTTTACTGGGCTGAGAAAGTCCAATTAGACTCTGAAAATGTAATTTCGTGTTAGCTAATTGAGCACGGAATTCGTCAAATTTGGGAACAGATCAATTGATACACGAAATCACCATCTGAATTTCAAGCGGGCATAATCATTTCCTGAAACCACCAATAATAAATCTTGTCATAAAAATATAAGATAGCTGTTTGAGTGTGTCACATATTCTGTGAGATGCCACAGGCTCGTGAAGAATATCGCAAGATACAGTATAAGCCTGTTGTTATGCACGAGGTGATGCGGCATTACTTAAATCAGTGCGGAAGAGCTGGGGGAATGGCAACACATGTCGCCTACGGTGCAAATATATACTGAAGTCAGTATCTCGTGTGTCCGCCATGTGCATTGATGACTGTCGTGCAACGTCGATACATGGAATGGATGAGGCGGTTGATGAAGGCCATAGGCACTTGAGCCCACACTCTGAGGAACGCCTGACGCAGTTCAGCTGCAGTTGTCGGCCTTGGTCGGACGTCATTCAGCCGTCATTGAATCTCGTCCCACTGGTGCTCAATGGGATTTAAATCGGGACTGAGGGCAGGCCACTGCATGGTTCTGGTGCCACTCTGCTGGAGGAAGTCTATTGTTGCTCTCGCAGTGTGGGCACGGGCGTTATCATGCTGAAACTTGTGTTTGCGGCGACGTGCCAAATGAGGTATGGCGTGTGGTCTCAAGACTTGATCAATGTACCGAGTTGCTGTGACACCATTGCCTCTCCTTGGACCGTTGTTCTGGAAGTCCACAGGGCTGACCCTCTGTGCAAGACCAATTCCACCCCACACCATGATGCTCGGACCACCCAACGAGTCTCTCTCAACAACACAAGCATCCGAATAACGTTACCCACGGCGTCGATAGATTCTCTCTCTGTCATCTGCTGTTGGGATACAGTAACGGCTCTCGTCTGAGAAGACGACTCTTCTCCACTGCTGGTGGCGCCAATGTTGGTGCTGTGTTGCCCACTGAAGACGGTTCCGGCGATGACGTGGTGTCAGAATGGGTCCTCGGTGTGGCCTGTGACAGTGGAGGTGTCTGCTCGTCAATCGTCGACGCACGGTGTGCGCACTAATGTGTCGCTGGTGTGTCCCAATGGTCTGTCGATCAGTTTCCGCAACAGTAACAAAGCGATCTTGAAGATGCTGTCGCACAATCTGACGATCCTGCCGTCGCATGGCGACCCTTAGTCTTCCACTACGTGGTCGGTCATCTATGGTGTTGGTGGTCTGATACCGTTGCTGGAGCCTGTATATGGTCTTTACGCGGACTTGAGATGCATTGGATACTTGCCGGGTGGTTTGTCCAGCTTGCAATCGTTTTGCAATTTCATTTTTTCCGGACAAGGTAATGTTAAATTTTAGAAACTTGGACAAACATTACCCAGATATTTAAATGACAATTTTCATGCAATGTTACTTGGGGTGACGTTTCTTTTGCGGTTCAGTTTATATAAACAGACGGCTAAAAGAAACTTTACCATATTTTTTAAATCACTCCAGTCTGAAAACTACAAAAGATAGATGATTGAAGTCAAATCTATTGAAAAGATCAAAATCTGAACGAATTGAACATGCAAGGACAGTCACACAGCATTAGATGTTGACATGACAGGTGCCCGAATTAGGGTGGGGTAGCAAAAGCAATGGGAAAATGGCACACACATCTAAAAACGCTTAAGTTCAATGACAGTTCACATAAAATAACGTGTATGTCCAACCCCTGCAATAAGACACGCAAAATCTCTCTCTGATGACGCCATTCTTCTTGGAGGGCCTGGATCAGTTCTGGTTGGTTGGCTGGAGGATTTTGCGTCGTCAATAACTGTCCCCCGTCAGGTATGTTAGCACCAGTTCCTTGAGCTCTGACTCGACAAACCATATGCCCTAAGGCATTCTCAGGAACCGATTCCGGAGATGCAAAGTACGCAAGTACAGGTCTTCATTGGGCGTAGTTGCCCCGGGTGTGACTGTTCTTGGTCTGTCTTATGTCTGCCCAGCCCGTCCGTAACGTTCCAATATGGGCATGGGTGGATCCATCTGTATAATACCCAGGGCCCGCTCGCGTTGTTCGCGTGTCAGTCGTGGTATTTCTTTCGTGGTTTGTGTATCCGTGTGAGTGTCTGACATGCCGTTTGAATATGTATATACCATTATTGCGCGTGTTGTTTCGGCTGCCCAAGCAGCACGTGTTTTACACTTTTTCGTATTTTCTGAAGAGAGCATTGTTGTGTCTGGACGTTTTGCATTGATAAAGAACTTTTTATATATTTACAATTTAATTTTTTACAAGTAAAATTTCTTTTGGCTGTCAATTTACATGCTGTGTAACATTTCTCAATAATGTGACATTGGGGCATACACTTCTGTCCTGTAACATGACTACGTGTATGTTTCAGAGACGCCCCAAACCAATAAATTATGTGGATCTCTCACTCCTAGGGCGACGTTTGTTACCACCGGTGATGTCGTCACGTTAGTGTTCTACAGCGACATGACGATCGAATACAGAGGATTTGACCTCATCTTCACTGCATTCCATACTGGTGAGCGTGTGTTTTGGTGCCATTGCAAGCATCGTGTATGTCTGGTCTGGTACTGATAGTACTGCCGAGAACGAGAACGATCCGTGAAGGATCCGCATCTCGTGCGTTCGACTCATAGATTTTAATCCTTTAAATTACAATTACATGTACAGTTTTACGCCCCATAGCCGTGAAGAATCCGCTTGTGATGTTTTCGAGTCCTTTCGATAATGAACATTCAGAGTTGCATCCCTTAGCAGCGAAAGATCCACTGGTCGTGCGATCGAATCCTTTTAACTACCACCCTTTACAATACAATTCGCTGTGCAATATTATGACCATTAGCTGTACCTGGAAATGTTGATTGTGGGTTCCAATCTAAGGTTCGCTTCAGTTATGACACTGGACCGAGCCAGGATCCTCTGATTATGGTTCTTGGTTTGGTGGCCCTACATTCTACATTGTCAGAATGATAAAATATTGGAACTGCACTCAACCTCGGATAAGTTACTGCTGCGAGAAATCTGAAATATTCCCGACAAAGACATTATAGAACGAGTTGGACCCTTTCAGCTCAAAGTCTCTCCTCCTCAACTTAACAAAACGTCCCCACTCTTATCTGTTTAGAAAATAATATCATTGACACTCTGTGTAGCCTTATGAGCAGCTATTGACCTTCGCACCCAAAAATATTATTATTATTACCAATATGATGCGTTTTAGTATAATAGTGTATCAGTAAATACTGCTTGTCTATAATTTGCCTATATTATGAGATTGAGACCTTTTGTGTTCTAAATATACAGGTTATAGCGGTTACTTACATTAATAGATATATATTATGTTACATTTTGTAATACACAGCCTCTCTGATGTAGGGGACAGATCGAATGTCCGTAGAACGGAAGGTCGGAGGTTCTAAACGCGTCATACCAAAAGACGTCAAAAGATGGTAATTGTTGTTACCTTGGCTGGCGCTCGGTATCAAGGGGATATAACAATGATTCTACCATGAATTTGGAATTTACTCGATTCTGATTGGTCAATCAGAGGCTATTAAATCACAATAAACCCCCTTTGATTGAAACAGCTGGTTTGACGGCCGCATCACCGCGGAAGCTAATATTCATAGAATAGTACTATTTTCAGTCATTGTCGGTAGGCATATTTAAATAATTATATCTACAATTACAGGTTACAAAATGCACAGATGCGGTTACAACAATATTCAAAGGATGTGTGGCAATACATTTCGTGCAGAAAAACACGACAGAAATCAACAAAGGGAATGTATTTACATACTCTACATTGAAAACACAGTATGTTTATCTCCTAATTGGTCGTCTCGGAGTCAGTATTATGTCCCCGAGTGTATGGTCATGTTAAACTGCAGCATGATATCTCACTGGGATATCACTATGAAACCGGTTGTACAAGTACAAGCAGCCACACACAGGCGAACTCTCACATGGATATATTAAAGAAATAGTCATGAACACTACCTTAACCTCCATTTCACCTTACTACATATTGCATTAAATTAATGGTATCAAAATAGTACATGTACACATTGCATTTCGATAAATGAATCATTTCCAACTGGTTAGATTGTTTGTGAAAACTTTCATCAATGCCAAGAGCTTATGGAGGTTTAGATACTCTTGCGGACACAGCTACAGTATTGGTAGTGAATGGAGATACCTCGGATTATAGCTCATAACGTCAGAAACTTAATCGTACAAAGTGTATTTTGGATAAACTAAACTAAACATTTTCTTCATAAAGCTAGAGGTGTTCATTGTCAGAAGGGGGCACGGGTAGCGCAGTCGTCAGAGACTCCGAAATTCGCGCTTCGTCGTGTAGGCGTGCCATAAACCCTTCGTCAGAAGTTCGGATCCCGTCTACAACCAACATCACGTCGGGTTATCCTAAGACTGACACGCTGTAGAATATCTGAAATACTGTTCCAAACAGCTTTAAACCACACTCACTCGCTTATTTTCAATATGTTTCATTCAATTATGTTTCGGATATCGGTATGTGACATGATATCGATGTTAACTTTGGATACTGTAACTGTGTGCCAATTTACGTCATCGGTACATCGACGGTAACATATTTATATTGAAAGCAATCGTTACGTCCCCCGATATATAACTTTGTAACGCTAGTTTCTCAAAACCTTTTAAGGCAAATGTGAGACAACCGAGTTCAGATGTAACAACAAACGTTGCATCAACGCCAGTCTCCATTGCGACGACTACAATAACTGTGGCGACGACAGCGACTGGTGCGGCCCCAGCAACATCCTCATGTACTTCGTCATCTTCATCTGTGTCGCAGTCTTCATCCTTCTCGTTACGTCAGTCATCAGATGTGCATGTCAAGAAAAGGCGCGCAAGTTTCCAAAGGTAGTATTTCACGTGCAGGTCTGTTTGTTGTTTAAGGCCGCAACTCTCCAGCTGTATGAGCTGTAAATAATGGGGTCTGGACCAGACAATCCAGCGATTGACAACATGAACATCACTCCACAATTTCGGGGTACGAATACACGCAAGTCACTGAGGCCTACCACCCAATTCTTTTAAGTGGCTTCTTACGACCAGCATAGGTTGCTGTTGACCGGGAATCTCCACGGACTCGATAACTTACTGGCCGCCGTCATACTCGTGTAGCTGGAATATTGTTCAGTGCGTTAAACAACACACACACACACACACACACACACACACACACACACACACACACACACACACACACACACACACACACCAAACCACACACACACACACACACACACACACACACACACACACACACACACACACACACACACACACACACACTGTGTATATACTACTGAATTTCTCTAACATTTACAAAATAAGAACGACATATGTACATGCTTTTTTTGACACAGCAATATCGTAGTGAAATAGGTCCGGGGTTCGATCCCCGACCGCGTCGGGCCAAAAGACGTTAAAAGAGGGTACTTGTTGTTACCCTGTTTGGCCCTCGGCATTAAGAGTCTAAAACAAGGACTGGTCGGCTCGGAGTCAGTATACTGTGTCTGAGTGGGGTATTCATGTTAAACTGCGGCATGGTATCTCAGTGAGCTAGCACTATAAATCGGCATCAGTCCGGACAAACACACACACGTACATTCACGTCGCTATTTAAGTGCAATAATCTTTGACGCGACGTTAAACCCCATTTCACCTCACCTCACCTCACCTCACCTCACCTCACCTCACCTCACCTTACCGTAGTGAAACAAATTACACAGAAAAATAAATTGCTCATTTAACGTAAAAATGTTAACTCTACTACAACTAAAGTCCTGATTGCTTTCAAACGTTACTAAACACCAGCATAACATCTCAAACGTACAAAACATACTTGCATACAAATCGACTTAACAAAGTAGTAAGAATCGTTTTACACTAAGGGACACGCGATGACGTTGCAATATGTGTGCATCATTCAGAATCTGCACTCGGCTCACCTCAGTCCCAAAGGTAATCTCGACCAGCAATTGGGAGGAAGACATATTGGAACTGGATTTACTCGTTAACTACCTCACGTGACTATCACATTACACAACACAATCTGGGGGCTGTTGCGAACATTATATAAACGATGCTCGATATCAAACTGTCTAGCTCATGAATATTAGACATATTTATTTCTCGAAAACAGGGCGGCATGTTGTATGACCCTTACGACTATGGTCGTTAGTCGATTTTCAATGAAACCATCCAATATCTCAATTTCACTGTTGCTGGGGGTATAATGAAGGTAAGGGGAAAAGCGGACTGGATACATATTTCAGATTCTATTCGGAATATATCATTGCACAGGTTTCGTGGCGTTCATTTATTGCCACGATTGCATGAGGGCGTTTTTTTTAAGTAGAATATTGGGATAAAATAATACAAAGATTTGCCCTGTATAATCTTGGAATATTCGCATATTCCAAGATGGTTAAAAAAATCTTAAGATTTGCTCGCCTCTATAAATGCCTTTGCTGGGACACTATCAGTGATTGGACCCTACACCTGCCGCAACACGCTCGACAAGTAGCCGAAAATGACCTATCCCTTTCAACACAAGCAGTTCGTCCAGTCAGTTAGTAGTAGTAGTAGTAGGAGTAGTAGTAGTAGTAGTAGTAGTAGTAGTAGTAGTAGTAGTAGTAGTAGCCTTTCTAAGAAATGCAGTAAGCAAGGCCGTAAGGGGTAACACAATGTATCTGTGATCCGACTGACTAACAGTAAAAGAATAAGCTGCAATAATTCTTGTAAAAATTGTCATGTTGTATGTCTGTTAGATAATGTTAATTGGGCGCCTTGTATGACAATGCGATTTCAGCGAATATTTCATAGTTTGTTTATCTATACTGCGTGTGGGCTTGTCATATTAATTGTTTATCATCTTGACAGTGGAAAATACGCTGGAAATGTAACATGTTTACGAAATAGTTTCTCACCCTGGAATTTGTTTTGCCCTGTTGGCGAGAACCCAGTTTATACGCGAACCTCATCTTACCGTTAGGAAAGTAGATCCGTATAGAGGGTCATCAAAGTGTCGGTTCCTTGATCTTCCCACGAAAGGCATAGTCTAAGTTATCGGGGTTCTACTGTAACAGAATGTTATCAATGTACATAAAATTATACAACATGCAGTGGCATCGCGTGTCTTGGTGTTTTTTTTCATAAAGGTGATATCGTGTGCATTTTTAACTTTTAAAATCAAAATAATAATTGTAAAGACTTTTGATACTATCAACTGTAATGGTGCAAACAATGATGTATGTTATTATATAAGTATGATAAAACTGCGTTTGCCAAAACTTCATGCTGCTAACATTTATAGATAGTGTACGTACTTCAGCTTGACACCAGACTAAATGGACAAATTGCTTGCTGTCAAATTATCAGATTCCCAACCAGACCACCAAATAGAGATGCAGCGGAGACAAATGGCAAGGCTTTGTTGTAATTATTGTGGAGAAGGAGTTATTTCAGGACACTAAAGCTGGCTTTGACCCACGGAACGTAAGTCAGTCAAATTAGTCTGCTTTCCCGAACAACGGCACTTGTTTCCAAGTAGCTGATATGCTGTCTGTATCAAGTAAGAGAATATCTGCAAGTGTGAGGCGTCCTCTCTTACATCAAACGAAGTACAAAATTAAATTGCCAATATCAATTTTCGACCCTGTCACTTTATTAAATGTGTTGTAACATCTTACAAATATGCAGTGACGTGTGATAACTCCCCAACTATTATAATTGTATTGTAGTGGGTAAAACATTGTTGCGACACACTTGCAACAACTGTAATACTGATAATAGCCTTGAGATGTAGAACCCAAGCCTTCCAACTGTGAAACCTTTTTAATCCTTTTGTGTCATGATTACCGTCTCATTAGGACCATCTAAAAAAGTAATGAAAATCACCCACTATTTCCTAGATTCTGTAGATTACTGGGGTTGTTGCTAGTTGGGCAAGATTTATGTATAATCATACACATCAATCATCGTTTACAAACATGTCTCTTTAAACATTGATTCCGTGAGTTGAATAACTCTAAAAATATCCCTTTTTGGAAAACTCGACTAAGGATCGGGTGGTGAAACTCGGTGACTTTGTTGATTGCATGTCATCATACCCGACGAAGCTCATAATATCAATCACTGGTCTGTCTGGTCCTGGTTCATATATATTACACATGTGTAGGTGGAGTGTTGGTGGCTGCGGCGTTGAACAACAAACAATGATTTAAATGTATCGACAAGTCAACCATCCCATGCTCTAGGTTAACATCGGAAGCCTGGACTACAGGATCTGCCCTCCCACAATAAGTTGACACGAAGTGTAACTGCAATATTGTTAAAAAGGCTTTCAACCCAATCATGCCATGGATTTGGGAAATATTCAGATGTTTCTGTCACACTAACGAACTCTGAATGAAACAGCCGATTCTAGAGCCGGATCACCGCGGAAGCTAATATTGATATTTGTACTTCTTTCTCAATTATTGTCGGTAGGCGTTATAATTCTCACATATATATACATATAGTACTATGCGTTACAAAATGCGGAGCTGTGGTTACAGCAATAAAACAATATGTTTGGCAATACATAAGAATCGACAAAGAGAGTGTATTTCAAGTACTAAACACACTAGAACTTGAAACTTTTTTTCTGCACCAACTTGACAGTACGCGTTCGGTGCCAAAATCAACCTACCTTGGTTTAATCAACAATTTACCTAGCTCTTCATTGACAACACAGCATGTTTATCTTACAACTCATTCACTTACAGTTTAACCCTCCCATTCCTTTCTTCTTGCAGAGCAGTTCATCGGGGGCTGACAATGACCTCATCACGACCAGTACGGGCATGCGCGTGTCCTCCTTCCGGGGCTTCTCAGGACGGGGGTCATCAATCAGTTTGAATTTGTCGTCAGAGCCTCTTGCCCAGCAGGAACCGCTCCTGAATGAAAGTCAAAGTAGTGTTTGACCCACACGGACCTGTTCTTGATTGGGATGGTTATTCTGCTGTGCTTTGTGGAAATTATAATGTAACAAAAACAACAGAAAAACAGAACACAAATATTCCTTGGGTGGCACTCCCTTCTGGGTGAAGCTATCAGAAATGACTTGGTGTATGGAATATATGCCATACTGATCTTTATTGGTTACATTTGATATTTGCCGCTCAATCAGTACACATACTGCCTGACTTGACGGGGCAAATCTTATGTGTGATCGATGAATCCATAAATGTAGTTATGATGTTATTGTTTTGAAGATGTCAGTTGAGTATGCAGTTCTCAAAACGGGGACACCAAGTGGTGCTGTGTATACACGTTCAGAACAAGCCCTCTACTTAGCATAAATTTAACTTACATATATGAAACATCAAATGAAAAAATATCCCACATGAATAAGCGATACTTAGTGTTTGTGTGTTCTACGAATGAGAAAACAAAATGTGAAGCCAGAAAAGGAATGGGTGAAATTATTATCAATATTTTATTGAGTATTATAATTGTTGTTTCATGTTGATTGGCAGGTTCGATCTATTTCTTCCATTGTTTTCACTGAATCCACTGTACATTCCACTCCGAGGGACCACTGATCCTTGGAAGGACACCATACCGAGTCTATACACAGTGTATATATAATTCTTGGGACATACAAGGAACTGACGCAATCTTACAGAAATTGAATTGGTTTTAAGTGGATTAACGAATACTGTGTACGGAGGAGGAGTTTCTTGACTGATGGGTTTTCACAGTAATCTGCGCACCTTTATCAGTAAGCTTTACAAAAAATTATTATAAATACACATAAGTAATTGTGAAGTTGTGTTTGGGAACGAATATTAAATATTCTTAGATATTTGTTAAAGACAAGATATATCCACATAGACATTAGTTAAGCACCACACGTGTATTCTCTGACTGAGCAACTTTATTTAACTAGTGCATGAAATGTGTAAAATATTGTCATACCAAAAAATGATTTAGTGAAAAGAAAGGATTAACGAGGAACATGGCCAAGATTACCATGAAAAAATGTGTTTTTTTAGATGTTACAGATTTGGAAAATGACTTAATTTCAACCAAAAACGGTTCACGGAATTGAAGAACAATGTCCTGCAAGTCCAAATATTACTCTAAAACTGAAACGTCTCAAGCGATAAACCTAGTTTATGGATTTAACCTGGTTTCACTGTATCAATTTTACACCATCAAATATATCAACACTTGTCGATAAACGTTTAAACTCCGAGGCTTGCCAAGGACGTTTAAAGTTTTTTCGATGAGTGTTGGTGTATTTGATGGTCAAAGAGACTGGGGTGAGAAAAGGAACGTCATTTGATTATGACGTCATGCTAACCGATGAAGTCACAATGATCTGAAAAGCATTGTGATGCAATTTCATTGCAGCAATATGTTTTTGTTGGACAAGCCGTAAAATTGAAAGAGTTAGTCTCGACAGTGCCTGGCTTTTTTCGACAGTATATATTCAAATGTAAAATAAAAATTAATTGAACTTGTGTACATCTTGTTAATGGCATTTAATACAATTGGATGTTTTTCACAACATTTAGATGAATTTCATGCGGAATATTTAGCCTTGTGTATTCATCTGATTCAGTCAGTCGGTCCAAATGTTCAACTTAACACCGTATATGTATTATCTAAGCGCACCGTAAATCATCTTGCATTTAGAAACTTTAGCATTATGTTTAAAGTGACCGAGGTGCTGACACAGCTTTGAGCAATATTTTACGACGGGAAAGCTCAACATGGCAGGAAGTACCACAGCCACTATGTTAGGAAAACCCACAGTCATCATGGTAGGAAAACCCACAGTCACCATGCTTTGACAGCCCTCGGTCTCCATGGTAGAAAAGCCGACAGTCACCATGGTAAGAAAGCCGACAGTCACCATGGTAGGAAAGTCGACAGTCACCATGGTGGGAAAGCGACATTCACCATGGTAGGAAAGCCCTCAGTCACCATGGTAGGATTGTCGACAGTCACCATGGTATGAAAACCGACAGTCACCATGGTAGGACAACCGACAATCACCATGGTAGGACAACCTACAATCACCATTGTAGGACAAGCGACAATTACCATGGTAGGACAACCGACAATCACCATGGTAGGACAACCGACAGTCACCACGGTAGGAAAGCGACATTCACCATGGTAGGAAAGCCCTCAGTCACCACGGTAGGAAAACCGACAGTCACCATGGTAGGACAACAGAGTAAAAAAATACATGTACCATAATCCTGGTGATGGAGAGAGAGAGAGAGAGAGAGAGAGAGAGAGAGAGAGAGAGAGAGAGAGAGAGAGAGAGAGAGAGAGAGAGTGGCGTTTAATGCAGCTTTGAACAACATTTCCGTATATATCATGGCATGTTAAGAGTGGAAGGAAATTAAGAAGTAATGCAACGTTAGAACATGCACGAGGATATGGAGGGCATTTTTTCTTGGAATACACATATACAATCCGAAATTGTAAAGTTAAACTGAAATTGAGTTGACACTTTGCCACAGTTATTAAGCATAGATGCTCTCTGACATGTGACTCATAGCAGCACGAGTTATATATAAAGGATCGATACCCCTTGACGCATACAAGCAATGATGACATATGCTGCCTCAGCTGAAGGTGATCAAAATTAGCAAATGATAGGGGATATCCGTCCAGTGCTCCGTACAAATCTCCCCAACAAGTCATCATCTGGGCATAGCTTGACATACATGTTTCTTAACATATGCTTGATCTGGTTGATGGCGTATGCATATAACACACTGATTTACATTCAGTAATAAAGACATGAAAATCTCTTTGAGACATGACAATGTCAACCTCTTCCCTGAACAAATCCATCAATAAGTGGATGTCTCTAATTACCGAGTATTTGGCCTGGGACGGGGAGCATGGATACTGCCAATTCCACCAGAAGAATCATCGAGTATTGATCATACAGTGAAGAACCACGACTGCACCATATCGGTTGGGCTGTACACGACGCCGTTCTCACTTGTCGTCTATAGCGTGGGCTGTGCGACAGGGCGGTCCCGTGGGACAACTGCTACCTTTTATAGGTACACCCCTGACTTGGATGTTTTAACAGTTATGAAAATTTGATGATGCCTTACAAACGGATAAATACAATCTGACGAATTCTGCAATTATGTGCAAGTCGAGAAGCTCAGTTGTGTGGAATCGATGATGTTGGCAACTTGCATTATGGTGGATGTGACAGATTGTTTCATGTTAAAGGATTAACACTCATAGTGAATTGTGTTCTGATGTTAACGCTGTGGATATGCCATGATGTTGTCAGCAAAGGTAATTTGTGTACAACTTCCACTTCATTAAATAATCCATACATCGTGTTTAATAATCCATACATTTACATTGTTACATGTAAGTACTGAAATAGTCGACCATTAAGTTGGTTGACAAAGCCAATCGGGTTATCTCTCTCTTTATCAAACGTCTTTTACCTGAGTAGTCATTATGCATTGATAAAATGATTACGCCAAGCGTGCGTGAATGCGAAATTTGCTAGCAAGATGGAGGCGCTTTCAGACAGGTTTTGCCACTCATGCAGCAAAATCTGCCTGAAAGCGCTTCCCTCTTACATTACGTTAAATTGTTCTTGGTTCAGTAAATATTCTTTCAGTGGTAAGAAGTTTTTATCTTAATTTCAATGTAATCTGCAAACTAAATGAAGGAATGGACTAGGTATCAAAACAAATCAGAACAAAAACATCAAGCTCTGGAAATTGCAAAAAATATGTATGCAGGCATTCTGTATCCTTTGTATGCTGTGAAAAGCTGTGCCTACAATAATATCACACAATCAATATGTGTGCTAATCTAGGTCTTCGTAATTGAATTGCTCTTCGGGCTGAAGAAATTTGGATCAAGTAGCGCGTTGACACACCTGCCGACTCACCTGCTATAATGGCAAGTGCTGGCATGAAGGGGAAAAAACAAGGACTAGTCGGCTCGGATGTGAATACTGTTCGTTTACACAAATACAAAGTGAATTGGGTATTAATTTTAAGCTGCGGCGTCGTATCTCAACTCGTTAACACTGTTACACCGACATAAGTCCGGATTAGTCTCGGCCGCGTCATACCAAAAGACTTTAAAAGGTGGTACTTGTTTTTACCTTGTCTGACGCTCGGCATTAGGGAATACAACTAGAGGGAATACTAAACGGTGGCAAGGTATCTCAGTGGGAAAGCACTTTAAATCGGCATTAGTCCGAACTAGTACAAGCAGCCACACACACTTACATACATGCTATATAAGTGCAATAATCTTGAACGCGACGTTAATCCCTATTTCTCCCCACCTCACAAACATTGGTTAGTTGGGACTTGATCTAACCCTCAATCCCCACGGGGTATGTTCTAATTAGGAAGACCGAGCATAAACCATTACTGCAAAAGAAAACCAATACATTTTCACATGGTAACCCGGAGGTAATAATCTCAGCAATAATTTTTCCCAGTGAAAGTACCAACAGGGTCACTAAAGCAATGCATAACGAATCGATTAAATTTTCACGTCGACCTTGTTACAATCCTCATACATTGTTGACTAAATAGGTCAAATTGGAAAGATTAAGTTTCTAATATATCTGAGCTATAGGTCATATGTATATCTATATGTATGAGAGTATGTGTAGCTCCGAGTTCACTGACAGTGTGGCCCCGGATATGCATTCTTGGACCATGTTAACAAGAGTTCGCAGGCAGAAAATATAGTCTCAGAGCGTCACGATCGATGAATAGGATTTTGTTTCGAGAGGGCGGCCAATTAGGCGTAGGTGCTAGTCAAGCCTGATTCTCTGATTGCAGACTTTGTACGGAAACAATTAATGGACCTGCTCCTGTATTGATTGCTGTGGCACCAGGGAGCCACATGTCGGCTCAGATGTTTGCATTTGCTCTGTACCGACAAAAAAATACTTTCCCCTTGCGCGTACTTCGCGAACATCATACCTCCTTTCCCGGTAATAGAATCGTTGCTATTGTCATTTCCAGGCTAATATTTGACATTGTGCAATTAAATGATCAGTTAAACCTCGTTAGACCGGATTCTCATAATCCAGACACATTCGATTAGATTGGGCTGCTTAGCGTTCATTCCTCATACCCAAGGCCCGGATGCGATTCCCCACAACTGTTCATGTTGTGAAACGCAGTTCTCGTGTCTCCGGGCTTGATATTGATGTAATATTGCTAAAAGGGACGTGCAACCGCACTCACATCCAGTGAAATGTGAATTTAGACGGGTACACTTGGAATGGTACGTTCGTATATGCGGCTTTGCACTGTACATACAAGATATGGTCAAGAGTTGCCAAAATGGTGTATACTGGCTTGTGCAATTGAGAAATTCCGACAAATAATTGTAACAACTTTGTACAGAATTAAAATCAAACGTTTCATATTTCTTTATTGGTGCCCTTGAGGAGTTTGCATCCCTCTACAACAACACAGTTTCTTACACACAAATAGTTTGTATTCAATACCAACAGGTCAGGTGTGTAATTCCGTTTAAATACGTTCAGCCAGACACTGCAAGCAGTCACATTGTATTTATAGTGCTCTGAAATACGAAGCCACCGTTGATTTGATTTGCTATATGGAGCAAGGCGCCCTTGGAAGCAATACGAACTGGTATAATTGAATAAAGACCCCTCGAAACATCCGAAAATACGTTATCCTTAACAGCTAAGTTGCAAACAACGTGACAGATTCTTTTGTAAAAGCAAATGTTGTTGTCCCCTGAGAGTTGCAACATAAATATGTGTGTTCATTTGTTTGTGGCGTAATTTGTCAAGAAGAGCGTTTCAACAATTTTAGACCGTCTCCGTGTCTTGTGGTAGAGCGTCCGCCCGGAGAGCGGAAGGTCCGGGATTCGATCCCCGGCCAAAAGACGTTAAAAGATGGTACTTGTTGCTACCCTGTCTGGCCCTCGGCAACAAGGAAAGGTCGGCTCGGAGTCAGTGTACTGTCTCTTCAGGAGTGGGGTATTCATGTTAAACTGCGGCTAGCACTATAAATCGGCATCAGCCCGGACTAGTACAAGCAGACACACACACGCACGCACGTCGCTATATAAGTGCAATAATCTTGGACGCGACGTGAAACCCTATTTCACCTCACCTCAACAGATGCAAATGGTGTTGACTGCCTCAAGGAAAAATATTGGAAGCTGATATTGGATGACATATATAATTCAGAATGTAATGTCATCATACAAGCATAAGGATGCTTTTGTTTTGTGTTCACAAGCAAATTGGGGTGCTAGGCCTTCGATCCATAGAAAAGCATATAGTCCCTGAAATATAGTTTATATAAGGTAAAACATAATAACCCTACGAGGGAACCTCGAGTATTGAGGAACCACATGTTTGCTTGTTCACAGTATCATTCACTGTTCATTTGTACACACTATCATCCACTGGTTTGATTGTTTACACTATCATCCACTTGTCGACCAGTTCTTACCTGACCTACTGGTTCTGGTCAGCCAATTGTCTTTTCACCTCACCATCCACTATTTCATTTGTTCTCGTTGGCTTGTCCAGGGCCTAATGATTCGTAGATTTTCCAAAACGCCAGACATGTAAAACATGCTTACCAAGTCAGCAACAGACAGAGAACGTACAAACCAATTTATTATGAGCTATACATAATCCAGATCAGAGGGATCGGTTTCAAACAATGTTGTTACCACTAAAGCATTTCTTGGTAGGTCATTGTGGCAACCTAATATGATACGTTGTCTGACGAGACATCGATTTTTATAATGAGTAAAGACAGCTTGAAAGATTCGTGGGCAAAACTATAGTTTTAGGAAAGAAATGAACAAATATCAGTGAATGGGTCGTTAATGACACACACATCAATAAACAGTTATTTCACCAGTGTTCTGTAAACCTACCCCTGGATACTGCCTGAGGCATTGAGCACCACAAGTTGTTCAAACGAATATTGGCCACTCGTTTCATGGTGAAAATTGTGATGTTTACTGATTATTGTATTTTCAGTGAACTGGTGACATAGTACACTAGATGAGCGCTACCTGAAGTCGGGCCTGTTCGGGGCTATGATAGTCATATGATGTTTAAATCAATATTAGCAAATAGATTCATGAAAAAAAAGTAAATTAATAACACATAGATGAATGTATTTTCAGTGAACTGGTGACAAGGCGCAGTTAACAGAAGCTACCTGAAGTCGGCCAGTCCAGACATCGTGTCCGAGGCGTCTCCCAAAACATTTTGTACATTGGACGAATCACAGAATCCCATGTACAGGGCAGAGACGGAACGATGATATGCACGTGTGCATTTTGCATTTTGCATTTTGCATATTATTAACTTACATACACCACATGACATACGCTGAACCAATGTCCCGGAGGACAGTGCTTCCAAATGTATATTCATACCAGAATGGCAAGTGTCAGTGTTAGTGTCTGTAATGCATAAGCGTTGGCACATGTGTACAGATGTGTAAGGAACAGTGTAACTGTAACATAGATATACCATATAAAGGAAAACAAGGAAAACGAGGATATTTTCGTAATTAATGAACACTATGATAAAGGTTGTCAGCAGTAAAAAAATTGATGACCGAAGCAGGAAATACATCGATATCAGTGTAACAGATATACCCTAGTATGTTTGACGGAAAGTCGTTCACAGAAGTTATATGAATTGATTCCTTGCAGCCTGATTCTGACTAACAACACTCTACACGCGGGCATAATGTCTCACAGCAATGTCCTCTTTAATCTTAATTCATTCAAAGAACGTATTTGTTTGGTACTTTGTGAACAGGATACATCCACGCCGGGGCGGATGTCACCTAATGTATGTTTTTGATTCGATGGCAGTTTAGATCTCCTGACTAATATGTTACTGCCTTGGTTTCCGTGGTGGACAAAAATCGAAACTCTTCACAAATGATGTCTGTGGCGTGCTGTGAAAGCTCGTCAAGAATGCTTTTAGCGTGGGGTTTGATGTATTCAGCAAATATGGAATAGTACATTGATAATGAGTTTTTTTCCCAGTGTGACATTAACACACACTAAATTCATAAAATTCGTGATTCTGTGGAAAATACCTGTGAGAACTGGAGAGTGTTGCCAGTGTTGTTTTGATGAAATGGAATAGTTCCTCGGAGTGACATCTGATATAAGGAGTGAACCATACAGTTAGAACACCAAGGCTGTTTCATGTGTGAAGAGAGTACATTTCATACTTCATGACATAACAGTTTCAAAACACATTTCCTGAAGTGGACACAACGCCTGGTGTTTGAACACAACACCGTCGATGACCAACCATCAGCCACAAATGACATGACCGTCGGTGATCAAATGTAAACCACAATTAACATCACTTTGCAGTTCAGAGTGAATGTTTCAGTAAACAATAATGATCAAATGTTAACCAGTATGGACACCAATGTACAGTGCAGGTGTGAGCCTTTAATTCAGGACCGTCGATGATCAAATGTAAACCAGCATGGACACCAATGTACAGTGCAGGTGTGAGCCTTTAATTCAGGACCGTCGATGACCAAATGAAAACCAGCATGGACACCAATGTACAGTGGAGGTGTGAGGCTTGAATTCAGCACCGTCGATGATCAAATGTAAACCACAAAAGACATCGGAGTACAATCAGAGCGTGAGGTTTAAATACAGCACATTGGTGATGAGAGGTGAACCGACATCAGGGTATGTGAATAGATATGGTTTCCAGTCAGCAAGAACAATTGCACTTGTCGACGTAGCATGAACAAGGAATGTGTTAATCACTCGATGGTTCAACTAATATCAGCATTCTTTTCACTGCAATGAAGTTTCTATACAGCTGCCTTCTTCTCTCCGTCCACCTCAATTTCGTCCTGCCTCTTCTTACGTGTAAGTAGTGTTTCCAGTCATTATTATCTCATCTCTTGTGCCTACAGTAACGTGTCTGACGCCTAAGTTTGCACCAGAAAGTGCTGAATCTGAAATAAAGTACAACTCACGGAGATATACTGAGGGTCACATTGGGGTGTTAAACCGAGTACTAACAAATCCCGACTGGTACAATATGATTGCATTGATGATCTTTGTTTCAAGAAATAATAAAATGTATACAGTCACTGTCGCTCCATGCGAAGTTTTATTTTTGAGTACCTCAAAACCTATGACCTAGTATCGATTAACAGTTGAAAGGACGATGTCAGATAAAAAAACCCAACTAAACCCAACAACAAAACACCAACAAACCTAACAAAGAGAAAAGAGAAAGAAAAATAAACCTATTACAAAATATTTATCAGACATTTTAACTGTTCCATTATCCGTTCTTGTACCCATTAGGTTCCCTTAAGATTGGAGAACATTTGTTTCATTTTCCGTGAAGCACCGTTCTAACACTTTCATTACTGTGCCACGTCCTGACACTTTCATTACTGTGCACCGTCCTAATACTTTCATTACAGTGCACCGTCCTGACACTTTCATTACTGTGCACCGTTTTAACACTTTCATTACTGTGCGCCGTTTTAACAGTTTTATTACTGTGCACCATTTTAACACTTTCATTACTGTGCACCGTCCTGACGCTTTCATTACTGTGCACCGTTTTAACACTTTCATTACTGTGCGCCGTTTTAACAGTTTTATTACTGTGCACCGTCCTAACACTTTCATTACTGTGCACAGTCCTGACACTTTCATTACTGTGCACCGTCCTGACACCTTTGTTACTGTGCACCGTCCTAATACTTTCATTCCTGACACTTTCATTACAGTGCACCGTCCTGACACTTTCATTACTGTGCACCGTCCTGACACTTTCATTACAGTGCACCGTCCTGACACTTTCATTACTGTGCGCCGTATTAATACTTTCATTACAATGCACCGTCCTGACACTTTCATTACTGTGCACCGTCCTGACACTTTCATTACTGTGCGCCGTATTAATACTTTCATTACAGTGCACCGTCCTGACACTTTCATTACTGTGCACCGTCCTGACACTTTCATTACTGTGCGCCGTATTAATACTTTCATTACAGTGCACCGTCCTGACACTTTCATTACTGTGCACCGTCCTGACACTTTCATTACTGTGCGCCGTATTAATACTTTCATTACAGTGCACCGTCCTGACACTTTCATTACTGTGGACCGTCCTTACACTTTCATTACTGTGCACCGTCCTAACACTTTCATTACTGTGGACCGTCCTTGCACTATCATTACTGTGCCCCGTCCTAATACTTTCATTACTGTGCACCGTCCTAACACTTTCATAACTGTGCACCGTCCTAACACATTCATTACTGTGCACCGTCCTGACATTTATATTACTGTGCGTTGTCTTAACACTTTCGTTACTGTGATGTGTGTTTTTGTCATACTGATATATACAGTATATAACAAGGTCGTCGTATCGATGTTTCCATCCTGCTGCGGAATAGACCCGCGCAACTGTTTTTTTTCCATTTATCAACTGAACGGCGCATGTTTCATCAGTAATTTAACACCAAAAGTAATTTGGCTACATGGCTCAATCACACACACAGTCGTTGATTTACAGACACTTGACTCACTAAATATGTTTCAGATCTTGTGCCTCGGTTGTTATTGTTAAATTTACCACACATTGTTACCGTTTGTAAGAGTTAAAGCTGTATTATGGAGGTAAAGAAATAGTCCATTATTGTTATGGATTTTACTGTATTGATATGGGAAAGTGTTCTTGACTGTGGAAAATGCACAACTTACCTCTCCCAATTCCCCGTCTCGCTTTTGAAGCAGTCTACACATTTACACATTCAGATGTTTTATAGCTTATTTGTGAACTGAAGGTGAACGTTGTACAACGTTTTAACAAACTTATTTCGAAAAAGAAATTACAAATGCACCCTTCCTTTTCTGAAAAGCCATGTCATAATCAACTATACAAGCAATGCATAAAAAGTATTTTTGAGTTAGGCTTTCAGTTGTAGTGCTGTTATGTCGCGACACAAAGTATAAATTTCTATATTTGCATCCTTGGGGATGCAAACGGGAAGTATCTGGGTCGTGAACGAACGCTGTGACCACACCCCACTGTCAGAAGACTTCATGAAATATTGTTGTCTTCTGACAGGTAATTATATACTCTATACTGAAAGCTCCGAATAGTGAAACTCTATTGTTATGAGAACCCTTTATTCTGACTTGGTTGTGTGGAGTGTGGGGTGGGTGTGTGTTCGTGTGTGTGTGGGGTGGGGGGTAGGGATGGGGTGGGGGGGGGGGGGGGGGCATATATACATATGTTTTGTTAATCGCTTCGTTAGCTGTTCAGTGGCTGTTCAAAGAGCAAAGGTTATCTTTAACCTCTTAAAGATATAATGAACCAAAGTATCGATCTGCTTGAAGACATAATTACCATTCCCACCACACTATGCCACAATGTAGTGCGCCTCAGTTCAAATGTTATTCCAGCTTTGAACCTCACATCGTGAAGACTGTGTAAACAGCTAACTGTTTGTTTAATCTCCTACGTATTTCAACATGAATCCAGATATGTCGGCTCAAACAGCAAGAATATTGATATATTCTCTCGTTACAACTGCATTTTTTATTAGATGTTTAATATGAAGCAAAGATGCACAGTCACTGCATCGATCGCACCAGAACGACAAGGCTCCATCAGACATTACGATATTGAGTTTGGATGCTGCTACACTCATTGGGGACATACGTTTATTCTCATAAAGTTAATGGGTTGTTGGTGCCAATATGTAATCCCACGATTAAGTAGTGATGATGACATTTTGCGCATGAGATGATTAGCAATCGAGATTGAGGATCACTTTATGCACAATTCTCGTGCTTAAGCTTCAAATAGTTTTTATGCTTTATAGTTAGGTTAAAGAAGTGTCTACACAAATGGTTTGGGTAACAAAGTCGTCCGAACGATTATATTGACACGGTGTGAACTGGGATTAACACACTTTGAAAATTAGCACAGTCCTATCGTGGTGTGTCAGCTTGATGTGTGAGCGTGGGGTGTTGACAAACCAAGGTTTATAATCGCGACGAAGCACTAAATTACTAAATTAAACACTAAATTATGGCCTGTGTAGCGTAATTTGTTATTATGTTTCGGGTAACCAAAATAACTTATATGGTTGTGTTGAGTGAGAATAACAAACATGGGTTGGTGCAGAGAAACAAAGAATCGTAATCCAGATAAGAATGGAAGCAATTATGTCAGTTGCGGGAATACCGCCGTTCTTTTAGAGGACTAAATTGTTTTCTTTGGAGGGCCGTCATACGTTGCTTTCTCCATGTATCTGGTCTAAAGTTTGAATAATAACAGAAGGAAGATAAATACACTGGCCTAGCAATTATGCAGAAACGGCTAGTCTTTATACATAATAACATGTGGGCCAGCAGACAGACATTGCTAGGACTGCTCATTTGCTAGCGCCTAGTCGCAGATGGAACGTCTGGCAAGTCTCTGTTTCAGACTACATGACAGAGAGATGCTCTGAGAATCTGCTTGAGATGGTGGACCTCCCAGTCTCAGCCGGGAGGTTGCGTCTCACGTACGAGAATGAACGATACCGGAAGGACATGGTTTGCAGGATGTCCATCCGGGCACCTGCTGACCATCAGCTGATGGTCAGTTTTCTAGACATGGAGATCGAAGGGTTTATGTCGGAGGGGTGTGAGTCGGATTACTTGATGCTCTATGATGGTCCAGATGACAAGAGTCCTTCCATGGATAACCACAAATATGTCGAGCAATATACTCGTAAGTCTTACGTTGTTGTTGTTGGAGTGAGTGAGTGAGTGAGTGAGTGATTTTTGGACATTCTAGCTGTATCACGAAAGAAACCATTCTTCGTTTGAACTGTTTGCTTTCGTATTAGCTTCCTTCAAAAATAAATAATGTAGCATTGCGGTATGAATATTTTAACAATTAGATTTTCAATTAAATTTTAAATGTTGAAAGAAAGAAAACTTCTCTTTGGTTTATATTATTTAGTATCCTGCTGAGCGGGACGGCTGATGTCATGTGTGTATGTGGCGTCATCCGTTGTTTGAAAAGGTCATTACATTGCAGTGTGACGTCATATAATTCGTACAGTTGTTGGACTACATGTAGAAAGACACCCTTTTGTCTGCTTCTCCACCATGGATAAATACAACAAGACATAAGTAACATAACATCAGCATCAGTACACACGGTGTACAATCATGCAACAATAGTTGGAAGCATTACAGTTTACATTATTAAAAAGTGTTATCAAACGTGACATCAAAAACGAAGCAGACAGGTTTAAGCATCTTATATCAATGATAGTTGGGGTTACAACATGCAAAGCATCAGTAAAGCTTTCAAAAAGTTGTGTGGCCCACTTTTAGAGAATATTTTCAAATTTGACGCATCAGTGACAAAGATGATGCGGAATGCAATTCCCTATTTGGATATGTTCCATATGCTCCATATTGATAAACACATGATTAGATAAACACACATGATTAGAAAAACACACGTGATTAGATAAACACATGCATGTAATGTAGTCGGAAATGTACAAAGAAATGTATAAAGATAATACTCAACGACACTTCACAGCATACTTGACACATATCCTTCCATGTCACGAATGCCAGATGGCCACAGGTGTCTGGCTGTACCGGGCTGAGAAAGTCCAAAAGAATTTCTGAAAATGTAACTTCACGTTTGCTAACTGAACAGGGAATTCGTCAGGTGTGGGAACGGATGTGTGATTTCCTGAAACCATCAATATTAATTTTTTTCAATAAAAAATGTGAAAGCCTTTTTTAGTGCCTGTGTATATGTCCGGAAGAGGTTAGGGTACGGGAGCACACGTAGCTAAGTCGTCTATGGTACCGCCAATACATACATTATATGCAAACTAATTTGTGTATCATTATTCGATGTGGTGACGTTTAGGGATATATTTTTGTTAGCATGACTACGTGTATCTTTCAGAAACGCCCCAAACAAATAGACTATGTGGATCTCTCACTCCTCGGGCGACGTTTGTCACCACCGGCGATGTCGTCACGTTAGTGTTCAACAGCGACATGACGGTCCAATACCGAGGATTTGACCTCATCTTCACTGCATTCCATACTGGTGAGAGTGTGTTTTGGTGCCATTGAAATTATCGTGCACGATTGGTCTGGGTGTAGTGTAGTGATGGCACTGCAGACAAAGACGTCACTTATGGCGCCTTCGCGAGTCCTTTCGATTAGTATCCTTTAAATTACAATTCGATGTGGGCGATCCCGAAACCTGTGGTCATAAGTTTGAACCCCGTCTAAAACCAACATCAATTAGGATTTTCCCAAAACTGACCCTTGTAATATAACTGAAATTCTGTTCCAATACTGTTAAACCAAACTCACTCACACACTTTGTTTCAGTATGTGTTTCATTTTATAAAGTTTCGAATATATCGATAGTCTGACAGGATGATATCGAAATTACCTTTAGACACTAACTTGTAAACACGGTTTTCCTCGGGTCATCGATAATAATAATCTACAGCTTGATCAACTGTTACACCCGTAGACCCCCCTTGAGGATCTGGGTTAGAATTTGGTTTTCAGCGACTCATGCTTGTCGTAAAATGCGACTAACGAGACTCGGTATATGTCGGTCATCGTATGCGCAGATAGATGCTCATGATCTCAGTCACCGGATTGTCTGGTCGAAACCCGATTATTCGGAGACCATCATCAAATAGCTGGAATATTGCTGAGTTTGGCGATATACAACACACACGCAAACAATACACCCCTTAATGTGCATCACTGTAACGCTTGTTTGTCAATACTCTTTAGGCGAATGTGAGACGGCCGAGTTCAGATGTAACAACAAACGTTGCATCAACGCCAGTCTCCATTGTGACGACTACAACAACTGTGGCGACCACAGCGACTGGTGCGGCCCCAGCACCATCCTCATGTACTTCATCATCTTCATCTGTGTCGCAGTATTCATCCTTCTCCTTACGTCAGTCATCAGATGTGCATGGCAAGAAAAAGCGCGCAAGTTTCCAAAGGTAATATTTGTTTGTTGTTCAAGGCCTCACGCAAGTCAATGAAACCATTCAATGTCGCAATTTCACTGTTGCTCGGGGTATAATGCTGGAAAAGGGAAAAGCCGAATTGACACAAATGTCAGAATCTATTCGGAACATATCACTGCACAGGGTTCGGGGCATTCATCTAACGGCCTAATGCCCTTTCTAAAGTACAATATTGGGATACAAGAATATGTAGAGTTGTCCTGTACAATGTTGGAATATTCGCAGAGCTGTGGCTATTCCAATAACAATATGTGTGGAAATACATAAAAATCAACAAAGAGAGTGAATTTTCAGTTTAAGACCTACAAAGAGCTTGAAACGTGACGTTATATCCACATTGACGGTGCGCAAGTTCGGTTCTAAAATCAATTTACCACTGTTCAGTCAACAAGCAATCGAGCTCTACATTGACAACATAGCATGTTATCTGCCTACTCTCTCCCTTACAGTTTTAACTCTTCCGTTCCTTTCTTCTTGCAGAGCAGTTCATCGGGGACTGACAATGACCTCATTACGACCAGTACGGGCATGCGCTTCTCAGGACGGGGGTCATCAAGCAGTTTGAATTTGTCGTCAGAGCCTCTTGCACAGCAGGAACCTCTCCTGAATGAAAGTCAAAGTAGTGTTTGACCCACACGGACCTGTTCTTTGTTGGGAAGGTTAATATGCAATGCAGTGTGGACATCATGCGGCGAGTGGCTCGAGAGGAACTATCAAGACCCATCTCGACTACACTTTTGATGGCACGACGTTTTGGGTGTAGCTTTCATTGCGTGCAGAAAAGACATGGTGTCTGAAATATCCACAACAATGACCTTTATTATTTACATCTAATACTTACTGTTTAATCATTTTCGAGATACACATTATCCCTCTCGTGCCGTGAAGCACCTCTTTTGAATAATCTACGTTGATTGGCTGATGGGAAAGTTCACTTTCTGCGACCCCCTATAAAGAGGTTGTTAGGTCTTCAGGCAGAGAACAATCTTGGAAGAAGATGTGACTTAAATGAGATTGTATCAGGACAAATCATGAATATCAGAAACTATACATGTGTCAAGTCACTTGCTTGCCGTTTGTTCGAGTGACTTCTATGTCCATTTAGGGGGGCAGAAAAGTTCACTCCGTCACATGAAACAAGGTAAAAACCACAGTTTTCCCGTCGTGAAAGATCCTTCCGCAGGTTCACTTAGGTTAACCTTGTTACGACTTTTTTTGTGTAACGATGTTGTTCTTTACATTTCAAACCAGATTAATCGACCTTGGTTAAAGTGGAAACCAGGAATCTATAGGGAGTCCGGATTATATTCGGAACATGGTTGCATTTTTTGGAGGTTCCTGGTCATGTTGGTATATGTAAGTCTGGATCCCCGTGAGTTTCGTGTGAACGAACATGTGTGAACGTGTGTGAACACGAGCGAACAACTCTGGGTTGTTATGGAAGAATTGTGTGTTTCAAGTCAATTTTGTGTGAGATGGTCAAAGAAGCAGGTTTCGTTATATATTGACTGAGTAGTGCTGTCATCTGGAATGACAACGTGATACATAACGCATGACTTAATGGGGCACATCTTTGGTGTGACAGATCAATCAAAGAACGAAATTTGGATGTTTTTGTTTTAGGTGGAGCATGCTATTCTTAAAGTGGAGGTGCTGAATATACACGTCCAGAACAATCCCTCTGTTTGGCATTTGTACAACCTACAGATATCAACACCTCAAATCAAAATATATTCTACAAAAATGACAAATATTCAGTGTCTGTGTGCTCGACGTGTTGTACGGACAGAGAACAATAACTGTGAAACCAAAAAAGGAATGGGTGAAATTGTTTCAAATATATTTTCATTGAGTATTAGAATCTTTGCTCCATGCAGATTGGCAGATTCGATCCATTTCTTCCGTTGTTTTCGCTGGTTGCGAAGAAATCAAAGTCAATAGCAACGTGACGTCATATGCTGCAAAGAATTGAAATTGATTGACTGCGTTGATGTATGCTTGTAAATGTTTCAGAAACAAAGACTCGGGTAATAAACAGAACAGACTCGCAACTCGGGATTACCGATCATCTGCCCATACCCAGGGCTGGGGATTCCCCCGATTAAGTCACTTGGCGGCAGATGTCCGCTTTATTCTAATGCCATGCCACATGCTGGAGAATCCACTGTACATTCCACTGCGAGGGACCACTGATGATAGAAAGAACGTCATACCGTTATATGCACAATGTATACAATGTACACATATACAAGGAACTGACGTTAGTTCAAGCCATCATATAGAAAGAACATTGTACATACGGCACTTACACGTATAACTTCTTTGAGTGGCATTTAGAAGTTGCAGTGATGAAGTAAGACGAGTTCTATGGATGAACAACTTCTTTACTATTGTAATAAAGAAGTTGTTCATCCATAGGACTCGTCTTACTTCACTTACACGTATGTCAAAAACATAACTGAAGAGGGGACTTTGCAATTATAATGCAATTCGGAAACATTTGCAGTCTGTATCTATCTCCTGTACACGACTCGACTGCATGTACATGTGTTATATAGTACAAATATCCAGCACTTAATACCATTGAACGATTACAAATACCGATTTGAATTTTCGAAAGATGTTATTCGCCATAAATATCATGTGTTTACATACACAAATATAAAAACTCAATAACAACATATCAGTATATTTCGTTGAATAAAGACTGGGATTGATATGAAACTGCATAGAATTTTTCAATGGCTACACTGTACCATACACATGCATCTCACATCGATATGTCCCGTAAAAATGCTTGTCGTAAGAGGCGACTAACGGGATCGGGTGTCAGGCTCGCTGACGTGGTTGATGCATGTCATCGTATCCCAGCTGCTTAGATGTCAATCACTGGATTGTCTGGTCCAGACTCGAGTATTTACAGAGCGCCGTCATATAGCTGGAATATTGCTGAGTGTGGCGTGAAACAACAAACATACAAACACATCGATATATGACGTATACAACTATCACTAATAGCGTTATAATGGCAGTTAAGCAGGAAAATAAATGTGACATGCGTTTGTTGTTTTACGCCGCTCGCGGCAATACTCTAGCTTTATCACGGCGGCCAGTAGATAATCAGGCCTGGGCCAGTACAATCAGTGGGTGATAGCATGAGCATCGGTCCGTGTGATGGCATACTATCCCAAGTCAGAAAACATGAAAGCCCGATCCTCATTTTAGTCAAGACAAACAACGAGAGATGTTTGGAAACTGTTCTGTCCGAGAATTCCACAGAAGGACTGTCCTAAATAAGTAGGTTACCACAACTATTATGTTAAGTTACACTGTGACAATGTCATAATCAATAGTCTTAAATGACCAAATGAAAGTAGCTTACATCGGCTTATGCTGACATGCATTGAATCCCAAATAGCTCAGCTGAAATCTTATAATTAACATGATCATTAATGTGCTTCACTGAGTTTTACATTCCTCCAATATTCATCGTACGTTATACGGTACGTTGAAATATTGCTCATATCGACGTAAACCCACACTCACTCTATCTATAAGCAACTGAAACACTTTCAGCAGAAACATCCATAAGAAGATGTGACGAGAATGTATGTCCTCAAATAAAGGTCGGGGACATATTCTTACAGTCAGACTAAGAACCGATCTGACGCTTCAAGACTGCACAGTGAATTGTGTATATGCGTGCGTGCGCGGGTGCGAGTGTGTGTGTGCGTGTGTTTGTGTGCGTGCGTGCTTGGTGTCACTTCCACTGAACAATGAGGAAGAAAACGTCACATATCCAGGGCTGAGTGGATACCCGGTTGATTTCAGAGGCCTGGGACCAGGCACGAATTAAAGACCGGCGCAGGTCGAGTTAAGTTCATGTACATGGTATTTAACTGGTAGATAACCATAGTTTAGATTAAGTAAATAAAGAATTAAAATCCATGATCGTACATTTTGCAATCATTTTTACTTTATATAACCTATTATCGTCAATGCAGAGAGAGTGAAGACATTAAAAAATTCATATTTTTAAATCAGACCTTTCTTGTTTCCTTTCAAAAAGCGATTAAACATAATCACAAATGGCATTCGGCAAGAAGACACACTGCGATAAAGATCATTGTCGTAATTACAGCGGCATTTCTTCAACATATTGCCACAGCCCTTTGGATAGATCTATGTAAGCGACGACATTTGCAGGGGTGGGTGCAGCTTACACGGGTTGGTTGGCAAACAAAGACGGTAAGAGTTGCTTCCCTTGTATCATGAAGCGTCACGAGTGCACCAATATACAGTTATTTTCCTGACGCTCCTCGCTGCTCGTAGATACTATTTCACGGATATTTATAAATGCATTGTATATTAATCTTTATTGATAATAAGTAGTATACGGTTACTGAAGAGATATGATTAAGAAGAATCAACAATGGACCTTTCCGTATTACTTCAAATGTGTTTTTAGGAAAAGGGGGCAGACGGTACATCCAACAACATTGATAGTTGTTTCGTATTTACAAAGAATAACTGCCATGCTATATGCGGCGATAATACCCACGTGATGAAAATCTGGTATGACTGTCGCGTACCGTAGCCATATCTCACGGTGTCCAACCTCCCTCTACACCGTCCTGGTGGATCGAGTGAGTGAAGGTGAGGTGACACACAGGTGATATTCGTTAAGATTTCATGTACGATAATTATGAAGCTAACAATGAACGGATTTAGTAGCGATGCTACTCAGAGATGTATCGACATGATGTGAAGTCACATTCAGCTGACAATTCTGCCGTGGTGTTGTTTAGCTTCACGTTTGTGTCGTCCACTCCGACGTGTGACCTACTGTACTTTCCTCATGTACACGGGACCATCTATTACTAGTATAACCTGACCACGCTGATCTGTGTGTTGTCATTACGATACACGGACTCCAAGGTTGAGCCTTATGTCTTTAATACCTACATGTTTATATTATCCATTTTGGACACCAACAATAAGTTTTGTAACATTGCAGTTTTTTTCTCTCTGGGCAATAGATAACAATCCCATGTCGTTGTGCAAAGATAGCCATTGAGGTCAGCGCATTGCAATTGTCTGCGTGACAATAGACGTATGTGTATCTGTTCTAATACAAGGCTCCCATTTACTATTTATTCCCTGTTTTATGATATTAATAATGCATTTATTGAATTATTGATATCACAAATCCGATTTTATGGTATAGCATACTTATTAATATCGAAAAACATTTTTAATCGATTTATATTCAATATTTACATACAAGATAAGAAGAATAGATATTGATTCATTCGTATCTATATATCGAATGTGTGATATCAATATTTGTATTTTATGATCTCATAAAACATTGAATGTGTTGTACATCGGCGCCTCATGTTGTAGTTCCTATGTGGACATTTTCACCCGTGACTGCTCTAGTCATATGGCTGATACTGCCAATGTGGAATAAATGTTTAACGCACTCACATACACTCATGACAATGTCTTTCGTCATATCACTTGATGAGATAAACATGTTATTTGACAGGAAAGACAAGTATCCTCTCTAAATAGCATCCTTGATGTGATTTTGGGAAATGTGTTTGTGACATGTTTTGGCATTTCCTTTAATTCATATCGTATGCATTTCCAATTTCCACGTGCCATCTAATCTAAATAACTATACATTGAATATACAATATGGTTAGTTCCTACTTCAGAAAGTTAATGCGAAGGTTCGAATGTTAAAATGTCTGGACATCCGATTCTTTGTTCACATTGATACTCTTTCAAATTTCTGTGCTGCTGTTTTTGTGCAAATAAATGATAAAATAGGCTTGATTTTAAATACGTATAACAATCTTGCAACGTTTCTTCACTTAACCTTTGTCACGAAATTTGAAATGACCATTGACTATCCTATGTACATTATCTTGTCTTACACCTGCGCCTCTTTATCTGTTTCAAGATGGCGACGTCCCAGAAACTGGAGGAGCATTTTCTCACATGCACCATATGTACAGAGGTGTTTGACAATCCTTGCACCCTTGTGTGTTACCACACCTTCTGTCGGAAATGTGTCGTCAACTACACCAAAACCAGACCAGAAGCCATCAGTGCCAAGTCTCTGCTGTGTCCTTTCTGCAGCAAGATGACGAAAGTGTCTGACCCTGAGAAGCCAGTGGAGGAGTGGGCGGATGGCGTCAAGCCTAGCTTTGTCATCCAGGGACTTCTGGACTCGTTTGGTCCTGGATCCAGAGGTGAGATGTGGGTGGTACATGTCACATCCTCAACATGTTAACATTTGAGGTATATAATGGCAGTATCGTATGTATTCCATTGTAAAATGTTGTATGTAAGCCTCTCGCAAAATTGTTCCAGCACCATATATATGCGTCCTTGAAATCTAGCTTTTTTATGTGAGTGAGAAAGGGAGTGAGTATAACCGCTTTTATCAATATTTCAGTAATATCACGGCGGGGACACCTTAAAAATTCACATTAAACAAATGTGGGGAATCGAACCCTGGGTTTTGACGTGACGAGCAAAAGCTTTACCCACAGGGCAACCCTACTCCATAGCGTTTTGAAGTCATGACGAAATAACGTCACCCTTCAAAACCCTGCAACATGGTAACAGCTTAAATGGCCCATATTTGGTGAACGTAAAAAGGAAAAAGAAATAGCTAAACTGTTCATCTTTTTTGTTTATTAATGGAGAGCTAAAATGGGATAACCTGATATGTGACTCGAAGAAAGTTAGTAAAAGTAACCTTACATCTCTTTATTAGTCCCTACGTTATGAAGAGTGTGAACTTACTTGAATATTAATGTTGTTTCACAAGGTACAACTTACTGCACCTGTTGTCATGCAGAAGGGGAGACAACTCCAGCAACTGTGTGGTGCTCGGTATGTGACGAATCCCTGTGTCACCGATGTGCAAGGATGCATAAACGTTTCCCATCCACTCGTCATCATGATGTACTTGACCTGTCTGGAGAGGTCGATATCTCAAGGAAGCGAAACGTCATGTGTAATGAACACAAGGAAGAATGCATCAAATTCCTGTGCAAAGATTGCAAGAAAGCCACCTGTCAGACCTGTTGTGTTATCTATCACAGGAAATGTGACTCAGTTGTCACACTTGAGTCGGAATTACCTGCATTAAAATCCCAACTGTTGACTGAGAAGGAAAATATATTGAAGAAACAAATCCTTATGGAAACGAGAGTCGATACAGTTAAATCAAACTTCTCCACTGAAAAAGATCGGTATGCCCAAATAGAATCAGACATCAAGTCTTCCGGTAACAAAGCGAGAGAGAAGATCACTCTCAAGGAAAACAAACTCCTAGATGAACTGAAAGAAGTTTCAGAAAAGCACATTGGACAACTGGCAGCTGACATTAAGTCAGGGGAAATATCAGTACAGATGTGCCGACAACAGGCTGAACTGATAGACCAGACTCTACGGTCTGAGTGTGACATGGATTTGTATGAGATGTATCAGGGATGTGAGGCTGTCGGGGACACAAACATGAAGGATGGGGAAAGAATAGCGAGCGTCATGTTCAAACAGGACACGGACGATCTACAGATGGGTGAGATAGTCGTTCTGTATGAAGGTGTTCCCGTATTGCAGGACTCCATTAACGTGCTGGATCTGACGGTTACGCCTGTGTTACGAGACACGATTAAGGTCACGGTAGCAGGAGATGTAAATGAATCAAGGCCCATTGACGTGACAGCGCTAGTGATACATGATACAGATACAGTTGTAACGGCAGATGGGAACAACAACTGTGTGAAGTCTTTCTATTCCAGAGATTACCAGTCATGTCATAGTAAGCTCAGGCTGGGTAGTCAACCGTGGGGTCTGACAAAGTTACAACACAATCATGTGGCGGTCACTGTCCATAATACAATCGTAATTGTTGATGTCAACCCTGACCTTGTGATGCTCTCAACAATCGCAACAAGCAAACAGTACTGTGGTATAACGTCTCTGACACCATCAACACTAGCAGCAAGTTCCAAGTCTCCTCCCTGTGTGGATATTCTGGACATGACAGGAAACGTACTGAGGTCAATCAGCCCACTCAGTGGTGGAGAGAAGATCCTACAATCTCCTTTCTTTCTTTGTACCACAGGAACAGGAAACATCCTTGTGTCGGACTGCACTTCCAGGTGTGTCCTGTGCCTGACAACTGAAGGTGATGTTGTGTTCACCTACACCTCGACAGGAGACACAGCACTGACATATCCGCAGGGCATCACAAGTACCAGCACAGGCGACATCCTGGTTGTTGACTCCTGTAATGTTGTTCATCTGACTGAGTCAGGACAGTTTGTTAGAAACTTACTAAATGCAGATGACGGTGTCTTGTACCCGTACGGAGTTTGTGTAGATGGACGTGGTCATGTGTATGTCTGTAATTACCACTCAGATAAAATCCAAGTATTCACTTGTAGTGACACAGCATAGACTATTGATTCATAATCAAGTGAATATTCCATCTGAAAATGCCTTATGTAAACCAATGCATGTGTGAATATCTTCTTTCAAACTTGTCCGTCAGTTAAGACGACCTGAATATGTTAACATTATTCAGAAATGATTCCAGAACAACTCACACACAAGCTCCTTCCAATGATGAAATCTCGGTATTTGCAATACCAGCGTGATTCACATATATATCAGTATTTGACATATTAGCATCCTACCTTAAAAATCAAAAACTTTGTGCGAAGTAGTGTTTTTTAAACTATTTCTGTTTTCACATATTATTTTCTGTTATTTTGTTTTTTAAATCACATACCATAGTCGAAGGCAAAGGACTGAAATTAAGTTTGGTGTATATATATATATATATATATATATATATATATATATATATATATATCATTCAGGCGTAATGCAAGGAAAGATGTGACGAGAATATATGTCCTCAAATGAGCCTCGGGTGGTAGGGGGGGGGGGGGGGGGGGGGGGGTGGGGTGTATTCTTACAGTCAGACCAAGACCCAGTCTGACGCTTATCAAGACTGCACAGTGAATTGTATATATATAAATGTGTGTGTGTATGTGTGTGTGTGTGTGTGTGCGTGTGTGCGTATGTGTGTGTGCGTGTGCATGCGTGCGTGCGTTCATGCGTGTGTGCTTGGTGTCGCTTCTATTTAACAATGTGGAAGAAAGTGTCACGTATCCAGGGCTTAATGGATACCCGGTAGATTTCAGATGCCTGTAACCCGGCACAAATTAGAGACCGGCGCCGTGCCTATGTAAACTTCATGTACATTGTATTTAACTGTTAGATAACTATAGCTGAGGTTGAACTTTGTCCGAAAAATAAGAATTCAAATCCATGATTGGATTCTCGTACATTTTGCAATCATTTTTACTTCATATAACAAATATTGTCAATCGTAATGCAGCTCTTCAATTTAATCCCGATTACCCTCTCATGGGTTAGAGATTGAAAAAAATAAAGAATTCTTACTTAAATCAGACCTTTCTTGTTTCCTTTCAAAAAGCGATTAAACAGAATCACAAATGGCATGCGGCAAAAAGACACACTGCGGTAAAGATCATTGTCGTAATTACAGCGGCATTTCTTCAAAATATTATTGCTACAGCCCTTTGGATAGATCTATGTAAGCGACGACATTTGCAGGGGTGGGTGCAGCTTACGAGTTGGTTGGCATAATAAGACTGTAGGAGTTGCTTCCCTTGTATCATGAAGCGTAACGAGTGCACCAATATACAGTTATTTTCCTGACGTACCTCGCTGCTAGTGGATACTATTTCACGGATATTTATTAAATGCATTGTATATTATTTTTTATTGATAGTAAGTAGTATACGGTTACTGAAAAGATATGATTGAGAAGGATCAACAATGGACCTTTTCATATTACTTCAAGTGTGATTTTAAAGTAAAAGGGGGCAGACGGTACTTCCAACATTAATTATAATTGTTTCATATTTACAAAGAATAACTGCCATGCTATATACCCACGTGATGAAAATCCGGTATGCCTGTCGCGTAGCGTGGCCATTTCTCGCGGTGTCCAACCTCCCTCTACACCGTCCTGGTGGATCGAGTGAGTGAAGGTGAGGTGACACACAGGTGATATTCGTTAAGATTTCATGTACGATAATAATTATGAAGCTATCAATGACCGGGTTTAGTAGCGATGCTACTCAGAGATGTATCGACATGATGTGAAGTCACATTCAGCTGACAATTCTGCCGTGGTGTTGTTTAGCTTCACGTTTGTGTCGTCCACTCCGATCCGACGTGTGACCTACTGTACTTTCCTCATGTACACGGGACCATCTATTACTAGTATAACCTGACCACGCTGATCTGTGTGTTGTCATTACGATACACGGACTCGAGGGTTGAGCCTTATGTCTTTAATACCTACATGTTTATATTATCCATTTTGAACACCAACAATACGTTTTGTAATATGGCAGGTTTTTTTTCTCTCTGGGCGACAGATAACAATCCCATTTCGTTGTGTAAAGAGAGCCATTGAGGTCAGCGCATTGTCTGCGCGACAATAGACGTATGTGTATCTGTTCTAATACAAGGCTCCCATTTACTATTTATTCCCTGTTTTATGATATCAATAATGCATTTATTGAATTATTGATATCACAAATCCGATTTTATGGTATAGCATACTTATTAATATCGTAAAACATTTTTAAGCTATTTATATTCGGTGTTTACATACAAGATAAGAAGAATAGATATTGATTTATTCGTATCTATATATCGAATGTGTGATATCAATATTTGTATTCTAGATCTCATAAAACATTGAATGTATTGTACATCGGCGCCTCATGTTGTAGTTCCTATGTGGACATTTTCACCCGTGGCTGTTCTAGTCATATGGCTGATACTGCCAATGTGGAATAAATGTTTAACGCACTCACATACACACATGAAAATATATTTCGTCAGATCACTTGATGAGATAGATAAACATGTTATTTGACAGGAAAGACCAGTATCCTCTGTAAACATCATCCTTGATGTGATTTTGGGAAATGTGTTTGTTACAAGTTTTGGCATTTCCTTAAATTCATATCGTTTGCATTTCCAGTTTCCACGTGTCATCTTATCTAAATAACTATGCTTTGAATATACAATATGGTTAGTTTCTACTTCAGAAAGTTAATGCGGCGGTTCGAATGTTAAAATGTCTGGACATCCGATTCTTTGTTCACATTGATACTCTTTCTAGTTTCTGTGCTGCTGTTTTTGTGCAAATAAATGATCAAATAGGCTTGATTTAAATACGTATAACAATCTTACACCGTTTATTAACTTAACTTTTGTCACGTAATTTGAAATGACCATTGACTATCCTATGTACATTATCTGGTATTACACCTGCGCCTCTTTATCAGTTTCAAGATGGCGACGTCCCAGAAACTGAAGGAGCATTTTCTCACATGCACCATATGTACAGAGGTGTTTGACAATCCTTGCACCCTTGTGTGTTACCACACCTTCTGTCGGAAATGTGTCGTCAACTACACCAAAACCAGACCAGAAGCCATCAGTGCCAAGTCTCTGCTGTGTCCTTTCTGCAGCAAGATGACGAAAGTGTCTGCCCCTGAGAGGCCAGTGGAGGAGTGGGCGGATGGCGTCAAGCCTAGCTTTGTCATCCAGGGACTTCTGGACTCGTTTGGTCCTGGATCCAGAGGTGAGATGTGGGTGGTACATGTCACATCCCCAACATGTTAACATTTGAGGTATATAATGGCAGTATCGTATGTATTCTATTGTAAAATGTTGTATGTAAGCCTCTCGCAAAATTGTTCCAGCACCATATATATGCGTCCTTGAAATCTAGCTTTTTTATGTGAGTGCGAAAGGGAGTGAGTATAACCGCTTTTATCAATATTTCAGTAATATCACGGCGGGGACACCTTAAAAATTCACATTAAACAAATGTGGGATATCGAACCCTGGGTTTTGACTAACCTGACATGTGACTCGAAGAAAGTTAGTAAAAGTAACCTTACATCTCTTTATGAGTCCCTACGTTATGAAGAGTGTGAACTTACTTGAATATTAATGTTGTTTCACAAGGTACAACTTACTGCACCTGTTGTCATGCAGAAGGGGAGACAACTCCAGCAACTGTGTGGTGCGCGATATGTGATGAATCCCTGTGTCACCGATGTGCAAGGATGCATACACGTTTCCCATCCACTCGTCATCATGATGTACTTGACCTGTCTGGAGAGGTCAATATCTCAAGGAAGCGAAACGTCATGTGTAATGAACACAAGGAAGAATGCATCAAATTCCTGTGCAAAGATTGCAAGAAAGTCACCTGTCAGATCTGTTGTGTTATCTATCACAGGAAATGTGACTCAGTTGTCACACTTGAGTCGGAATTACCTGCATTAAAATCCCAACTGTTGACTGAGAAGGAAAATATATTGAAGAAACAAATCCTTATGGAAACGAGAGTCGATACAGTTAAATCGAGCTTCTCCACTGAAAAAAATCGGTATGCTCAAATAGAATCAGACATCAAGTCTTCCGGTAACAAAGCGAGAGAGAAGATCACTCTAAAGGAAAACAAACTCCTAGATGAACTGAAAGAAGTTTCAGAAAAGCACATTGGGCAAATGACAGATGACATTAAGTCAGGGGAAATATCAGTACAGATGTACCGACAACAGGCTGAACTGATAGACCAGACTCTACGGTCTGAATGTGACATGGATGTGTATGAGATGTATCAGGGGTGTGAGGCCGGTGATGTGGAGGCTGTCGGGGACGCAGACCTGAAGGAAAAGGGGAGACTAGCCAGGATCATGTTCAAACAGGACACGGACAAGCTGAGTAGAGCACTGGACGATCTACAGCTGGGTGAAATAGTCGTCCTGTTTGAAGGTGTGTTGGACCTGAAGGGCTCTCCCGTGTTACAGGACTCCATCAACGTGCTGGATCTGACGGTTACACCTGTGTTACGAGACACGATTAACGTCACGGTAGCAGGAGATGTGAATGAATCAAGGCCCATTGACGTGATAACGCTGGTGATAAATGATACAGATACAGTTGTAACGACAGACTGGAACAACAACAGTGTGAAGTCCTTTTATACCAGAGATAACCAATCATGCCATAGTAAGCTCAGCCTTGATAGCACACCGTGGAGTCTGACAAACTTACAACACAACCAAGTTGCGGTCACTGTACATAATAATACGATCGTAATGGTTCAAGTCAACCCTGACCTTGTGATGCTCTCAACAATCGCAACAAGTAAACAGTACTGTGGTATAACGTCTCTGACACCGTCAACACTAGCGGCAAGTTCTCAGTCTCCTCCCTGTGTGGATATTCTGGACATGACAGGAAACGTACTGAGGTCAATCAGCCCACTCAGTGGTGGAGAGAAGATCCTACAATCTCCTTTCTTTCTTTGTACCACAGGAACAGGAAACATCCTTGTGACGGACTACAATTGCATGTGTGTCCTGTGCCTGACAACTGAAGGGGACGTTACGTTCACCTACCTCACATCACGAACAAGTCCACTGGGCATCACAAGTACCAGCACAGGCGACATCCTGTTTGCTGATTCTCAAGATAATGTTGTTCATCTGACTAAGACAGGACAGTTTGTTAGAAACATACTTACTGCAGATGGCAGTGTCAGAAGTCCATACGGGGTTTGTGTAGATGGATGTGACCATGTGTATGTATGTAATTACTTCTCAGATGAAATCAAAGTATTCACTTGTAGTGACACAGCATAAGACTGTTCATTCATAATAAACCGCCCATTCCACCTGATAATATGATAATTAACAATAAAAACTGCAGTTTCTGACGGGTATAAACACATCATATGTGTACCCACATTGTGAGCATACAATCACACCGAACCAATAGCCTTTCTTCCCTGATTGTCGACTATCTAAACACGTGTTCATAGCCAATAAACAGACTGGCATGTCCTTTAACGGCTAATAAAGGCTACAGGGATCTCTGCACTTGCCAGCATTAAATTTAATTTTGAAAAGATCAACTTCATCTGTCTGTTTGTAAAACCGAACAAAGCTAGATGCACCGATGCATATAAACATTAATTTATTGGCTTTTGAGATTCCATACATAATGTATCCAAAGTTAGTGCACTAGTACTCTTTTGTTAAGTGTTCGTATGTCATTCAGGAATTCCTTTTAATCATTGTTATTCAAGATAAAATTCTGGTCGTGTTGAGACAAGTTATGTAAACCAAAGCATTTGTGAATATCTTCTTTCAACACAAGTTCAGCAGTTATTAAGTGTATAGTTTGTTAACATTCTTCTTACCAGAAATATATCAATAAACGATATGTGTTCAGTTTGAAAATGACTTTTGTTCACACACAAGTTCCTTCCAAATTTGCCTTCCAAATTTAAGATGTCCGTGTTTTCAATACCAACAGGATTCATTTCGTATTTGAAGTATTTTTATCCTTCTTTAAATGTCAAACATTTATGTGTATCTTTGAGAAGAAGTAATTTTGATTTGATTTCAAATTTGATATGCATTCATTTAAATTTTGGTTTTGAAATCACGTTATGTTCGAAGGCAAAACGCCGTTTGCTTCTGGTATAAGCAAATCACAAGGTGATCACGTGAACAACATGTTGGTCTGTTTTAATTCTTTGACACATTGTTGATCGACATCTCAAACAGACGTCATACTGATTTTTACACACATTCCACCTACAGGTGTATCTGTAACATACATTCACGAACTCAAACAAACAGTTAAATTAGTCATGTTGCCACTGTGAGGTGTGCAGAGATTGGCTACCAGGATTCTTTGATTGTGAATACGAATTCTTGATTCGCATAGATAATGATTCGTGGTCTGCCAGTCCTTTACCAATTTCATCACACATTTACCGACACGCCCTGCTACAACCGTAATCCTGTTTCTTATTCGCTTTAACGTGTATATGAAACATATATATATACATGAATAATATATTAAAAATCATTTTCAAGAACGAGCAACGTGTTTTTTTTCATCTAACAAGCTCTGCAAATTTTAAGATATTAAAAACGGTCGCTTACATTTGCCCCTGTTTCCAATTGTTTTATTTCTCTGGTTTTATTAATAGAGGATGTAAAGTCAGTACAAATATGTGGTTAGAACGGAAACATATCTATCAGATAACATAAAATGGCCTCTTTACCATGGTGACGCATCATACCTTAACTATGTCCTGATTTGTTCTGGTGTAGCATCATAGCCAAACCAAGACCTCACTGTCTCCACATCTTCAACGTATCTACCAAGTTGAAACATCTACTACATGATTTATCATGTATTAATTGCTCGTGACACAGAAGACCCAGGTTCTATTCACCAATGTGTGAAGCCCATGTTGACTGTCCCCAGCCGTGATATTGGTGGAATATTGCTACAACAGTGTGGAACCATGCCCACTCACTTATTGAAAATATAACAAACACACTCAGGTTGAGAATATGTAAAGAGAGGTAGTTTATTAATATATGACTTGGTTGATGATGAAGGTAATTGTTTCAGAAGAAGTACATATGGCTGAAATATTGCTATTAGCGTGTAAAACCATGGTCACGTATCGAAAATATAACAAACCCTCTCAGAAAGAAAAAAAGGAAAAACTGGAACATCTGAAAATAGTGGTCAGTGCAATGCCAAGACCAGTAGTTATGGAGGGGCTTCTTTAAGAAAATAGAGGTTCGAAACATTCAGGCCATACATTGGCCTAAAGTGATACACTTCCTGCTGCCACGACAGACTTGAACTTGACCATAACAGCCATAACAATGCATAAAACACCTTGAGGTAGTTTCAGAGAATCGCATAATATTTATAACAAATTGAAACCAATAGCACATAAGAATGTGATATTAGATACTATTCTGTTGATGATAGGTATACTTTCTGGGGGCTTCTTTAAGAACATAGAGGTTTGAAACATTCAAGCCATACAGGATAAGGAGGCGCAGTTTGCTTCTGCAATATGACGTGGAACTTTGAATGTACACCAGTAAAGTGCTGAAAGTTTATATATTTTGATATTCCAGGGCAGCAATATGGAAATAAATGATAGGTTCATTTCCGGAGCATATTGTTAAAATGGAAAGCTGTTAAAATGTGTACGTGTTGCAACAGACTTTTTGAGGCAGAATACCATTTCTGAATTGCCATGATGGACTGTTTCTCCAGACCTCTCCCTCATAGAACATGTCTTATATAAGATAGATCGACGCCTACGAAAGGACCAGAACCATGCAGCCTGTAACTCTAGCTCAGTTGGTTCAATCTTTCAATGACATTTGGAATAACATCTTCCGTGCTGTTCTCAATTATCTGGTGTATCTAGTGCACCGGCGATGCCTCGACTGTATCAACGCAAATTGTGGTCACAGACCGATATTGGCATTGTTAATTGAGTTTTTCACCTTGCCGAACTAGGCTGGTGTTGTGGAGTTACTTTTTGGCTGGACTAACGAGTCTATGCATAGTCCAATCAAAAGCGCGCACCGAAATCGAAATCCGGTTCGTAAACTGTCGTGCAGATTTTGATCGACTGCAGGATTTGCGAAACATGTGCACCACCAACACGTTGTCAGCCGATATTTTCCAAATCTTTTCATGTTTTTAATCAAGGTGCCCACGTGATTTGATGCATTTCGCGATGTAAGACCTGTTTTATTACAATATAGATCTTGATTATCGAACGGATCGTCCTGACTGGGCGCCACCATTTTGTGGGAAGCAAACACAATTGATACGAGAGGTGGAATCTGACTGGTCCATAGAAGAGGTTTAGAAGTGACATAACTGGTAATAGCCACTGGTGGCGCTACGATCGAGCCCAGTAATTCCAGTCAAGTTCGACAAGGGTGGAAACCGGACTTTTAAAATCAGTTAGCTCTCTTGCCTCGGGAAGATTACGAATGACCAAACATATAAATATATTTTTTTAATAACATATAACATTTATAACACTTGATATAAAACACAGTTACGTCTTTCTGCTGGTGTATAAATATAAGTCGACATTGCGATTGCGATTTAAAATAGTACTATATGTATCTGCAATGAATTGAAATGACGTCACCCATTGTTCATGACGCTACAGGTGTTCTAGGTTACGTCGATTTAAATATAGACAGACTCCATTTGTGAAGCTCCTTTTTCAGAAAATAAGCTCGGGGTAGTAAACAGAATAAGTCGGATTTACGCATCATCTATCCATCGTGAAAAAATATTGAAAGCTTGCACCATTGGACTTAATATTAGTTCACTTGGTGGCAGACAATCCTTAATTACTCCTAGTTTGTCCAAGGTATTCTAATTTCATGCCACATTTTGGGGTGGCACGGGTGGCCCAGTCGTCTAAGGCGCCGTGATTCGCTGTGCAGAGTTGCATCCCTTGGGCATGACAGAAACCTATGATTGTTGGTTCGAATCCCGGTTCGTCCCGATCATATATTTCTAGGTTTGTCAGCACCATACTCGTGCTCGTGGGATTCACCGAAGTGGTAAACGTCTGAGACCTGCATCACTTCGGGTTTTCCTCCCACATTAAAAAACACGAGTGATGAATCCTCTATGTCCCCTCTCGGCCACCGTACTTAGTGAAAAACCGTAGAAGGTTATTTAAGAGTTGTTTAATTCTTTGTGGGGGACTTAGCTGTCAAAACATGGAGATAAACACCAACCTCGATCGACGAACATCAATCTGTCGCAGACATGTAGGTGCAGACAAACTTGACTATCGCAGACTTATCGAAAACTTAGATTAATTTAATTTACCGCCCCGTGGGAATTCCGGGTTAGAACTGATCCCAAGAAACCGATGCTTGTCGAAAGAGTCTGCAATGTACGTGGATCGGGTGCAAGTCGGGGTAATTAAAAAGTCGGATCCAGCACTGGAGTTGGGCTGCTCATTATATAACAGATATGTTTACCAGATCCAGACTCGATTATTTATAGGTCCTGTTATAAAGCTGGAATATACTGCTCAGTGCGGTGTTAAACAAAACAATCACAAACTAAATTGTAAGTGCCCGCGTAATTTGTATTTGCGATTCTTCCATGCAGCCGCCACCCTCAGTTCCACACACACGGAACTGCATGCATGGTGATATATAACGTCTAAGACAAATCTCATCAAAATAGAATTAGCACAAATTAAGTGACTTAAGAATTGTTATAGTAGGATGGTATAAATGCCATAACTGGCATCCTTGGAAGTCAACCATAAATGTGTATTTCCTCCGAAATTCTTGATAGATCTAGTTGAACGATGTTTATAAACAATAAAAAAATAGATTAACACCACGTGACATTTTAATTTGACACCTGGACTCATCTGTATACAGTCTGGTCTTCTGAACCTCAGATGCGGTCTACACCAACCATATGTGTACAGCGCTATACGTGTTGCATATATGTTCGGAATTTGATAGGTTTATGTTTTTGTCTTAGTTTATAGAAATGTGTTTATGGCGTTGTAATTATATAGTTGTACATTACAATGTTCTCAACATACAGTTAATTTAATTATACAAAATATATAACTTTCGCCAGAAGTTGTATGTTCTGTTACTACCAAGCTAGATCTATATTAATATTGTTCCGGTTCATCCTTCGCCGGCGTAGATGACTCTGCAACCGAAGATTCCACATCGCCACAATGCGCGTGTACCAAGGTCAAGGCCACACGAGGCACTGCTGCGAAGAAGTCTTTGCAAATGTAGATAATGTTATCGATGTATAGACAAGTTTATGTCCTGTGTGGTTACGTGTCTATTGAAACCAACGAGTCCCCTCCTGTGATCGAGATGGTCACATTAATCAATAGTATCGCAAGTTCTGTAGCTATGTAAATATTGGGGGGATAAGTTTCTCTTCCGGGTCTGCCTCTTCCAAAATGGCTTCCACAGCGAGGAATGGACGGGCCTTGATTCCTACAGTTCTACTCGTCCTTCAAATATGTCAAAGTTGTGTGTGTATGAGAACATGTAAGTATTGCAGTTTAACATCACTTTATTCCTAATATATATAAGTGTCATGCAAACGGACAAACATCACGTGTGTTACAAACAGATCTGAGATAGATATATAGGCCTAGTGTACAGGGGCTTGTAACGCAAACAATAGCAGGTGCAAGATATATGGCCACGCCCAGTGTCAGTATGCTATATAAAAAGAGGTACACCTGCATCTACATATACTGACACTGGGTGTGGCTATGTATCTTGAAGCTGTTACTCTTGTATTTACAAGCCCCAGTCTGTTAATGCACCTGTCGACCCGTGATAATCCAGGGAAGAATAGGTCTTCAGCAACCCATGCTTGTCATAAGAGTCGACAAATGGGATCTGGTGGTCAGACTCGCTGACTTGGTTGATGCATGTCATCGTATCCCAATTGCGTGGATCGATGCTCATGATGTCAATCACTGGATTGTCTGGTCCAGACTCGATTATTTACAGACCACTGTCATATAGCTGGAATATTGCGTGTGGCGTTAAACTACAAACATCAAAGATTCAATAAAAGTGAGCTTCTGAAGTTTTGTTACTCTGGTTTACCATAAGCTGAAAAAAGCTGAGTGTGTAACCCTGGTTACTTGTGCCACAAGCAATACCCACAGGGAATGTTGACCTATTTAACCTGAACACAGCATACTCAGGCCAAGGAATGAATACTCAAGTCACATTTTATCCCCAGTTGCCCTGAAGTAAATAGAATTTTTGACATAAGTTTTTTAATGTGTAATTGAATACGAAAATACATGCATTGTCAATTTGTTCAAAGTGTGATTTTATCTTTTGGTTGAACCATAACATGAAATGTGTTGTAATGTTTATGAAAACTATCAAGTATATTTTTAAAGATTGAATTCCAGCAATTCTATAAGACATAACAATACAATAGTGAGAGGGAGACATTTCTGACTTGTCACTTCTTGCAAGGAAATCCTTGAGTATAATATATTTTACTAACGCTTCAGTGACTGTTGGCGCGACATTATTTTAGGCCATTTTAACTTTTAAGCAATATTCCAACAACACTGTGGCAGGGGCCGGCAGGAATGGACCTCATTGTATATTGCACCCTTGTGGGGAATTGAGCCTTTGCGAATGAACACTTTACAGAAACCTGGCTACCAGATCGCCCCTGACTATTTTAGACATAATTGGTGGACTTAACTTTCCTGAAATGATGTGCAACCATTACATTCAACATAAAGGCAACAGTTGTAGCACAGCTATGAGTATAAACTACTATTGTCTGGTTGTATCATCATCTGTGATTATATTATTACATAGTAATGGTGACATTTATTATATATAGGTTTGGAGGGTACAGAAGTGTTATACTTATAGGCGGGATGTCACTTTTGTGTTTGGGTATATTTTTGTGAAACTGTATGTTCAGTCTTCACTACCTAAAATGTCCCCCGAAATATTCACAATCCCTAACTTATTTTGTTCAGTATATTTGTTTCACTCTCTCACTCTCTATTTCTCCTCAGTTGACCTAATGTTGTCTTGATGCCGAACAGTTTGCCTTTTGGCGCTGTGTTAGCATGAATAATTGTTATGAATAATTGTTGTTCCTGTATTTATACCAGAAGGTAAGATGGTACTTGTTGTTACCCTGCCTGGCACTCATCATTAAGGGGCTAAAACAAGGACAGGTCGGCTCGAGTCAGTGTACTGTGTCGTCATTGGGCATCCATGTTAAACTGTGACATGGTATCTAAGTAGGCTAGTAGTCTTGGCTAGTACAAGCAGGCACACATGCATGCATGCACACCGCTATATATAAGTGCAGTAATCTTGAACGCCACGTTGTGTCCCATTTCACCTCTCCTCTAAGGCGGCAGGTACTGGGTGAATCATGTGGAAATGAAGGCTGGGTTTATTTCTAGTCTTTTGTGATTGTTGTAAACACATTATGGGTGCTGGACTTGCAACTTTTGCTGTGCAATTTGTTGTATTGTTTGCATTTCTAAGGCAACACATCAGACATATGTTCAAATGAGTGTTGGTTTAATGTCCGACGCTCAACTGACTTAGCCTATTCAGTATTATTTTGAAACTTTTTGCGAGTGGTGCCTTCAACTGACATTTTGTCCACATGCATGTAAGGAACATAATTTTGAATTTCACTAAACATATGATTTTCAGTAAACTTTGCATGTCCATCCAATACCTGTTGGACTGGTGCAGTTTGCTATTTGGGAATTAAAACTTTCGGTTTTTGCTTTCCCCTGTGAGAAATTTCAAAAGAGGGCTTGTGTCCAGTGCCCAACTTCTAAAACTTTGTGTACTTAAAGAAATGTAAGATCCATTCCAGTTCCTCCTTCTCATTTGAAAACTGGGCAAACGTTTAAGTTGAGTTTTGTTTCAAGAGTATAGATCTCAAAACTTTCTGTTTAGCTAAAGGAGTATTTGCAAAAATGTCAAGCTTTTGATGTTTGTTTTGTTTGTTTGTTTGTTTAATGCCACACTCAGCGATACTCCAGCTATATGACAGCAGTCTGTAAATATCCGAGTCTGGACTAGACAATCCAGTGATTGACATCATGAGCATTGATCAACGCAATTTGGATACAATGACATGCATCAACCTAGTCAGCGAGCCTGACCACCCGATCCCATTAGTCGCCTCTTAAGGCAAGCAAAGTCGCCTTTTACGGCAAGTATGGGTTGCTGAAGACCTATTCTAACCCGGATCTTCGCAGGTCTTGAATCTTTGAATTAACACTGAGTATTAAACAAGCTTGACTTCTTTTTTTTATCGTGGTGAACTGTACGTATGAAATAGATCACACTTTTGTTGCATACATGTTACAGTCAGTGTCTAAATTCTGTTATTGTGTAAAATGACTAAACATTTCACTGCAATATTGACAGACGGACTGATAAAGCCATATCACAAATTATGACATAGTCTACTGCATATATAATGCTACAGTTGGATGCTATACGTCACTATTTTCTCACATTTACTTTACATAAAAGGCGACTAACAGGAATGGGGGGTCAGGTTCGCTGACTTGGTTGATGCATGTCATCGATCCCAATTGCATTGTCTGGTCCAGAATCGTTTTTTTACAGACCCCCATCATATAGCTGTAATATTGCTGAGTGCGGTGTTAAACAACAAACAAACATATTTACTTTGTTTGTTTTCACTCTTGTTCATCAATGGGATTGCGTAATGCACCAGAAATGAGAAAGGGCAACACAAAGAAAATTAGTTTTACCAGCTCTTCATATGCTAATAGTTCATTACAACAACACTTAACACAAAAAGACACACTTTGTTGAAGAATTGGAACTGCCTCTTGTTCTTATCATAAAGAAAGATGTCACTGAAAGGGACATAACTCCGCAATGCTTAAGGAAGGGGTAGGTTGGGCAGCTGAGTGGTTCAAATATTGGCTCACATTAGCAAAGAACTGGGTTCGATTCTCGACATGGGAACAAAAAACTTTCTCTTCTTTGACACATGTTCAAAAGTATGAAAAAACTGATAAACAGAAGTTGCCTCAGTTGTTATTTCTGTCTTGCAGTTAAACCTATTGTGTGCTCTTTTTTTGCAAAAGAAGGTAGCTTTGGTGTTTTTATGATTTAATTATTGTATTATTTGTAAACCTTTCTTTAATTATGGTATTAATTGTCATCATTTATGGTATACAGATCAATTCAAAACAATTTTTAGCTCACGGGGTCCAAAGGACCAAAGTGAGTTTATCCCATACTGTGGCGTCCGTTGTCTGTCGTCTGTCCGTCGTCCGTACGTCAACACGTCAACAATTTATTCAAACGACTTCTTCTTCTGAACCATGAATTGGAAATTAACAAAATTTGACTGGAAGCATCCCCAGGTGGTGGGGATTCAAAATTGTACAAATGGTGGGGCTGACCCCCAAGGGGTTGAGGGGCTGGACGAAATAGGGAAACTTAGATCCTGGATCATAACATGGAAATGGTTCAGATCTTTATGCTTCATTGTATCTAGAGAAATACACGTTCATGCTGTCAGATTTGCCATCAAACTATTTTAAATGATGACAGTCAAAATTACGAAATATTTGCAGTATTATATACATATACAATGCAAATGTATATTTTGTCTTGATTGCGTAAATATCCAGTTGAGCGATACAGGCCCTGTGGGCCTCTTGTTTTTAGCTCACCTGACTGAAAGCTGTATGACTTTATGTCGTGTCCTTTTTTGTTTGTCCTTTGTCCATCATAAACAACTTTTCCCCCAAACCACTGGACCAATGAAGCTTCATATGCTTCTCTCCACCAATGATAACAACCCAATTTGTTCAAGGGGATTACAATATGTCTGCCAAGGCTACCCTACTGAGAAACCTATATGTGACCATATCTCAGCCATTTATTCCAAATATAAATTTAATTTAACATCTCTGTGGTTTAGTGGATAGAACATCTGCCCGGAAAGCGGAAAGTTAGTGCTTCGATCCCCAGCAGAGTCATACCAAAAGATTTTAAAATATGGTACTTGTTGTTACCCTGCCTGTTGCTCGGCACTAAGGGGCTAAAACAAGGACTGGTCAGCTAGGAGTCTGTATAATGTGTCTAATTGGGGTATTCATGTTAAACTGCGGCATTGTATCTCAGTGGGCTAGCACTATAAAACCTGCATTAGTCTGGACCAGTACAAGCGGAACGGTGGGTAGCCTAGTGGTTAAGGCATTTACTCGTCACGCCGATGACCCAGGTTTGATTCCCCACATGGGTATAATGAGTGAAACCCCTTTCTTATGTTCTGGTGTCCCCTGCCATGTTATTGTATCTTAGTGGGCTAGCACTAAAAAACCTGCAGAAGTCTAGACCAGTACAAGTGGAACGGTGGGTAGCCTAGTGGTTAAGGCGTTCGCTCGTCGCGCCGATGAGCCGGGTTTGATTCCCCACATGGGTATAATGAGTGAAACCCGTTTCTGGTGTCCCCTGCCGTGATATTGCTGTAATGTTGGTAAAAACGGCGTAAAACCATAAGCACTCACCAGTCAAGCAGACGCATGCACATTGCTGTATAGAAAGTAAAATAATATTAAACGCAACAGTACAGTTCAACTATTTCTGTTAAAATAAGTGTCTGAAATCATTGTTGAATTTTTTTTCAGTTTACATGGACAGGCAGTGTAGTCAGACACAGGGAGTGTATTCCTCAGGCAGATTGAAGCTGACTCACAGGTCGAAGTATGCACCAAACATGGACTGCTGGTTTACTATCCGGGCGCCAGAACATCAAAGAATTCTTGTGGAGTTTACCAGTGTGGATCTTTTTAAGCTGCCTCAAGAAGTATACAGTCTGTTTGATAGTGTTAATTGTTCCGACTACTTGGATATATATGATGGTGGCTACAGCGATATTAACAGTAAGATCCTATGTCTCTTTACTAAAGCTGTCTTCATTCACTGAAGATTATGTTGTGGGGATTCCGGGTAAGAGTATTTGTCACCTCCAACCTATGTTTGTCTTAAGAAGCGACTGAAAGGATCAGGTGTTCAGGCTCGGGGACTTGGTTGATTTCATGTCATCCCAATTGTGTAAATGGACACTCATGACGTCAATCACTTGATTGGCTGGTCCTGTCTGGATTATTCACAGACCCTTGACATATAGCTCGAATATTGCAGATTCTGCGTTAACCAGCAAACAAAAGAAACAAATCTGAAATGTTTTTCTGTGACCTGTTGTTTTTACAGCTTTAAATACATTGTACATTTATTTATGTCATGATTGAAAATTATGTTTATGAAAGTTGAATTGTTGCATCATCACCAGTGTCCCCTGACTGTGGATAAGGGGTGTTGTTTGGCCTTTCAGCCATTGGGGGAACAGGTGACCATGTCATGTAAGGCAATGCAAATCGTTGTGCAGAGTTGCATCTCTTGGGCATGCCAGAAACCTATGATCGTGGGTTCGAATCCTGGTTCGCCCCAAATTATGTTTCTTGGTTTGTCAGCACCGTACCTGTGCATGTAGGTTTCACCAAATGTCTAAGACCTGCTTCAGTTCGGGCTTTGTTCCCACATTAAGCTGAAACACCATGATATGACTGGAATACTGTTCAAAGCGGCGTTAAACCCAACTCACGCACTCACTCACCTTTGACCATCACGATGACAGAACTTCAGACGGGGTGAAGGATGAATGTATTTTTGTATTTTACCATCTTTATTCCAGAACTGACTCCAAGAATATGCCATGATGCTATTCCAAAAGAAATACTTACATCCTCAAGACAATGGCTCTCCTTTCATTTCCATAGTGATGTCATATTAGGAGAAAAGGGATTTGAGCTTATTTTCACATTGTTTCATACAGGTAAATATATTCTGTATGTCTCTGTACACTGACAACCTGAGACTTTGCTCATTATATCAATCACTTGTTTGTCTTAGCCAGGCTAGATTGTTACTGGGTGGCTTCATATAGCTGGAATATTGCTGAGTGCAGCTTTAAACATGTTATAAAAACAAACAAAACAAAAGTTGACCGTGACCTGTAATATAAATAGAGATTCTCAAAGAGTGTTGATATATTTTATATCAAAAGACTCAAGGTTGATATTTTATTTATCACCTAATATCATTTTTCCAACTTTTTCAGTTTTTAGACAGTAATAAGCAGTGTCTTAAGTGTAAAAAGTACTGCCAACAGCTTCAGTAGCAGAGCCATGAGTGATGTCATTTGATTGTGACGTCACAATGGTCTGCAAAACATTGTGATGCAATTTCATTGCAGCAATATCTACTAGGTAGATATCGCTTGATCTCACCCAAGGGATATCTCCTGTGGGAGTCAGTTTGGGATGATAAATGTTCATCATGGTGTTGAATCCCACTCACAGTTGCTTCTAGAAGAGTTTTTATTTTCATAACAATCCACCCAACCAGATACAAAAGCCACCATCAGAAAATAAACAAATAGTTTATTTATTTATATTTGCCTGACTGCTTTGACCTATTTGTAGCTCACCTGGCTGAAAGTCAAGTAAGTATATGTCATGGCACATTGTCCGTCTCTTCGTTCGACCAGCTGTTCATCTCTTTGTTCATCGGTGGGGTGGTAGGGTAGCCTAGTGGTTAAAGCCGAAGACCCGGGCTCAATTCCCCATATGGATACAGTGTGTGAAGCCCATTTTCCGGTGTCCCCGGCCGTGATTTTGCTGGAATATTGCTAAAAGCGGTGTAAGACCATACTCACTCACTCACTCACTCACTCTTTGTTCATCCGGTTCGTCTGTCATCCCCAACATCTCCTCAGAAAGGCCTGTCCAGATGAATTTTAGTCTGAATGATCCCAGCTAAAGACTACTGAAATAATTCCAATCGGATTTTGATCATGGTCTGTGTTATTTCTTCCTAATTCAGGTGAACTTTATAGCCTTGTGACTCTACTATTAAAAAAATATCTGAGATTGTGATTAATCAATGGCAAGTATTCACTGAAGATAGAAAATGTGTGGCCTTTCTTTCAGTGCATCTTCCAATGTGGACAAATTACGAAGCTTGAGTTACAATACAATTTGTATCACAATATTTAATTTATGCTGTTTTGTGTGAAATTTTCCGTGTTCCACTTCATGCAGCCTGACTGACAAGAAGTTGTTGCCATCAATAAGTATGTGTTAGACTTGTATAACTGGGTAGTTCAGGTTCGTTCTAATAGCGTTCAGATTAGCGTTTGCAGGCTTTTTACGAGATGCAGAAATGTGTGTCCAGTACCAAATTCTTGTCAAGAAACATAAAGTTCCTTTAATGAAAGTGATTATTTGAATTTAAGTAATCTACACCATTTCATAACTTTACAGGACCCGCATATTTCCTGTAAGGAACCTTGAAATTTATATTTGGGGGTCCTCTGGACCCCTAGTTTTGTAGGTCAAGGTAAATCCCTGGCATTGCATGTGATAGGTGCAAAGGTAACTCTTGGGTGAGTAACTATCCAGTTCAGTTAGGCCACACAAAACAATATGTTTCTGTACCATGAACATGATGAACCCAACAGACGTGGATCGGTAGGTATGGTAGGTAGTATGTTCCTTATCTTTTAAATATTTTTTTACAATATTTGACACAGATGGCTTGTTTAGGGCCAATGTTAGTTGCATGTTTCTTGAATTTAAAGGTCAGAATAGCTGCAGCAAGGATATTTTCTGCCGACATCCTATTAAAAAAATATAGTCTGGTTCTCAGGCACCGCCCACATCATCATAAAGTCCACCTGTATCCTTTTTATTATCCCCCCGGCATATAATACGGGGGTATATAGCGATCAGCCAGTCCGTCCGTAATCATTTCCTTTTCCGGGGCAGAACTTGAAAACAATTCAGTGTATTTGATTGAAACTTGGCAAATCTATCAGTCACATACTGAAATTGTGCCTTTTGCTATTAAGGAATTTTAGAAAGTTTTATTTTTTACGGTTCCATGGCAACAAGTTGGACTTAGGTTCTATTAGGGTGGTGTTCATTTCCGGAGCATAACTCAAAAACCGTTAAATACTTTCTTACAAAACTTTGCATGTCTATCAGGCACATACTGAACTGGTGCCTTTTGATAATTAGGAATTTCAGAAATTTTTATTTTTTACGTTTCCATGGCAACAAGTTGGATTAAAGTTTTAATATAGGGTGGGTTCACTTATGGAGTATAACAAATAAACTGTTAAATATTTCCTTGCCAAACATTGCATGTCTATATATAAAGCACATACTGAAGTGGTGCCATTTGATATTAAGGAGTTTTAGAAATGTTTATTTTAGAATTTCCATTGCAGCTATTTTGACATGGGCTAAGAGATATGTTGGGTCAGTTACCTGGTTTGGGACCATAATGTGTTAAAATGGGCGGGGGATATCATGATATAGATGACTTCGTTGACTATATGCTTGTTTAGTTATTGTTTCTTGTAATTTGAAATTTGTTTGCATAAAAAAAACCCACAGAAGCACACTTGTTTTACTTTCCATTTCATATGGCTGCGACCATGGTGGATCTTTTGTGGGTAAACAATGTATGCTTCTTCAAGAACATTCAACTCTTGACTCATTACATACAGAATTGCACATTTACTTGTGGTTACTTTACAGACAGCTGCCAGGGGGATATGTCATCTTTCTGATGACTCTTGTTTCCATTTTAAACAAAATATATATCCTCAAATATTCCAAGTCCAACGATAGTCAAACACTGTATTCCAGTATTTTACTCATCAAGGAATACATTTATATAGGGAGGCCCTTTGCCAGGTTGATTGTACACAACTGTTTATTTGGATAAACAACTGTTTATTTGGTTACATACTAGTTTGAACAACAACAAAAAAGAAAAGAAAAAAAGACACCGCCCGCACTATATTTTCAAAAAACATTGCCTGAGAACCAAATCTTTTAGTTTTTAAAGCCTTAACAATGCGTGGTTATCAGCTTTCGTTTTCACCAACTTTTGAAATGTGCATCTGATTGGTTCATTTCGGGAGGCAGACCAGTCCATGAATTCCTGTTTCCTAAATGAGGAGACATAAATTGCATTTTATTGCGAAGTAGTGGTGATTCTCCTTCTGTTTGTGTGACAGTAATTACAAACTGACAACCAGATGAGCGGCTTATCTCAGCCTGAACTACATCCTTGTGATCTATCTACAACCATTCACGCCCCATGAAGATCCGGGTTAGAATAGGTCTGTAGGAACCCATGCCAGCCATAAGAGGCTACTAACGGGATTGTGTGGTCAGGCTCACTGACTTTGTTGATGCATGTCATCGTATCCCAATTTCATAGAGTGATGCTCATGACATCAATCACTGGATTGTCTGGTCCAGACTTGATTTACAGAATATAAGCTGAATATAGCTGGAATATTACTGAGTGCGGCATTAAACAACTGATGGACAAACAAACAGACAACAATCATTTCCAATCTGAATCTCTTGCATCAGAATCCTGATGAGGACATTCATAAATCATTAGGCATTTACTCAACATGCAGTAATTACTATACTTAGTAATATCAACGCTAATCATGCTAGTGGGTCAGAAAATGTTTGAATGCAGCAACGTTTATTTTTTAATCTTCTTTTGTTTTTTTTATGGAATTTGTGTTTTTGCCAAACAGCCTGGCCTAACTGCCATCTCAGTGTTGGACCTTGAACGAGACGATTTTTCATTGGCTTGAAGTTGTTGTTTTTGATCTGCAGGAAATGTTAATTTTTCGCTCAGTATTTCATTTAACATTAAACAAACAAGAACGAGTCAATTTTCAGTTTCTGTTTTTATTGCTTGTATGATAAACAGTAAATGTTATTTTCGCTTCAAAGTATTTCATCATCGTTAAACTTTTGCGGAAAAAAGGGTAATGTTGAGACCAATCTTAAACTTGCTACAGTCTTATTTATGCCAGTGAGGACCATTTGACATGGCTATAGCCTGTTATTTACAATTTGCTCGTCTCCCTACAACAGGTACCTGTGCCGCTTCCGAGTTCCAGTGTAATAACGGCTACTGTATTGATAGCAAACTGAAGTGCAATGGCCACAACAACTGTGGAGATCGTTCCGACATCTGTGGACTAAGCCAAGGTGTTGTCATTGGACTAATTGTGTCTGGCGTGGTCCTCCTGCTGATGTTGATAATCATATTCTGTCAGCATCGACATAGATTTAGTAGAGGAAAAGACATTAAGGTGGGTAACATTAGCTCTATTGCTACATGTAAATAAGGCCTATCACGAAATGTTCCATAACATTGGGGTGGGTAGGGTGGGGGTCAGCAAAATGTGATTCATATCAGACCAATCTCTCCCTCCTTTCTCTCCCTCCCTCCCTGATGATCAAACCATGCTAACAGTATCATTTGTAGGGGTGATATCAAAGCATTGTTTTATTGCAATTGTATATGAACGTACCTATTTAAGTTGTCTAGATTAACGAATGTCCTGATTATGAGTTATGTCCTTTGTGTGTATATAATGATATGTGTATGTTCTCAATAGTAATTGGCTGGGTTTTCCGACGTAATAACATTTCACTGTATTACTGAGTACTGAACTGACGATCATAAGCAGTGGAAAGAAAGTACAGCAGATTGTTTTGTTTTGAAATTTAGATATTGTTTGACAGAACATATTGGGAAGTATTTCAATTTGTAGTTTCAGAGGAGAAGATTTTGGAAGACATGTACTCTAAACATACTAAAAGGGCTCAAACTGAACTTGGAAAACCTTAAATCCAATATGGCCACCAGCATTATTTATGAAGTAAGAGTTACAAGTGCGGCTTGGAAGTTGGTCTCAAGACATCGACAAGGATGTGGGATCAGTCTTGTTTATTGTTGGGTCAGCCTTACTTCATGGAACTTCATCAAGAGGGGGCTTACATCCCATGATAGCTAACAACGGCTAATACATCATTTAATTTCCCATAGGGATAAAAATACCTGAGTTCATTAACATATGTGCACTTATGCAAATATCACTTCATGCGCACAAGTGTATTGTTTACACTAATTTATTGTCATGTCTTGTCATGATGTTGTCATTTCATTTTATATTCTTGTCATGTCAATCTTGTCATGTGATGTAAGGTCAGAATGACATCACACAAGATACAGCGTCTTAGCTCAAGATTGTTGAGATCCTTCGACACTTGCGGTGTGCTAAGACGTCGGTCGTGATCTGTGCATTTTTTCTAAAGGGGATCTAAAACAGATAACGGGTATTAAGGAAATACAACACTCGTTTCGTGAAATCAGTATGACACACATGATGGTTTAGTAATCTCTATCTCTAATAGACATTGGTTATGGATTCCACCGCCCTAAAACATGGTAAGAGGTGACAAAATGTGACCCGAGACGTCTCAATGGTTTTATATTTAGTATTTCACAACCAAAAAAAATGTGCAAACAATAGGATATTTTCTACTAAAAAAATGTTAAGGATCACAATCTGTCATTTCACGATCATTAATCTGTCATGCCACGTTTTTTTAGTAGTACAGTACAGACAGTTGTGACACAACCAACAATCAGACGATAGTAACTAACACTGCAGACATAACAACAGATTCTGATGCATTTTGAAGACAGAAAGAATTAACCAGTAAGGTCTTTTGGTCAATGCAGAGGTTAAGATTTTACAATTACATGTGTATTTGTCTCATAAAATAATTGATGCTAATTTATATACCCCGTCTATAAAAATCCCTACATTTGCAATAAAAACATTTTTGTCGAATCCTGGTTTGCCCTGATTATGTTTCTAGGTTTGTCAGCACCATACTGTGCTCGTTGGTCTAAGACCTGCATCACTTTGGGCTTTCCTCCCACATTAAGCTGACACACTGTGATATAACTGGAACACTGTTAAAAGCTGCTTTAAACCCATCTCACTCTCTAATGTTTCAGGCTCATTTTCGCAGAAAGTACATGAACTGTCATCATGTCTGCTTTTTTGTGTGTAGAAATAAATTTGTAGAAACGGTTCTGTTTATGTTCTTTCTCTGCTACGGTTTATATCCAAATTTACAGTCGTCACAAGACTGTCGCATAGGTTAAATACTGGTAAATATTTAGTGTTTAGTGTTTCCTAAGTGAGTCTATCCATTTCCAAGATTATGCCATATAAAGTATTACAGTATAACTGGAATGTCCCTGTCAAAGCAAATTCTGTTTAACTCTTCAAATGTTTGAAGGTTCCCATTTGGTTTGAACACATTCTTCATTGTTAAAATACATTGTTTTCACCAGCTTAGGAAGTAAATAATGTCTTTCAATTGTTGGTAGTTTAGGGAAGAAAGTTTTGAAATTTAATCAGAATACTCAGTGTTATCTTCCTCAACTAACAAACAATTGTTATCAACATATCTAGCATTTTTATGAAGGTTATGTTTTGCAGTGAAAAATATTTATTTCCCTATGGGGAAATATAAAAGATTTGGCAAGTGCCTGCTACATATCTGTTGAGGTCAAAAGGCCCGAAGGAAAGCGAGGGAAGTACGGGAATTAAGTCGTAAATATATTATGACATGAGCATGAATATAATGTTCTATTTATTACAGAAGGAAATGTCTACATACCGAGAATTTTTTTAGCATTTATCTACAATGAGAGCTAGTCTTAACAGCACAGATCCAAAATTTGTCGAATGATGTCAACTATCTTCATTTACTATGATGTCATTCCGACCTTATGTCACAATAAGATTTGAATGACGTCAACAATGCCATTCAGATAAAGGAAACGATACACTGTTATCTCATGACGTGATCTGACCCTAGGGCACATGTTTTTATGAATCCCGATATGTTTGCCCACGTAGGTAATAAATTTTGTTATCTTGTATTTTGGCCTTTGGTCTATATGGAATAGACTATCATGGTGTAAGTTTCATGAAACAGAGGGAAAACTAACATGTCTCTAAACTAACAATTGGTTCTTCAACTGCTGTTTCTTGTGTTGCAGACACATAATACTGATGCAATGCCAATGACTGCACAAACGCAGACCTTCATGCAGCCTTACCCCCAGGCAACGCCCACACAGTACCCTCCAGGCCAGCAAGTACCCCAACAGCCTGGGTCTGCATCTGCCACCCCATATGGTCAACCAACAGTCTATTGTTACCCATCACCACAGAAGGGACAAGGATCTCAACAGCCACCCCCTCAGGGCTATCAACTCCCACCGCCTCAAGACTATCAGCAGCCTCCTCCCCATCAAGGCTATCAACAGCCTCCCCCTCAAGGATATCAACAGCCTCCCCCTCAAGGCTATCAACAGCCTCCATTTAAAGGCTATCAACAGCCACCCTCTCAAAACTATCCTCCCCAACCACAAGATATGGAGGAAGTTGCCTGCCCATACCCAGAAAAAGTGCCTTAGTAAGTCTTTCAAAACTTGACGTTTTTAATACATTTACTATGCCTTCCTGAAAGAAAGGGGAGGTTACATTGCCTTTTGACAATGAAGTTTGTTGCGAGTGTAAATTAATGTGCTTTTGTGATCTCTTTTTCAATGCCTATATCAAGCAAAACAGAACCTTGTCTGTATTTCGTTTCAGCATTTAGGCAAAAATATAAATTCTCTACCCAGGGTAGAAACACTACTTCATTCTCCAACTGGTCCTTAGGTTATTTGGTTATTTTTTTTCAGAGAAAACCACTAGTCCCTCTAGATTTTCACTAGTCTTGGACTAACAGACTATTGGGCAAGTCAGTGCTTGTGTTAAATAGTCGAAAGGGGCCTCTAACCACAAGTCGAAATGGCGCTGGAACCATTGATACTCCGTCACATAGACATGCGGACAATCATGGTCCACCTCTTGGCGTAGTGGATAGAGTGTCTGCTCTGAGAGTGGAAGAGCGGTGATTAGATACCCTGGCAAAGTCACAACAAAAGTTTTTAAAAGGTGGTACTTCCTGTTAACAAGTGACATTAAACCCCATTTCACTTCACCTCACAGTCATGGAGCTGGTAAGATCAGTTTGTGGAACAAGGACCTGCACCAAGGTGTCATCATATCTTTGGTGTACCATTCATCTTGACACATGGTACTTTGATGTTGCTCATGGTACATTCATCTTGCCACATGATACTTTCATATTGCCACATGATACTTTCATCTTGGCACTTTGTATATTCATCTTGACACATGGTACATTCATCCTGACACATGCTACATTCATCCTGACACATGGTAAATTTATCTTGACACATGGTACATTCATCTTGACATATGTTGGCTACAACTAGGTCCAAGGTCAAAATAAGGCTAAGATAGTGCCACCAGACATAGAAAGTTGATCTTTGAAACTGATGACTTCTTTTTGAGGTGAGTTTGAGTGATATGGGAATATGTCATAAGATACATAATAACTTTTGAACATGTGTCATGTTATGACACCTTTATAGGCTATTCCAGGATAGAATCATTCCCCAGCACCTTAGTGCCATCTAAAATAGGGAGAGGGTTGTTGCATTGTTAGTCCAGGCAGAATGTTTTTACTTATGCTTGGATGATGGATCATTCCTTATGATAAAATGCTGGCTCTGATCAACTGCCAATACCCCTGAGGTGGAGATGGCTCAAAGATCAAGTGATCTGGCTAAAAGTGGTGTATGATTGGTTTGGAGAGATTATGACTTGTATATTCACTGGTTTGAATGATGTTTGTGACATGTGAACCCAGATAAAGCTGATAGACAGCCAAGGTCAAGTTGGACAGCCAGTCAAGGTTAAGTTGGAGAAACAGCCAAAATGAATACCCATCAAAAGTCAAGTGGAATTACCATCCAAGGTCAATGTAGAGAGCCATCAATGGGCAAGCTGGATATCTAACCAAGGCAAAGTTAGATATCCAGCCAAATAGGGCAATACTAAATACTAAGGGCCAAGTTCAAAGGTTTGCTGTTTGATAAAGCAGCTGGTAATATTGACCCTCTTATACAATATAAAATATTACACAAAAATTCCGTGTCTAAATCAGTATCGGTGATTCAAGAAGACAGCAGGAGTTTTGCTTCTTTACGGGAGAATGATTTTGCATATAAATAAATAAATGATTGACATCGCTATTTATTTTTATTTATGTTTGACCGACGTGTGTGAAAAATCCGTAAAACATAAAATCATGAAAGTGTGCCCTAATGGGGTGATACACTGGATGTTGGTAGCGACGATATACTGTGTCTGAGTCTAGCATCCATGTTAAACTGCGGCATGGTATCTCGCTGGACAACTACACCGATTTAAGTCTAGACTAGTACAATCGGCAGACACAGGCGTGCATTCACGTGGCTATATAAATGGAATAATCTTCAACGCGACGATTAAACCCATTTCACTTCACCTCATCCATGCTATGTTGAATATTTGTAATAACAACACAACTTGGTGTTGGGAGAGTGTGGCAGATATCACTGAACTAGAAATTTGTATCGACTAGAATTGACCCTTTTCAATGAAAGTCTGCTGCTGGTTTCTAAAGTCGAAAATTACCAGAAGTTTCAAGTTCATACAACTTTCTTCTGAAGTTCACCAGTGACATGCTTTTTTGTGTGTGTTTTTCTTTTTGTTGTTGTTTTTGTTTGTTGTCGCAATATTCCAGCTATATGACAGCGGTTTGTAAATAATCGAGTCTGGACCAGACAATCTAAATATTGACATCGTGAGCATCCATCTACGTGATTCGGATACGATGACATGCATCAACCAAGTCCGCGGGCTTGATCGACTACGCCATCCGGTTAGTCGCATCTTTGGACAAACAAGTGATGCTGAAGATCTTTTCAGGTTCCAGTGACATGAAACTTTTCTTATCATCAAGGCTTTGGCTTCTGTTGTCTGAACACCTGTGTCGCATGTGTAATCTTTTGAAACGAAGAGGGGTCCAACTTCAATATTAAAGAATTTTAGGATACCAGCTGTCATCTGATTTTCTAAATTCAAATGGTTTCTACAGGGATGTATGTTTAATTTCTGAAAGACTCAAGCGTTGGCTTGTTACAGGATTTGTGGCCTTCAGGAAAGGAGGTATTGGGTGGCTTCGGTTTTTTTTCACATATTATGCAAACACCTATCAATTTGTAGTGATAGTGTTGAAACATGTTGCATGTTACTTATTGTTTGTATGTTTGATCCATATGTTTATACGTTTTATTACTTTTGTCCTTCATGCAGTATTTTGTACTTGTTTTATACACCTAGGTCTATGAACATTGAAAGGTTCGGTAATGCCCCTCTTTGACACGAGGGCGGTCGGGTAGCCTAGTGGTTAAAGCGTTCGCTCGTCACGCCGAAGACCCGGGTTCGATTCCCGACATGGGTACAATGTGTGAAGCCCATTTCTGGTGTCCCCCGCCGTGATATTGCTGGAATATTGCTAAAAGCGGCGTAAAACCAAACTCACTCACTCACTCTTTGACACGATATGCATTATTTATGTCATTATGAAAGTTATGTATGTTTCTGTGAATGAAAATCAGATTTTGTTAATTCAATAATTGCATGTTTGGGACCTAACATTGTGTGCATGTTAAGGCTGAACTGACACATGGACCGATTGTAGAGGTTTTCGGGTAGCGTTTTTTTACTATTTGAACATGAGCACCCAATCACCTAAACTGCCGGGCAAAAAGTTTACACTTGAAAATTGGGTTTGACCAAACTATTACGAACGGTATCAAAATGTTACGAAGTTGGAAACATTTTCCGAAACACTGCGACCGCCTCCGTGGTCTAGTGGTAGAGCGTCTACCCTGTCTGGCCCTCGACATTAAGAGTCTTAAACAAGGACTGGTCGGCTCGGAGTCAGTATACTGTGTCTGAGTGGGGTATTCATGTCAAACTGCGGCATGGTATCTCAGTGAGCTAGCACACTAAATCGGCATCAGCATAAGTACAAGCAGACACACACACACACACACACACACACACACACACACACACACACATGCAATAATCTTGAGCGTGACGTTAAACCAAATTTCACCACACCTCCCCGAAACACTGCAAACCTCGGGTCCAAAACACAACTATGGCATCAAATAAATCGTATTTCATTTGCGTAGATCCATGCTGATGATGTCAATCACTGGATTGTCTAGTCCAGACTCTATTATATATAGACCGCCGTCATATGGCTGGAATATTGCTGTGTGCTGCGTTTAAGCCCCCTTTACACAGGGCTGCGACCTTTGTGCCACCTTTGAGCGATCAAAAACTGGCCAGGACGCTCAACGGTCGCCTGAACCCAGAAAATCATGTATCTATGTAACTGCTCCAGCAGTTGTTCAGCAGTAACTGCTCGAGTCGTTCAGCGTCTGCAACCACAGTGAAACACTGCAGGTACAAACTCTCTGAGGCTGAGGAGGCATTACATGTAGCTCAAAGGAGGCAGAAAAGAGGCAGAAGCATTGCCATGGTGTCTCAAGGGTTGCCGTGGTCGCCGAATGGAGGCACAGTGGTCGCCACAGTCATCGTTCAATGCACGCTGTTGGTCGCACAAAGGAGGCACAGGGGAGGCAGAAGCATCGCCCAGATTGACGGAAAGATTTGCAACAGAACGCCTCTTTTACCTGGCGACCATTCGACGACCACTGTGCCTTCATTCTGCAACAACGGCAATGCTTCTGCCTCCCTTCGGCCTCCTTTGAGCCACCTTTGACCAACCAGCCTCCTCGGCGACCTTTGTGCGACTGTTTTGAACATGTTCCAAAATTCACGGCGACCATGGCGTCCATGGCGATGTCTGAACCTCCTGTGTACCACCTTGGAACGACCTGGGCAACCATTCTGCCCCCTTTGAACCTCCAACGACGACCTGGCAAATTTTATGGTCGCACACGCGAGGCACAACGGTCGCCATCCTGTGTAAAGGCCCCATTAAACAACAAACAAACATCACAATCGAATAACCATTTCTAGTGTTACATTTTTCAGCCACGATTAAATGTGGGTGTATAATTTCTTTTGCCTGGGAGTTTATGTTCGAAATATGAGCTTTCACGTGGAAAAAGCAATGGCTTGGGAACTTGTACAGTGAAGCTCGTTTGTCCTGAACCCCGTCTTCTAGATGAATGAATACTACTTCCACGTTTATGCGTTTCAGTCAACGTCTTGTGTCCGATAATGTGTAAAGTGACCATGTATCATGCAGCCTGTAAATTGAATGAAGCTGCGGGTAGCATTACGTTAACACTGTGATATAACTGAACAAACTGGTCAAAGCGGCGTTCAACCCAACTGACGACAAAGATCGGGATAATCTTCGTTCTTGTGTTTTGTACTGTGAAAGTGTGTTTTGTGCTGTGAAAGGATAACACATTTAACCAGCGTTTTGACATTAAACTTGTAAAACAGTAAGCCGAATTGGATTTTCTGTTCACTACAGTCCAGGATCAGCATAAACAAGGATAAACCTTGACGTTCAGTATCAAGATTTTGGAATTAGAATCCCGTGGGGACCCATGCCAGGAATAGTCGTAAGATGCGACTTCGTTGGATCGGAAGGTTCGAGCAGATGAAAAACTGCGGACAGAGCAATGCTCCAACCATTTGCGTTGACCAATACTCTTATTAAAACAGCATCTGTTGTAATGTGGATGATATTTGCTGTTGTGTTGCAGCATTAAAGTCCCCAGGAATCTATTGTACGTGCTCGGGTGGCCAAGATAAGTGTTTGTGTCATCGTACCCCGACTGCATTTGTCGTTAATGCTTTCAGCAACTAGTTTGCATAGCTCATAATCCTGTATTTACAGGCCGCCTTGATATAACTGTTATTGCTATCTGCGGCATAAAACAACCGATAAAAGCATAACGGAATGCTACCAAATAGCTAATAATAATTGTCGAATGCCTTCTGAGAATGGCCTGCGGTCTGCCAGCACCAATCACTTCGCTTGTTGATGTGGAAACGCCATCTTGTTCTCTCCACTCCAATGCAACTGAAAACGGGCTTTAGACAACTCACGCACAGTACTCGTTTTCATTGTATCAAAGGCCCCTGCGGTGTAATACACATGTATTTGTAACTGAAGAAGTTTCCTTTAAAACTGTTTCAACAAAATCTGGAAGTAGAATCAATAAAATGTTAAAGGTCCTGGAAACGGATTGCAGATCGTGACCGGTTGGCAGAAACTGCAACCTGCGGATAACGTTTTTATTTTTCTGAACTAAGCGCTCCAGGTGACCTGGTCAATTTGCGAAAACATATAAAAAACGCGACTACTCAATTAAACCTTAACGGTGTTGTATTATTTTAGGGTTAGAGTAGGTTCATTGTCGACGAATTGTTTGTGGGGATCAGACTCGATGACTTGGTACTCTGACTGGCAGTGTACCCCGACGGTGTGCGTCATTGCTCATAATTATAAAATTTAGTAGTCACCGGTTTATCTTAAGATTCGATTATGTTCAGGCCACCGTCAATTATAGCTTGAATATAACATATTTAGTTTTGGCATTAAAACAACGAACAAATATACCTTAAACGATAGAGAATCATCAAAGAATAAATATAAGCACTGTGTCAACATATTTTCACCACCTTGGACTAGCTTACAATGAGTACAATAAAACTTTATTACCATATCTCATATATCACGCATGCCACTAAGCCTTATTAGAACTAAGTGTGATTGGGCAGAAACCGTTGAGCACAGCCCCGTCTATTGTAACCATCAGTGTTACAGAACAACATCAATACTCGTTTACATTGTATCAAAAGCCCCTACGTGCTAATGTAATGTAATTGAAAAGGCTAAATATTGATGACAATCCACCCTGCCTTTCAGGAAGAATATTCTACAGCAAATCGATAATTCTGTCACTGTGGGCGGTCATCATTGTACCCCGACGGCGAACGTCGCTGCTCGTAATATATTAGTTACAGGTTTGTCTCGTGAATACTCGGTTATGTACAAGCCACCGTCATTTATAGCTTGAATATTGCTGATTGAGGCGTTAAAACATTTAAAGCTGTGGGCGGTCATCGGGGGAAAAGACTGACGGGACATATATTCTCCAAAATCCATTGTGTTACCTTCATGTCCACCCGTTGACTATACCCATGCGTCATATTTCGAACAGATAAGTGAACCGTGTCAAGCTGACGTAGCTGGGCTAAAAATAACCGACCCGGTTTATAGCTGGTGTCACGCAGTTGACTCAGGTCTGGATTCAAAATGGCGGCGCCCTATATGCTGTTGTGTTTCACTGTGATGTCCCTGTGTGTTTCTGCTGAGACATTTACCACTATATGTATGTATATATTTATTGACGATCGAAGCCTGGTGTTTAATTACTCAAAGCTGATTTTATAAATGAATGTGTTTGTAATTAGGCCAGGTAAGGTACGGCGTCATTGTTTACATACGCTATACTAAATGATCAATATAGTCATCGGCACGAAACCACAGGTCTTTTCATTGTGCTCATGTATTTCTGGGGTGTCATCTATCGCTAGATATGTACGTATGTATTTTTTTATTATCCAAGCGTGGTGTTAAATTAGTCAAGATGATTTTATTAACGTGTTCGGTATTGATAATCCAGGTGAGGTAGGGCGTCACTGCTTACGTACATGTTATATGATCTGTGTATTGTCCTCGCCACTTGAAATAGAACCAGGACATATCGCGGTGATTAAGTAACGACGATAGTTACATGTGTGTTAATACTTATAAAAGGAAAACAAGCCACCCCGTCAATAAGGAATGTTTTTTACTGTAATAACAAAAATAGGAAAGTGCCTCTCAAGAAATGTTTATTTTCAGAGCGATAAACATCCCTATTGAGATTTGATCACGTAGACCGGTATCGATTCCCAATTCCACTGTAGTTATTTGGATTACCACGCTCTCATTTTTTAAATAGGGAAAATAAACACTCCAGTCCAAACAGCAGGAAAAACGCCGGTCTCAAATATCCCGTTATATAATTCACATTTTCAGAGACTTTCAACATTTCAATAATACCATTGTCTATACTTGCGACTTAGCCATCTTTTGAATGAAAGATAACATCCTGTATTTCGTCCTCTGTACCAGGGGACTCAAGAAAACACTATACCTCTTCGACCATTTCACAATCAAAAGGCTCTACATCAAACACATTATCATGTGTATACCTATTTAAATTCACATCATTTATAAAATCACCAGTGAAACCATTGCTAAAATAATCAGACCAAGTAGCATTGCTTATATTGTTATGCATAGTACTTGGATACGAAATGCCGCGACGACCCTTCCAAAACACGTTTGGACTGGAAATTACAGCTTTTAAGGTTTTGATATGTTCTTAATTCAAGGTTTCTTTTCTAAAGGCAGATAGCTTTATATCTATTCATCACACAAAAATGCCTTCTATACCGATCAGGTGTATCTCCTAAATAATATCTGAGATGTCTTTTAGGATACAATGTTCAAAATTGTAGAATCCTGATATAGAACTTCTTTTATTACATGTAAAAGATCTCTTTGTGCTACTTGCAGCTTCTAGAACCTGAGAAACATGTTTTCCAGTGCTTCATTTAGTCAACGTTGACAATATTCAAAAGACAGAGTTTTTAAGTAAATCTGATTTTAAGCTTTCAACAAATACGTCCGCATTTTCAACTCTCCACTGGTATGAGAGAGAGAGAGAGTGGGAGAGAGAGATATATTCTGGGGAAGTATCATACCCACGAACTTAATTTTCTGTGGTTGTGTCATTAAAACAAGTAATCACCATGCCACGCAATAATTTTACCAATACTAAAAAGAGTTGATGACGCCTGTTGGTCATGCGATCTTTGTCACCCAAACCCTACCGTCAACGAGCATGAAGGAATATTTACTTAACCTCCACCAGCTATTGACAATCACTGTTATAAATATTGTATGGAAGTCCACACCCCACGGGGGGAATATATTACCCCAGCGCGTTTGAAACACGCGATTTCATAGTTTATACCTTTCATCTTATTCCTGGGGGACACGGGTGGGTTGAAATCCCCGATTATGTCTCTAGGTTTGCAGCATATACCTGTGTTCGTGTGTTTCACGTCGAGTTGAACAATGTTTTAGTTATATCACAGCATGTCAGCTTGATGTAGGAGGAAAGCTCTGAGTGATGTAAGTTTTAGACATTTTAGCATTTGGTGAAACAACGAGCACTGGTATGGTGTTGTCAAACCTAAAACAACATAATCAGGGCGAATCAGAGTGGGAACCCAATCTACCGTATAATTCAAAATTGAAAATGTTCCAAAATATCTTCAAACTTTTCTACCAGCCTTTCTTCGCCAAACATTAAAACAATATTCTCAACGTGTACTTTCTCAACCCATAGAAATATAACTTACATAATGAAAACAGCGGGAATCAATTGTGTGTCCGCCTCAAGTGATAACTGAAAATAAGGCCCAAGCTTATCGTCAAATAAGCTTAAAGGGGCACTGATCTAACGGACTGGTTGTTTCCTTTGTTATTGTTTTTCCCCCGTGAGTACCCGGATGATACGCAACTCAACTGAGCGTGACCAGAGACTGGGGTACCGTCTGCAAGGACAGCTAAATAAACTTGGAGGCTGGAGGCAATATTTGTTTTACGCATTTTTGAACACTGATTGGTTAACTGTGATCTATAAAGATTTCGACAAAGGGCGCATGTTTATTAATTTCTTCAGCCTAAACAAACAGACAAAAACAACAAGGGAGCTCATCGGATGTCGTCATTTGGAAATACCCCAGATGGTTATAGTTTAATACCAAAAAAAGTATCCATGCAGTGAAAGCATTTTCGGATTTCGGCTTGCGTCGATAATACGATTACTACTCCCTTGTTGTCATCCACGTTTTCTCGTATAACCCTGCACTTGTGTATTTGTCGTCATTCACTTGATGCTCAATTAATGAATTTAGTACAGGTACAATTAGTGGTAGCACCACTTAGATTACCTGACAAAGGTTCCCATTTGGCATTTATTGTGTCTGGGGTAATTATTCAATCTAAATCCAGGTTTGAAGTGAGGTGAAATGTGTGTTATGTAATATACACGTGGCAGCCCAGCAAGAGATGAATGATCAGTTGATTAACTTTTTTTTGTAAGTCAACGGATCGTTCCTAGTCATCAAAGGATTAACAGAAAATACATTGATTGATTAATCACTGTTATCTTGCACAATCGATATGTCGAGTGAGTGTTTACATGTCTAGGTTTACTAAAACAAAGGGAATACACTCATATCATGGCGCGAAGTGCCGATGTAAAAACAACATACTTTGTTCAAAGGATTAACTGATAACACGTTGATTGATTGATCATTGTTATCTATCACTCAATGGAATTTTTAGGAACCGTGGACGTTGTGAAAATAGTTGTCACGTGGGCCTTCTCAGCCGACCATTGAGACGTGACACCTATGTAAAACACCTGAAACAATCCAAGCGATCAGTTGAGAAACGAACACGGGTTATAATATCCCGAAACGATATATATCTTTTAACATATTTGATTGTTACTGAGACACGTGACATCGAATAAGTTTCTTTGTACAGCTGCAGACGAGTGGGATATTGTTCCTTTGTGTGGATATTCACGGATACATTCCTCGAACAAGGAAGCTGCCTAAAACTTATACACATAAATTTGGTAGGTTGTAATTATGATATTTGCATTTTGTTTCCTTCATTTGAACCGATTCGTTCTTGTTTCTCTACGTCTTGGTTGGGAAATTCTTCAATGCGCGATAGACGTTGTTGTCACAGGTCTTTTCCTTTGTAAGCGTGTATATATTACCGTCAATTTGTAAAATGTGATTCTCTCAGGCAATTTATAAAATGTGTAAATATTTCAGTCATTTTGACTAAAAAATCTGTCCAGATTGATCAAGACGATCAAAAGGGCCTACAAACATCACAACAGATTATTAGAAATGTACTTTTCAACGTAACATTTTCAGTCTCTTGGTGATGACATTAAACATCAAAATGTTTGGAATTCGTTGTCATAATAATACAGATGGAAATGTTTTTCAGTCACTTTGTAAAATAGCTGAATATTTAGACGTTTAATAAATTTGTTACACATTTGACAGTAAAAAAATATACACACTATAAAAAAAGCATATGCTCAGGTGAAATATTTACTCTGTGTTGCAAGTCAAAATAGTGTAAACGAAAATCGCAAAATTACCAAGCAAGTGACTTATCAAAACTTCGTCACCATTACCGATGCTACTCACAAAGATACCTACATTTCCTTTTTATCTCGAAAACTGTATTTCATTTTGTTGATCAATGTGACCATACGCCATTACTACCCATAAAAGTGACTAATGCGCTTACGAATGGCGCAGCAGAGGTCGCGAACTAGTCTAGATTTCTGCTATACATCCGGGTACTCACTGGGAAAAAACAATAACAAAGGCAACAACCAGTCCCGGGGAATTGCGTTAGATCAGTGCCCCTTTAAGGTAACAACAGGCTCATGTAGTTTTATCGAAAGCGTGTGCCGTTGCTATCCAAAACTCCCGCCTGAGCGAGTCCTGATTATTTGCATACTGATATCTAAATACTGCTGACAGCGGCGTAATATTTTTTTACCATGACTTTTAAGGGTTGATCTAATTTGACGAGTTAATTTTACTAACTTTGAAGTGGTTATCGAGCCATAATCACTTCTGACCGCATCACTGAATACGTGCCCAGGAAAAAGTCCATTTGTCATGGTTGATCAGTTGGGTTTTAGGCCGTTATGAACAGTAATACAATTATATGGCCAAATAATATAATATGGCCTCCATTATAAAGGAAAACTCTGCTCGGACTAATTTATTATTTTAACGTCACATTCAGCAATATTCCAGCCATATGACGGCGGTCTGTAAACAATCGAGTATGGACCAGAAAATACAGTGATTGACAATTTGGTTACGTTGACGTGCATCGAGCCTGGCCACCCGATCCCATAAGTCGCCTCTTACGACAAGCATATGTATCAATTCTAACCCGGATCTTCACGGAATTACGTAACTGTCATTGAACGCACTTTGATAGGCTGGCAACTCAAAATTACTATTAAATTAACCCAATTACCGCCGAACTAATGTCTCAATTTAACACTTGGCACTCATTACGATTTAACCTAGACTAGAAATGGCCACCAGACCGTAGGTCATTGTCTCCCTTTAATGTAGGAGGAAAGCCTGAAGTGGTGAAACCAATCAGCACCGATGGGGTGGTGACAAGTGACGAATCATAATCAGTGCAATTCTGGGATCAAGACCTGGTTTAGCGGATCCTGGGATGGCTAAGGAACGCTACTTTGGACAGCGACTTTGTGGAACGTTAGAGAAAATAACTTGGTCATCCACGATCCATTTGTCTTGTAAGAATGGTCGTCATGTCGAAAACAGCTCCATTGACATTAAAGCAAAGAGCTTTACTTTATAAATATATGCATTTGCAGCATAAAGGTTACATGTTGAGTTGAATTCATGTTTAACTCACCTGACTGAAACCCACATGAGCATATATCATGTCCGTCATCCGGACGGGTAGACTGACATTTAGTCCCAGAAATATAGTTATCTTTATTTCAGACTAAAAACTAGACTTGCCAAATCATACTAGACTTGTGTGGCACTCCTTTTTATTCATTCTCCAGGGTCTGGGAGACAGACTAGTCATCCGGTTTTCCGTCCGTCCGTCGACTTTCTTCGCCTTCTGCTCTAAAACTTGAAGTTTCTTTAAACAGTGCTGATAAAATTCCAATCCGATTTTAAAATTGCCCTTTTGCCTGCTATACACAGTCCTTTCTGAATGCACGATGATGAAGTATATGAAATACGCAATAATATGATATGATTTATTTTTATTTTTTATCAAGCTACGACGTTTGACCTTTACAAACTCCCGATTTTCTTGTGTTATTGCATTTCGACATATTCTCAATTCCAATAATGTTTTGCCCATTATTCTGGTGGTAGAATATGTAACATTGTGATAAAAAAACGAGTTAATATTATTTTCATTTTTGTAATCCAGACTCTATGGACAACTTTTGTGGCAAGACCCTGGACATGAGCAACAGGTATCTGCATTCATTTAAGCTGCGTCTTACCTACGCCAGCGAGTATAGAAGCAACATGGACTGTAAGATGTCAGTTAAGACCGCGTTTGGTCAGCGCTTGTCGTTCAAGTTCCTCGATATGGACATTGCTAACATCCTCGGTTGTGACGACTACTTGGAGATACGCGACGGATCGTCTACCTCTTCATCACGTGAGTGTCTTCAAACCGTGAATTATTATAATAACGTTTCATGGCATTAGTTGGACGGATCGTCTTCCTCTTCATCACGTGAGTGTCTTCAAACCGTAAATACTTTTATAACGTGTCATGACATTAGGTGGACGGATCGTCTTCCTCTTCATCACGTGAGTGTCTTCAAACCGTAAATACTTTTATAACGTGTCATGACATTAGGTGGACGGATCGTCTTCCTCTTCATCACGTGAGTATCTTGCATAATGTGAATCATTATATATATGATGTGGCATGGGTTTAGGCCGAGGGATCGTTAGCACGTCCTGCCCTAGCGGTAGTACCCACCATTACACAATTTGCGTTAAAAGTGTTTGTTTGTTGCATGACGCTTCACAGCAGTACTTCTGCTCTATGGTGGCGGTCTGTAAACAAATTGAGTCTTGACTGTAATAGTAGTACCAAACCCGGGCTTTCGTAATTTGGCTAGATTTCGAGGACGGGATGACGTAAGGAACCACCTGACTTCACTTGTGTCCTACTGTATAGTATCTCAATACAAGTGACATTGTAACCGTCAGATGTGGATGGCATTAAGACACCTTCGCAAAGACGTTCCATGATGTTGCAAAAAGGGCAGGACAAGTCAACCAACCAGTTCTGTGTCTAATTTAGGTTTGAAGGGTACATTAGCATAGCTTAACCATCGCATGTCACTCTGGCCTTGTGAAGCGCACTGTCCTGTTTTTATTGTCGTGGCCCATGGTGTTCTCACTGACGTATGTTTGGTCTTTCGTTTGGCAAACATGTTGTATATGTTTGGCCTCCACTCCGCCAATTACTTTTCACCTATGTGTAAATTAATAGTGTCTCTATTTTGCTGTATCAATCTTGCTCATCTGAAAAGACATTGATAGAGAAAATCATGATCAGGTAAGCTACAGATTCTTGTGACTCTGTTTTTTTTATAGATGAGTTTGCCTTCTGGCTCTCCGCCTAAGAAATGGAAGTCCACAAAACAAAAAGGAAGTTATGTTTTCTATGTTTCAGGATTTTTGGTGAATATTGACACGAAAATGTGTTTCTTTTCAGTTCTAGGTTCCCGAATGTGTGGAGACAGCATACCGCCCAGCATGTCCACAAGCGGGAGAAACGCTTTACTAAAGTTCAAAAGCAACAGCTACAAGGAAGACGATGGCTTTACCGTCCTTGTGACCAGTTACAACACGGGTGAGCATAGCTACACCTATTAAGACAAGCATGGGTTGTTGAAGACCATTCTCACCCGGATCTTCACGGGGTATATGCTTAATTTAAAAACGCGGTCACAATAAATCGAATGTGAAATTCCGTTACACCAAAACGTTCCCTGAATGTAAACGCCTGTGTATACTCAAAGCGAGGGTCTACCGTTAACATGATTAATTAATTCATGTATATATCCACACAGTGTTATGGGTACGATAGCGTTGGTCACGAGGTCATTAGCTTAACTGACCAACCCTTGTATCTTTGGAGAAGCGGATGGGGATTATTATTTATTCTTTTTTATTCTTTTTAATTAGCGATAAGCGACAAGGACTGACATGAACATTGTATATTGCCTGTTACTGAATATTAGTATATTACTGAATATTTGCATCATGGTGATTGGCTAGCTCGTTTTCATTCATTCCGAAGAGACCGATAGCCACGTGATCATGATTCTAGGCTTGGCAGCGCCATTTCAGACCTCGTGGGTTTCACGAAAGTGGTAAAATTCTAAAACCTGCATCACTTTGAGCTTTTCATGAAACTAACAGTCTATGATATAAGTGGAATACTTTCATTCACTCAATCACTCAGTGATAATATTGAATGAATGTCTGTGCTTTTGTTACAGATGTGTATTGTGACAGCGACGAATTCACCTGCGACAACGGCCGTTGCATCAGCTACAGCCTGTACTGTGATTCCTACGACAACTGCGGCGACAACAGCGACGACTGTTACATGGATAGGACTTGGTGGATCTGGCTGATCGTTGGCCTCGTTGCCTTCGTCATACTCCTCGCTATTATTATTACTGTTATCTGTTGTTGTTGCTGCTGCAGAAAGGGACCTACGCCTGGAACAGTCCTTAAAGTGAGTAGGCAGTATCCATTCTCCTTCCCACAGGTCAGACTGGTACCTCATTCGTCGCCACTCGCGTCTTTCCGTACCCGGAAAAAAACATTCGGGCTGTCTCAAAATGCCCGGTTGCATTCGTGACAACTCATCCCATTTCGGGACAAGTCGAGTGTAGAATCATAGGTTACGGAAGGATGCGAGTGGTGACGAATGGCACGGTTGGCCACGAAAGCTGTGTATCGCATCCTCCACCATTCGCATTTCTCCGTTCGGCTGGTTCTCGAATGGTCACGAATGATGTCATATTTGTCATGGTCCAATTGCAATCATTATGCATTGATCATTATACACACGGCGTAAACCTACGAGTGAGTGAGTGAGTATCGCTTTACGCCACTGTCAGCAATAGTCCAGCAATAACAAAAGAAATGGGCTTTGCATAATGTACCCATGTGGGGATTCGAACCCCAGTGACGAGTTACTGTTTGAATCACAAGGCCCACCACCACCCTGACGCTGTAACTATGTTTGTTTGTTTCTTTGTTGTTTAACGCGTCCCGTGAAGATCCGGGGTAGAATAGATTGCCCATGATTGCCGTGAGAGGCGACTAACGGGATCGGGTGGTCAGGCTCGCTGACTTGGTTGATGCATTTCAGTCGTATTCCAGTTGCGTGGATTGATACTCATGATGTTAATCACTGGATTGTCTGCCCAGACTCTATTATTCAGACCGCCGTCATATAACTGGAATATTTCTGAGTGCAGAGGTAAACAACAAACAATACAAACAACATGTTGTTTAACGCCGCACTCAGCAATATTCCGGCTATATGAAGGCGGTCTGTAAATAATAGTATGGACAAGACAATCCAGAGATTCACATCATGAGTATCGATCCACGCAATTGGGATACGATGAAATGCATCAACCAAGTCAGCGAGCCTTATCACACAATCCCGTTAGTTATCTCTTACGACAAGCATTGTCGCCTTTTACGGCAAGCTTAGGTTGCTGAAAATCTATTCTAACCCGGATCTTGGCGGGTACTGTGTCTGTGTGCGGCGTTTAAAAAACAAACAAACAAACAAAATGTTTCTGACATCATGTATATATGCATATTGTACCTATTTACCTTTTTAGACTACTACAACAGTCAACTACAACGCAGGATCCCAGGCTGTCACCACCAATCCCTGGTACGGAAACACCAACAATCAAGTCATGACACAGCCCATGAACCCGGCTCCACCAAGCTATACAGCAGCTTCAGGGGTCCCTGCCGGGCACCCACAACCCGCTGCTTACCCACAACCCACCGAATACCAGCCTGTCGCTTACCCACCCCCAGCCGTCCCCGAGGGCTGGCAACCCCCTCCCCCAAACGCTCCTCCCCCATACTCACAGAAAGGGGAAAACAATTATTGATTACCCTTAGAGAACAAAGTATCGTGAGAATCTATAGCTTGGTCTGTGCCTTGAACCATATCGCTTTCTATGCATACAGACCCACGGTGACTTGAAACGTATTTGCTGCGGTTCCGCAAGCTACATACAGGCGTCTGGATATTATTTTGATGAAAAGATGTAGTTTTAAAACTGATAAATGGGCGGGGGCCTGACATTTTTTCTTAAGTTTAATGAAACAATATATATTACTCAAAATGAATATAAAAACGCCCGATTCTTTGGTATTGCTATAGTGATCGGAAAGAAAAAATCGGGAGGTCTTTAACATATTTTGAGTAGTGTTATTCATTCACTGGACATCCAAAATGTTCTGAAAGGTAATGCGTTTTGGGTTCCCAAAAACTGTTTGGCTAAAATTATTTTATGTTTTGAAGCACTGACTGAAACTGGTCTCAAACAGAAAACATAGCATAGGCTCTGAGTATGAGCCTTGGACTGTCAAATCCTTCGATTGTTATCGTTGGACTGTCATTGTCTCCAACTGTTATCCAAAACGTGCTTACCCTTTTCGCGAACGTCTGGTGTCACCACTGATTTTCTTTGGTCCATTCATATACTTTTTACGCTATTTTGCCCTTTACGCCTATTGGAATCTGTCTCCGCAGATAATATTGACTGGTTTTTATCTTGCATAGACAATTTATAGTTCCTAATTATGTTCACATAATTATATAATTATAACTAAAATTCTGTTGAAAACGGAGTTAAACCCAACTAACTCCCCATCAGCAGCCATAGAGCTGATACAATATGACTGGTATGACTATTGTGAAAGCATGAAGATGAATTTATGATGAATAAATTGTAACACGAAGGTACATGTAACAATCCGTGTCTAATGTCTATATTATTTTAAAACAGTTAACCTCCACTGTTTCCGTATTCTATTTGTGTAAACCTTGTATCAACTTATTGATATGATAACGAAAAAAGCAATTGATTTATCAAATTGATGAATTTTGTTGACATCCCTAACTTATTTTTGTAGGCCGAATCTCTACAACATGGTTATTTCGAAAGCTTGATAATCTCGATACTGATCTGAATCCCGCTATTTAGAAGAGTCACTTGGGAGTTTTTACTTGGAAATAAAGAATGTTCTTTAATCAGAACCATAGGATATTATTCATGCTGGTACGTACCTGTAAATACTTGTTGCAATGGTATAGCATTGCACATGAAAGAGTTACTACTTGTGTGATGATTTAAACTTATTACATATAAACGCTGGTCGTTTGATGAAGATGTGTTGTGCCTAATTTGTATTCCTTTACTATTTTCACTGTTACCACGTTTGCTATGAAAACTTTAATAAAACTAGTTGTTTCAATGATTGCAGTTTTCTTATTTTTGTCACTTAGATGTTAGCATTATCGTTACATGTATGAGGAACTCATTTGAGAATAATTGTTTTAGGCAATAAATACCCATTTTGTATGCATATTGTGGGAATGGCGGCTGCTTCCGCTAGGGCAGGACGTGCTTACTCTTTTCGCTAACATGGGGTGTCATCACTGATTTTCGGTATTCAAGTCATAAACTTTTCACAGCAATTTGTCCTTTACGCCAAATGGAATCTGTGTCGGGGGATAAGTTATTCTCATGCATTGACGTTTTATGTTTACAATATTACTCACAGGGCACGGATATAGCTAAAATTATTTTCAAAAATCTTGTCTTAGCATCATAACTGTTGCTCCATGACTGTATTTATAATAAGACCAACATAATAAGATCCATGTTTGACCTCTTTATCCATTTATGAAAGTAGTGTGAAATGAATATATACCACTCAGTGGAAGTTAAGGATCACACATAATTCTTTCATATAACTCTAGCTTATCTGTCATGTCATGGCGTACTAACTATATTAATATGAAAGAATCGGGTTGTCCTTAAGTCATTTTGGGTAGTAGATGTATGGGTTTGGCATTTTATTAACTTTTTAGCATTGTTATAAATGTTTGAGGGGTCTCACCAGGTAATAAGGCAAGGACGTGGCGCCTTTTTGAATATAATGCTTTTTGTTTTGTTTATTGTTTAAATTGCAAAAAAATGCATTGTGGGAATGTATAATTGTTAATCGCAGTTGTACCACTACTGCGATATTATCTCCAGATTATCTTTATTGTAACTGGGACACGGGTGGCCCAGTCGTCTAAGGCGCCGCGATTCGCTGAGCATAGTTGCGTCCCATGGGCACGCCAGAAACCTATGATTGTGGGTTCGAATCCCGGTTCGCCCCGATTATGTTTCTAGGTTTGTCAGCACCATACTCGTGCTCGTGGGTTTCACCGAAGTGGTAAACGTCTGAGACCTGCATCACTTCGGGCTTTCCTCCCACATTAAGCTGACACGCCGTGATATAACTGGAAAAGCGGCGTTAAACCAAACTCACTCACTCGCTCTTTATTGTAACTGTAGAGTCCCTTTGCCATATTTTTATCCGGTCTTTGTTTGTTCGAATCCCATATTTACCCCGATTACGATACTGCATCTGTCAGCACCATATTTATGGCACGACAAGTGCGACAAATTCTGTTCAGGTTCATAAAGATATTTGAACTTTGTAAGGTTAGCTTCGTGCCAGGGGACGTAACTCTAATACTTTAGAGTTAGCGGGTGGGTTGCGTTTAACGTCGTTTTTAACAATATTCCAGTTATATCACGGTGTGTCAGAAATGTGGGAGAAAAACCCTAAATGATGCAGATCTCAGACGTTTACCACTTTGGTGAAACCCATGATCACGGGTATGGTGATGACAAACCTAGAAACAATTCGGGCGAACCGGGATTCGAACACACAATCACAGGTTTCTGGCTTGCCCAAGGAACGCTAACACGTTCATTCGTCTTCACTCGTATTAGTCCGTTACCTGAATGGCTCACTTCAGGTAATCTTGGTCATTAATTGTAGGAATCCATATCGGAACTGAATCCACGACTATCGCATTACACAACATAATTATTTGACGACAGTCGGTGTCCATATATAAATGTTGACAATAATCGATAATTTTGTTGAACGAACTATATACGGAGGGATTGGTCGGAAAGCGGCTTCCTTAAAATCACGTGGTTACACTACGCCACTGGTGCACGATGTACCATGTAAGCTGAGGCATAAGGTGGGTTGAAATGGAGTTTTGCATGGAACTCTATTACGTTCCTCTATTGTTTACTCCGAAAACGCGTTTGGGTACGAGGTACTATATTCAATGTCACACCTTCTGAAGCAGATGCTGACAACTAGAATAAAAAAGAAATGATCAAGAGCATGCATTCTGCCCTTGGATGGTAGCTTGGACGATGGAAGACAAACTGCAGGGTTGAAGGATTGAAGACAGCAGCCATGTGTTTTGTTGCAGGTTGAAATAGGTCGAGAAGGTACAAATAATTGTAAACACGTGACAGAATGCAAAAGCAGGAAGTCGGACGGCGATTCTCCATCGGCGACGTAGTCGTCAGTGAGGCGACGGCCTTGGCCTACGCCACGACTATCCACCAAATAGATACAGTTGGCCGACGGCGTTGCCTGCATACCAAGAGCGGTTGATGATGAGGTTTCGAAATGTTCCCATTCTCTTCCAAAACCTCGTCAAGCCAGATATAAACAACAAACACACAATGTGGCTTCCCCTGTGGCACACGCCGAGGCATTTACTCTGCATGAAATTTCCTCTCTTTTTTTTTACATACACCAGTAGCGTCACTAGCATTGATCCATAGTATTTCAGAACCCACGCCAGTCACCGACACTGTAACATCTTACTGTAAGATACATGCATGTACCAGGTACCATCCATGCTTTGTGGTTCAGAACCATACTCGTCACTGTGACGACATCTGTCTTGCAGCAAGACTGCCAACACCTGACAACAGAAAATGTTCATTACCATAACGCACAGGACATAAACATAAAATAAACAGACCGCACTGTGACGGCGACACCACAGGAGAGATTAAACTACCCGGGCTTTACAATTCCTATATATACCCCTCTCGGTAGCGCCCTCTACCGTGAATAACCTCCCTTTATATCTGGCTTTACCTTCAAGAGAAATCAATTTCAGTCTAATTCACTCCGTTCAACCGAATGAAATTTCATTTCTTGGTAATTGACTCAAGCACATCAAAAATACCCGTTTGGTATTTTTAAGTGTCCTGAAGAGTTGGAACCTAACGAAAACTTTCGTTTGTAAGGCTGAAACTACACTACTACTACGAAAACCAAGGAGCATCATAAGACGATTTTGCACCTGACAAGCACAAAAATGCGGTTTCACTAAAAATGTTCAAAATGAAAGAAGTTCGAAACAAATAATAGCTTCTAGTTTCAACACCAATGAATGACTTTCAAAAAGCAATGATGGAACAGAAACGAGGATTTAAATTAGGATTTAAACACTTAGCCTTGGAAGAAAGTTTGAAGTGACAAGACACTGTGAACAAGAACTCAAAAACATAGGATCATCCGGCAATTCTACATCTATCGACACAATCAGAACAACATCGTCTCGGCACTGCGGTGTCGATCACCCAAACGAACCTGCTTTCTAATCCACGAGCGATGCTTGTGGTAATAATGGACATTGGAGAAAATACTGGATTAATACAAAAAACAGGCCCCCTTGCTATGGTAGATCTACATACGTAGCGCGGGAGCAAATAGGGAACACAGCTTTTGATACGATCCATTTATCAGCGATGTGTATGAAGGGAGATAAAAGGTACAGGGACCAGGCTTTCGCAACCCTAGATATCAACTTGAACAAACCAGACTACAGAAAATACAGCATCAGACGCAACGTAGGTACAGGTGCCAAAGGAAACTCTATACCTGAAAGGACAATCTATCGAACGTGTCCAGATTGATGCTGAATGAAAGCATATCATTAATGGCCAAAAGAAAACTACATTCGACCTTTCAAATATTAAAATAATGGTGCACATATGTAAACTCTTTAAAATAGTAGGCAGTCATGAAATATAAACGTTAATACCAAGTATTAGAACAAAGATTAGTGTTGATGACAAACATCTCATGCAAGAACGTTTATGTCTGTAAACGTAACACCAAAACACGTCCTTTAGTTTATACTTAGTACATTAGCGCTACACACGTGCGTAGAGTGTCATTCCTAATTTTGACACTTTCAAGAAAGCTCAATTAAGCTCTGTGTACCATTAGTTCTGACAACTGTATTGATTCGGCTCATCATACAGTGGTGATTTCCTTGATTTTATTCATTGTTGGTGTATAAACTAGCGACACGCGTCTGCAACCCGTGGAGCGCCGACGGGCAACTGGCATGCTGGAAACTGGCAGAAGTCAGCATGCAGTGACCAATACTTTCAGGATCGAATGTTCCGAAACCAGACGATAAGAAGTCTGCATGCAGCGCATATCCATTCTCGACGGCCACGTGTTGTGCCACCTCTTAAAGCTTGACGTTTTACCAACAGACGTCAATGGTGTACACAACGTTTAAACTGGGGTAATCGTCGCTAGTCACATGTCGTGTTTTCAGATTTGTCAGGGTTCACTTTACACTTCGTTGTTAGGCGTCGTCGTATCTGGCGACGTCGAAATGAACGTCAAGCCAATGTGAACCTGTGACCCCATGACAGATTTAGCGAAGGATCGCTTATGGAGTGGGTTTCAGTCAGTCATTGTGATGCCATCCTACACCCAAACCGATCCACCGCCAGGGTCGGCCACCAGAAAGGATCAATGGTAGGCATTGTGGGGACAACATACTGAACCCTTTGTTGCCCCCGTTTGCAAGGCGTGTGGGTTGACATTTGTTTCAGAACGATAACGCCCGTGCTCACAATGCACGAAACGTCAATGTTCACCATCCAAAAGCACAACATCCATTGAATGCCATGGTCAGCAATGAAACCCAGACCTTTCCCCATTTGAACACGTCTAGGACATGAAAAAGAGACGTGTGCGTCAACGTCATAGGCCGCTGATCATGTTGGCTGAACTTGGCGAAGCGCAGCAAGAAGACTCCTTCAAACCGCCATCGCAATAAGCCTATAAATCGTTCTACGGTCTCCTGATCCAAATCTTTCAAAATTCCCATCATACCCCTATCGCCCTTCAAGTGAGTATGGTTTTACGCCGCTTTTAGCAATATTCCAGCAATATGACGGCGAGGGACACCAGAAATGGGCTTCACACATAGTACCCATGTCGGGAATCGAACCCGGGTCATCGGCTTGACGAGAGAACGCTTTAACCACTGGGCCACCCTACCGCCCCTCGTCCTTCAAGATCGCTATTGGTCATAACATCTACCGTCATACTTCACTACCGGTTGTGTATTAAAAATTCTTCTCGTCACGATATGGCTGAAATATTGCCGATGTGACGTAAAGCATTAACTCACTCACACATGTAATGTGTCCCCAATTCGCTAATTATGCTCATACAACTACATTGTATTACCAGAAACTAATACAATGTTATTTCCGAATATTCCCTACTACTATATATAAGGTGCCTGAGTTACAGACATGAGCAGTTTTGTTATCTATTTAGTGTAGTGTATACACAGTGCAAATTCACAATGCAACTACATTCATCAAAGACATAATATTAACATTTCATAACTGCAGCTGAATCTGTTTTGATTTTTCATACGACAGATCCATAACTAATTCCACAACACAAAATGTTACGGCGTTTCAGCTTAGCGTGGTTAGAAAGACTGAATGACGCACGCCCGTGACGTTCAGCGCGTGTTCTTAGAGACACCATATGTTTTCAGTCACTGCTTTGCATTGTTTTCCCTAAAAGATGACGCCGAACATGTTCTTATTTCTTTTCAAAAATAATCTTTTCATGATATCGAGTATGTCCAGCAAACAACATGTTCTTCTGTAAAACATGCGGCAATATTATCCAGAATTTTCTGGAACAATTACTTTTTCAAAAAGTTCCCATATTAACCATTAGGCTCCCCCGCCGCTTACTTTTATTTAAGCGCCACGTACTTAAAGTATCTAGCCTTGTGGGACACTTCAGATATAAAAATAAGTTGTAAACAAAGTAATGAAAGACTTAGTTATATAAATGCCAAAATCATACCTGCATTCCTCCACAGTATATTAAATCAAACATGCTTACATATAATTGTGAAATAAATAGAAACTCACGTGAACATTAAAGGGATAAAAAAAATAATTAAATATTCTCGGTTAAAAATTACTCTTTTCACAGTCACAATAACCTAAAACTTAATTGAACAGGGCCATATATATCACCTCTTTATGATAAATCACGTGTAAGCCTTAGACTAAATCTTCTTTAAATAAACCATAATTGTGTTAGGCATGAGTATCTGGGTTTAAAATCATAAAAGCTCATAACAACAAATAAAACCAACATAAGAATAACATGGAATGTTTTTAATACTATAACGACTTCGATTAATACAAAATGATTGATTTATAATACTTAATTAAGAATTGACTTCAATATATTTTGGCATTTATGGAGGTATAAAGGCAAAATAGGGTTTGGATAGTATGCGTCAATCCGTGAAGCGGAAAGTGTGCACACCGGCTTTTATGTTTATACCTTAATAAACGCAAATATGTTTGAAGTCAATTCTTATAAATACGAACATCAACAATAATAACTTCACAGACTGCATATTAAATGGTAACACACAAAAACATCACGGAATCGTAGTGATGCGTTTAGCGCAAAAATGCAACACTAACCCCGCCGCTTCTATTATCAACCAATCAGGGAACAGTAGATTGTTAGTGGGCGTGGCACACATTCTTTTCGGTTTATGGAAACATAAGGTCGCAAATGTTACTTGTTTAGCCAATCAAATGCCGCTAAATCGTTTGCAATTTATTTACAGACAATTGACCTTGTGATTACAAAAAAAAATACATGTTGCGTCACATGTGTTCATGACCCCCTGAGATGGAATAGCTGAGGGAGTGCAGACCACGGTACAATCGTACTGATAACATCACACATCTTCACATTGAATGACAAATAACCGCATCTTTAAAGCAGCATGATATTCCAAAAGTCGAAAAGAAATTCAGTAACACGACCAACATATTTTCAATAACATATTAATTACATGTAATTGCACGAACATCAAAAAGTCGAATAGAAAATCAGTTACACGACCAACATATTTGCAATTACATATTAATTACATGTAATTGCATGATTTTCCAAACGTCGAACAGAAAATCAGTAACACGACCAACATAATTTCAATTACATATTAATTACATGTAATTGCACGAACATCAAAAAGTCGAATAGAAAATCAGTTACACGACCAACATATTTGCAATTACATATTAATTACATGTAATTGCATGATTTTCCAAACGTCGAATAGAAAATCAGTTACACGACCAACATATTTTCAATTACATATAAATTACACCTAGTAGCACGAACATGAAAAAGTGTAATAGAAAGTTAGTTACACGACCAACATATTTGCAATTACACATTAATTACATGTGATTGCAAGATTTATGATTTTCCAAAAGTCGAATAGAAAATCATTTACACGACCAACATATTTTCAATTATATATAAATTACACCTAGTAGCACGAACATGCAAAAGTGTAATAGAAAATCAGTTACACGACCAACATATTTTCAATTACATATTAATAACATGTAATTGCATGATTTTCCAAAAGTCGAATAGAAAATCAGTTACACGACCAACATATTTTCAATTACATATAAATTACACCAAGTAGCACGAACATGCAAAAGTGTAATAGAAAATCAGTTACACGACCAACATATTTGCAGTTATAATAACGGTTGTCGTGTGAAATAGGGATTGAAGCACAGCCGAAATGATTAATTAAATGCATGCGTAAAATAGAATAATAACAACATTATATAGAGGGTTCGGAGTAACCTGCACACAGGGCATTGGTAATCGGACATCATTCGTTTTTAAGATCGTTCTCCAGGATTAAGTGCACATAACACTCAAATTCTTGTATTCGTTTACGGCAAGGTGCACACAAAAAGCTTCCCACAGTGAAACCACGAACAGGTGTGTATGAGCTACACACGCCCCAACACATATACCACCTGCATCATCTATTGACTGCATGTGTAACAAGGTGATTTCCAAATTGACACAGAGAAGTCGGTAAGAAGTCAGTAAATGACCACACGAGATCAATAAATAATGAATATACTATAATTAAACACACTGTTTCAGGTTTGCAATAAAAAAGTCAACACAATGGGAAACATAAGTGGTAGCAGCAACACATAACAGGCTCTGGAATTAATGTAAGTGCACTCAAGAATGTTCAGAATATTGTCGCTGTTTCTTGTATTATAAAAGACAGGCATGTACTTGTGTTTGAATCCTGATTCGTGTTGGAAGCTGTCATGAATCGGGCGTTTCCAAACCACACTTGGCAAATTGATTAGAAAACAGGTCGTAAAGGCCTCGAATCGCTCTCCTGCCCGTCTTGCATCTATACGTACAGCCATCCTTCTAGAAACTGCCCCATCCAGAAAACCCTCGAAATTAAGGCTGCCATGTTGATACATACAACAAGGGGAGATAACTCAAATTCTCGTGAAAAAACACAAGGGAACCTCTATTCGCTGCTATCGACTGTATCAAGGTCTGGCCACGACAGCACATGTTTGCTGCTACTGATTATTACAACAAATATATTTAACAGTTTTTACAGTCACCAATAATATACATAGATAACAGTGACAAAACCTTCCCCGTAATCACAACAAATCTCTGCTACACGTCAAGCCCATTGTACGATTCAGACTATATCGTGAGGATATGTGTATGACTTACTATCAAACAGTGATGATATCAGATGTTCGCGAAAAGTTGAGCACATCCAGCCCCATCGGCCTCACTCGTCACAAACATATGAATAGACAAGTAAAAACAACGTGGGAACATTTGGTTCACCTCAAGATAAGGAATTGCATCGGACATACATGTATGTGTTTTGCCACTGATGCGTCAAGTTTGGAAAGATACTCTACAAAGTTTTGAAAGCTTTGAGCTGATAATACCGTATTCGACGTAATAAGCGCCAAGGGCGCTCTCAAAATTAGAAATAGGGGTCTCTTATTAGAATATGATTTTGGTGGAGGAAACAGAGTAGAAAGATAAATTTCGTGGTTTATGCTGACAGCCTCAAATGTTTATATACGACAGATATATTATTCCAGAATTTAACGGTTCGCCCGAATTATGTTTCTAGGTTTGTCAGCACCACACTCGTGCTCGTGGGTTTCAACGAAGAGGTAAACGTCTGAGACCTGCATCACTTCGGGCTTTCCTCCCACATTAAGCTGACACGCCGTGATATAACTGTAAAAGCAGCGTTAAACCCAACTCACTCACTCACTCACCAGAATTTAAATACCCATAATTTTGGGTGCATATAACACGGTGCGTATTATACGCGAATAAATAAGTCTTGTGTACATTGATCAATCGGAAGGGGTGCTAATTGGGATTGTTCACTAGCCAATATGCTAGCAATTATCGCCGTGGGCGCTTATTAGAACGGGGCGCTTATTAAGTCGACAACGGTAATAGTAAATGCATTTGGAATATCAAACGCTCATGTTTGGCTTCACTTACACAATCGTCGACAGAATCTCTTGACATTCACCAGGCAGCTTATCACATCAGGGACAATGAAAATTCCGAACGTGCAAGTAATGATAGCTATTGCGAGGAAGCCAATTCCTTGGGACATTTTCCGTGTGTCAGGCATGCTTATTTTCTTAATCTTGTAGGAGTGTAAGCTTGTAATCTTCAATCTCAGCCGTTTTATGTCCTCTATCCCAAGGCGTTGTTTTACTGGTCGACAATAGCATTGTGCCCCCAGTTTAACGCACTTCTTGTTGCTGTAGTGTTCCGTTGACGATGTTCCTGGTAATGAAAAACAACATGCTTGAACTCCAAAGTTGTCAGTCAGGAGTAAGTTAGCATTGACTGAGTGTGGTGTTATGGAGTCAAGGGATCCAGAGTTACACCAGGTCAGTGCCTGGTGTATGTTTGTCACATATTGGTGCCCACTGTCTTCAGAATAGATACGTTCTAGGTGTAATTTCGAACAAATGTAATTCTACATATTTTATAATCAAAAACACAAGTAACTGATTATCCCTTTCAATTCATTTTATCACATCAATCGATACCACTGATACTGTGGCGCGGTATCGATCTCAACTTCTGGTATTTGATCTTGTCAGATATGTATTTTCATCGGACCTCAGGCAATTGCTATGCTTTGATGGTTAGATAAAAAATGTGTCACCTTTAACTCAATGCAATGGAGATGCATGTTTGTCTCAGTGGTTATCCTTCATCTCTTATTACTGGCATCTCTCATTACTAGCGTCTCCATCGTGGACTTTATCTCAATTTAATAGTGCCCCTGTTCCGGACATTATCTCTCATTACTAGCGTCTCCATCGTGGACTTTATCTCAATTTAATAGTGCCCCTGTTCCGGACATTATCTCTCATTACTAGCGTCTCCATCGTGGACTTTATCTCAATTTAATAGTGCCCCTGTTCCGGACATTATCTCTCATTACTAGCGTCTCCATCGTGGACTTTATCTCAATTTAATAGTGCCCCTGTTCCGGACATTATCTCTCATTACTACTGCCTACATTGCAGACATTATCTGCAATTAATAGTGCCCCGATTGCGAGCTTAATCTGCTATTACAGGTGCCCCTATTGGGGACTTTATCTATCATTACTAGTGCCAGCATTACGGGCTTATTCTGTCATTACCAGTGGCCCTATTGGGGACTTTATCTACTATTACTAGTGTCCCCATTGCGGACTGTATCTACTATTACTAGAGCCCCCATTGCGGACTGTATGTACTATTACTGGTGCCCTCAATTGGGGACTTTATCATCTATTACTAGTGCCCCCATTTTGGACTTTATATACTATCACTAGTACCTCCATTTCGGACATTATCTATCATTACTAGTGCCAGCATTCCTTGCTAAATCTGTCATTGCTAGTGGCCCTATTGGGGACTTCATCTATTATTACCAGTGTCCCCATTTCGGACTTTATCTACTATTACCAGTACCTCCAATTCGGACATTATCTACTATCACTAGAGCCCCCATTGCGGACTTTATCTACTATTACTAGTACCTCCATTTCGGACATTATCTACTATTACCATTACCTCCATTTCGGACATTATCTACTATTACCAGTACCTCCAATTCGGACATTATCTACTATTACCAGTACCTTCAATTCGGACATTATCTACTATTACTAGAGCCCCCATTGCGGACTTTATCTACTATTACTAGTACCTCCATTACGGACATTATCTACTATTACCATTACCTCCATTTCGGACATTATCTACTATTTTACCAGTACCTCCAATTCGGACATTATCTACTATTACCAGTACCTCCAATTCGGACATTATCTACTATTACTAGAGCCCCCATTGCGGACTTTATCTACTATTACTAGTACCCCCATTACGGACATTATCTACTATTATCAGTACCTCCATTTCGGACATTATCTATCATTACTAGTGCCAGCATTCCTTGCTAAATCTGTCATTGCTAGTGGCCCTATTGGGGACTTTATCTATTTTTACTAGTGTCCCCATTGCGGACTTTATCTATCGTAACTAGCGCCAGGATTGCGGACAATATCATCATTGGTACCGGGTTGCATCACCTTTTATTACGGACTATTTCATACAAAATTAAGCCCTGGACTTAAATAAGGAAATATGCAAACAAGACTAAAGTCTCCATTTAAATCATTTGTAATCAATCAACTCTTTTCAAATTCAAAACTACAATAAAACACTAACACGCCACTTAAACACCAAACTTTCGGTCGAGGAGACTTATGTGTCTTATGGAAAGGTGTTTATGGAAATATGTGTCTTATGGAAATATGTGTCTTATGGAAATATGGAAGCCTCTCCCAGCGCTTGCTTTTCAAGAAGTCTTTCATTGCCCATGTAATGTCATTTTCAACGTGTTTCGAAACATTCGCGAGGAGCGGATCAATCCAAATTAATTTATTCAACCCATGGATATAAAAAAGTGAACATGAGCTGAAGAAATTAGGGGCTTAAATAGACACCAGTGCCCCTTGTGAATAGTGTTCCTATTGCGGACATTATATTATTTGTCATTACTAGTGTCCCTATTTCGGACATTCTGTATTGTAATAGGACCATGTGGCTGAGTTTTGTATTGATGTCTTACATTTACAGTGACGGACAATCAGATCACCAACACATGCTCCCTCCCTGCTTGATAACACTCACGGGTACAGGTCATGTTAGGATGCTCCCAATCTCCCGTCCGAAGACACGTGGTCTCGTCTGATCCTGCAGTGTGGTTATATCCTGGTAGACATGCGTAGACGGCGCGGCTGTGAATCAGTGTTTTGTTGTAGATTACGTTGGCGTTTGTAACGTCGGGAGGTTTACTGCAGTCGACTGAAAAGGGAAATTGTATGAGCATGCCACGTTTTCGGTAAACATCGACATTCAAAAGACCAAAATGAACTTAACACGTCCCATTTTAATTCTGAAAACCCATTTGTCCCGAAAATCTCCATGCTGTGGCCAGTCTCGGTCAAAGTTATATTCAACATGCTGTTTTCATGGGTACATATTAAGTAAGAAAAAATGGAAATAATTTTGTTCGCAAACTCAAATTATGTTTTGGTTTTTGGACATATATAAAGGTGTTTCTACAAGTAACATGACACATAATCCAACTCATTTTAACCCGTAATCCAACTACTGTAATTTGTGGAGTGATTAAAATATTTCATCCTCGGGTGAAAAATTGTGCCTTCGCATAGGCGAGAATATTTTTGTTTTGGAAATATATGAAGGTGTTTCTGGTGTAACTGACGTTTTGTGATAGAGATATTATAACGAGCATTCCACTCTATCCGGGACCACAGTGTTACTTTATAACTAGGACTGACATATTTTCAAGATAACCAGAATCTGTAGCTTTATTAATATATACATTCGAGACCACTAGGATAATCCTGTTACCTACATCAAAGCTCAGGGGGCAACGGAGTAGTGTTCGCGCAATCAAGGTAACTCCAGATCCTGGAAATGGACTATATCGCCCAAACATTATATAAAGGATTACGACTGCCGTGTGATGTGTTATGTGATAGACACGTGAACTAGGGAAACTTATGAAACTAATGAATCCAGTTCCAGAACGGATTTCTCTGTCCTAAAGTTGGCCGAGATGCCCTTTGCGATAGCGTCGAGATGAGTGTTTAGATTCGGTACATGACCCGAATGAGTGGACAGATATAAAACTTTATATATTTAGCGAAATGGCACCAACCACATTCAATCCATCCCGTCGTCCAATATGTCCCGTCTGATGTTGAGTTCCAGCAGAACACCGCCATGTTGTATACCGCTCCTGGCTTGCACATCTGATTTGTGAAGTTATGATAATGCCCTTCGGAGCTAGTAATCTTCCTTGAGTAATCTTTCTCTTGTGGTGACATTGCTTCAAAATTCCATACAAAACACTCTGTTGCTGACGCCAAATCCGATAGGGTCTGATTTTCGTCCATGACCCAATGATCCCAGGTTATATTGGATGTGATGGCTGTTTTGGGAAACACATAGTGTATTGATCATAGCAAGAAACCAGGTTAATAATTGTTTGTTATTTGCAAGCCGTGTACTCGTTTCTTTACCGAACAATATTATATACCCTAAGATTTAGAATTGTTGCACTTTTCATCTTTTGTTATGGATAAAAAGAACAGCCATATGATTGTTATCACCCTTAACGCCCTTGGAATCTGTATCGAGAGATTAAGGAGAGTCATTATTTTCTGGCGTTGAGGTTTTGAATATTCAGTTGCAACCGTCATCCTTAAAAGACATTGGCTTCTATTTGTCACTGACACCTTTGGAAGAATCAAGAGCAATAAGACTACTCACGACATGTTGGGATATAGCAATGACCGTTGCTGCTTCCACTTCTCTTTGTGTAACACCATGGCTTTGCCTGGGACACTAACGGGTTCCGACAATGGGGCTTTTTCTCACTGAAATGTGAGAAGAACGGCAATCCATGCTGTTTCCATTTGACACACTCTTCTCCCGAGGAAGTGTGAGAAATGCTACCCCTGTAGGTCCGGCCATGCTCGTGTTGGAGGCACACATCATCTGAAGAAGCAGGTTCACACGTATAATTGTAAATTCAATGGAATGTCCTGCAATCTAGTTGATTGAAACACTGTGTTGAAAAGGGACCCGGACATAGTTCGGCGAAATGAATACCACGTTGTTTAAATAATACATTTGATCATATGCATCAGAACCAGGAAGGTTCAGTTGTCATGGGAACATATGACATCATCCATTGTATCATGACGTCATACATTGGTATTGATAAAATACAACATTACTTACCACAGTGTTTGACAGGACAGTATTGCCATTCTATTTGGGGGTCTACAGTATAGCACCATGGATGACCTCTTTTGATTGGATCCCTGCAAAAGTTTACTGCATCAGTCAGAGTATCATCCGGGAACTGACTCGCGTCAATATGGGAATGGTTATCCCAGCGTTGACAAGGGATTCCCATGACAGTCATGTTCATCGTGCCCTTGTAGTCCCTCTGTTTACTTTGACGGTAACATTCAAGAGCTGAAATGCAGTCGCCAAGGGACGTGAAAGTAACGGAACATCTTTATCTAATGCACATGCAATTGAAGGAAATATTCATGAAAGCAGATTAGGAAATGATACAATGTCGGTTAATAGCATATATAAAGATTAAGTGACGATACATTTTGAAAAGAAATCGCGATGAAAGCGACATGAAGAACTTGTGTATAATGTTAACTCATGGACAAGAAGCACTAGGAGAAATGTGTTCTCATTTTTACTTATGATTAATAAATGACACAACCCTTTCCATATTCGGGGCGGTCGGGCAGCCCAGTGGTTAAAGCGATCGCTCGTCACGCCGAAGACCCGGGTTCGATTCCCGACATGGGTACAATGTGTGAAGCCCAATTTTGGTGTCCCCCGCCGTGATATTGCTGGAATATTGCTAAAAGCGGCGTAAAAACATACTCACTCACTCACTTTCCATATTCACGAGAAGCCTCAGCTAAAAGAAGAGTCGAGTCATGTCTTTACAGGGCTAAACAATTGTTGTAAATATGACATTTAACATAAATAACATACCGCTACATACATCTGTCTAAACGAACATTCATGAATTAACGTAAACGTATGTCTACCTTACTTACATTTACATTAAATAAGGATTTACAACCTTGTAAATGATGTTAATGTGATGTTTTCTTCCAGCTGAATGTCCCTTTCCTCACAACGTTATATTCAGTTTGAGGAGAGGCCATTTAATCTGAGCTTTCAAGTTAGATATTTTATATATACCTCATGTCTCTCACTCGAAGGAATAAAGAACCGCCCTATTAAGATTAGATTCGTTCTCTTCTGAAATGTGTCGTCAAAAGGTTTATGTTAAATTTTGTCACGGTAAACAAGAAATATATCCACTGTGTTTTGTCACTGATTTACCTTAAAATTACCACAAATAATAAAATATAATATCCTATCAATCTAAGTAGGTTCATATACACACAAGAAAGTAGAAAGATGTCAGCCATATAGTAAACCTTTGAGAACCAACCATTTCGTATTCCGGAATTGTTCAAGAAATAAATAGTTTTGCCTCAGTTTTTCCAAAAACTGTCTTCTGGAAATGCCAGATCTTCTGCAAATATATGTCGTGCAATACAACCAAGTTGATCAGCTTTTCCTTGTAGAGATATAAATGTAGCGACGGAAATGAATATCTCTCTCTCTCTCTCACACACACACACACACACACACACACACACACACACACACACACACACACACACACACACACACACACACATCCTTATGAATATTACACAGTTTGTCCTTATTTCAGTTAACGTCTTGGTCCATAACTCACTGGAACGCATAAATTGTTGTGTTGTAGCCTCATTCGTCTGCACAATGTGAAATTTGAGCAATATTAATTCATATATTAATCCGTGAGTCGAACCTACCTTCTGTGTATGGCCGACCGTACACGTATATTTCACAAACATCTACTGGTTCTCCATGATTCTGGTGGACAATATTCACAGTGATATTTCGACCTACTGGATAGAATGCACAGGGGATGTTTAATATCTTCCCATGCCCAGGCTTCCCTGTTGCACATGGTGTCGCCACGCCAACGCTGACTGCTACATTTGGTTTCCTTTCAAACTCATCTGTAATAAGAGAGGCTGATACATGAGTGAGTTGACTTCAGCGTCGGGTCGCAGTATTTCGGTTTATCGATATCACGACGTGTCTGTTTTATGTTTTGTTTGTTTGTTGTTTAACGCCGCACTCAGCAATATTCCAGCTATAAGACAGCAGTCTGTAAATACTCGAGTCTGGACCAGACAGTCAAGTGATTGACATTATGAGCATCGATCTACGTTATTGGGACACGGTGACATGCATCAACCAAGTCAGCGAGCCTGACCACCCGATCCCGTTAGTCGACTCTTACGACAAGCATAGTCGCTTTTTATGGCAAGCATGGGTTGCTGACGACCTATTCTACCCCGGATCTTCACGAGAAGAGCACGTTTTGATCCTGGCTGGAGATGATGACCAAGGATCATTATCGGGCCGATGAATGAGTTTCGAACCCCTGACCAGAGGATCTTGCACCACTTCACATTGAATGGCGCGCAGTAGACCTCTTGTTCACTCGTGGTGTATTGGAAAGTCCCGTCGGAGTCCGGGTTAGGATTGGTCCTGAACAGCCTTTGCTTGTCGTAAGACGCGACTTTTTGGATCGAGTGGTCTGGTTCGAGCGAGTGAGTAAGATTTTACGCCGCTTTTAGCAATATTCCAGCATTATCATAGCAGGGGACACCAAAAATGGGCTTCACGCATTGTACCCATGTAGGGAATCGAACCCGGGACTTCGGCGTGACGAGCGAACGCTTTAACCACCAGGTTACCCCACCATCCCGGTCTGGCTTGATGTCTTGGTATATTGCGTCTCATCGTACCCTGATGGCGTGGATTGTTGCTCATTATATCAATCATTGGATTGTCTGGTTCGGACTCGATTATAAACAGCCGCCTTAATATAGGTGGGATGTTGCTGAGTGAGGCGTCAAACAGCTAACTAATTAACAATTCTGTGTCGCTCTCAACAGTCATTGTCCGGCCCGATTCCGGGTGTCCGAAATTTCACTATAGAAAGAATATTCGTATTGTGATTCCCCACTAACAAGAAAACAGCGTTGGGGGCACATTAGCATGTTGTTTGTTCATATTGTAGTGAATATAAACTATAAAAAAGAGCCCCATACAGCCTTTAGAAGAGAAAGGCATTTGAACCGCTTTATGTCATGATAATGATTAAATGTGAAATTAATACGCACAACAGGCCGCTTTTCTGGAAAAAATAACTCTTGATAAGTATCACTTAGATAAGCTGACTTCAATAGTTTCAAAGAAAACTTATCCCCACTTCAGACTATATGCACTAAGTCAAACAACCCAGATAAAGGGTATCTATAAAGAAAAAATATAATCATTTGAGATTATGACCAGTAACGTCAGTATGTAAAATTTCATTTCTCTGACTTAAATAGTTTTTGAGAAAAGTTGTCCCCTTTTGAGATGCAGACTGACAACATCAGCCAAACACCATTTACAATGTTATGAAATACTGTTCTGAAATTAAGTACATTTACCTGAAAAGACAACGGAAACATCGCTGACTTCTAGAGATAGTACAAGATCAATGATGAAACTTTCGTTTTGTAAATTCGTCTGACATGAAGATATATTCCCGTCTGTGAGTTTCCATGCGTAATCAGGCTTTACTGTTCTATCCAAGGCATAGTTCATGTCATCTAAAAAAACAATTGAGAATATCCGTATGAAATGCACAACCCATGTACATGTATTCACTGCTGCAATTCCGCTGCAATGACCTTTCAACACCTCGTTCGTGATTATAAGATGCAGCGACCTTCTGTGCGCCCTGAATCACCCAAGATGACCGATAACCTCGGGGACCCGCCCCGGAAGTACCACATCTCGATTACATGTTGGGTAGGGGCGGTCGGGTAGCCTAGTGGTTAAAGCGCTCTCCCGTCACGCTAAAGACCCGGGTTCGATTCCCGACATGGGTACATTGTGTGAAGCCCATTTCTGGTGTCCCCCGCCGTGGTATTGCTGGAATATTGCTAAAGCGGCGTAAAACCATACTCACTCACTCACATGTTGGGTTAAGGGATCAGTTTTGACCATTGTCATGGGTGAGTGTGCTATCAAAAATATTTCTGTTACTTCACAGCGCATTACTTAGGCGTTGTATTCTGTGTAACTTGCTTTACGGCAAAAATACAAAAATATGGAATGTAGTAAAACAAAATCTGATTTCGTCCTATATCTCTATTCAATCCTACATTTGATACTGTATGCCTAGATACATTATTATACATGTGGTTAATAGAATAATTGGGACTGATACTGGAGTATTGGCCTTGTATCAAAGTATAGGCATCATTAAAGTCATCAATGAGATCAAGTAAAGATAAGATATATGGAAGAACAACTTCTTTATTACAATTAGGAGCGACATTTCGGTGTAGGTTCTAATACCGTTATCAAGCAAGTGATGTGCAGAGTATGGTTGAGAAGTATATATGCAAGATGGGAGGCAAAGTTTATACGGTCGAGTAGGTTTAAGATGCAGTTGGACTGCTGGAGTGCAGCTCCTAACTGTAATAAAGAAGTTGTTCATCCATATATCTTATCCTTACTTAGTACTCCAACTTTTAAATGACTCTCAAAGAAGTTACCAATGAGATCAGTTTGTTACCACGTTGACTTCTTCGAAATAATCACTTTATTAATAACAATATCGAATTGTGTCCGGGGCGGTCGGGTAGCCTAGTGGTTAAAGCGTTCGCTCGTCACACCAAAGATCCCGGTTCGATTTCCGACATGAGTACAATGTGTGAAGCCCATTTCTGGTGTTCCCCGCTGTGATATTGCTGGAATATTGCTAAAGGCGGCGTAAAACCATACTCACTCACTCACTCAAATTGTGTCCAAAGCCTGACAGAGACCAGCGGTATATGTTCAATGAGCCGTAACTTGCACAAATACCATTCATAGTATCTATCCGCTGACAAAGCGGTCGATTCGGAAAAAAATGAATACTTTTGTCGTCATAATGTGATATGATACCACCATATCTAGTTATATAGAATGGTCATATGATAATGGCTGATAACCTACCCGTGCAAACTATGGACTTTCTCCAGTTACCGTTCCGGCCACACGTTGAGTACTCGGGTCCGGCTCTGCTGGTGAACCCTTCAATGCAAGCATACGTTGTCCTGTTGTGGTCTCCGTGTCTCGTCGAGTCAGGCCAGGATATGATGTTTGCATGGGGTATGTGCTGTGGTCTCCCACAGTCAACTGTACGAATACCAGAACATATTTCCCTATCGATTGTAGAGGCGTCACAGGTGATAATCAATGTTCGTAAACTACAACTAAAATATTATAGCTTTATTTACATGTAGCTGTCCGAAATTCATATGTATGCTAATTTAGCTAAGATGCATCAGTGATTATTGTGAATGCTGACACTACCGGGAAATGCACGTATTAATACCCCGGGCCGAATAACAGGCTGCATCATCTTTTAGGACCAAATATTTCACATAATGCCCTGGGCGCTCAAATATGGAAACTATCTTAAAACGACTGAAAGCTCCATTTCCCCTCTATTTTAATGACTCAACCGTTTTCAAATTATGTTTAGGTGCTAACAAACACAAATTAAATGCGCCACTTTACACACTTAAAACATCTTTTAATACATGCAGGAGACTAGTGCGTCATAAAAATATGAAAACCAGTTTGAAAATGTTTTATCCACGTAATTCTACGTGATTCGTAACGTCCTTTGGTGGTGAATCACTCGAAATTGATTTCTTAATTTTAGGCCAAGGGCTAAAAAGGAAACAAATACATGCATTGACGCTAGTATGAAGGTCCGCTTGTTGTGTAAGTTTTGGGGTCTTATCGTTTACTACGTAGGTAAGATCCATGCGGATGGGTATGGTGCAGACAATCCAATATCCATTATCAAAGCGAAACTTGTATTTAATCTTCCAACAATATCATTCGGTTGGCCCCAGGGACAATTGCATAGCCTTTGACTGGACCAACCCCAGATATCAGCAATGTTGTTTGTTTTATGTTTAAAACCGTAGTCAGCAATATTCAAGCCCGACGGGCTATTAATGTATCAGGCAGGTTATAAAGCATCAGCTTTTACCATTTCGTTTTACTTGGTTCCCGGATTTGCTGACATTTAAAATCGGAATTCAGAGAAAACAAATGAATGACAAGCCTTGTGTAACTGCCGACAGTAAAGATAGCATTTAATAAAACTGGAATTCAGGGGATGTTTATAGGACTTTAACAGAATATTGTCCAACTATAAATCGGCATTTTTTCAGCTTACTTTAATTCTACCCTCTACCACCGACAAATACAAAAGAGAACTAAAGACTTGAATGCAGGAATCGTTGAAGTGTATATTTACAATACCGTGGCGTTTCATATGAGTGCAGCATCTTATCACAATGGAATTTCATATCATGCATGAAAAGCATATGCTGCACGTGCACACAGAAGCCACAGCCCAAAAACTAACAATCACTAATGCGACTGAGCTGAGCACACGGTTATAAATGCCCGAATGTTGTGTGACCCTCACAGCATACCATAGGCGAGGTAGGCGGACAACACCGGGGACGGGCTCTGCGCCAACTGCGTTACACCATGTGTTTAGACAAAACAAGGTTTAGGGTCTGATTCACAGGATGCAGAAAACGTAGCGGCAACAATTCTTGACAATGATTGGTAGTGGGGCGGTATCACACTTGAGGTGAGGTGAGGTGAAATGGGGTTTAACGTCGCGTCCAAGATTATTGCACTTATAGCGACGTGCATGTACGTGTATGTGTGTGTGTGGCTGCTTGTACTAGTCCGGACTGATGCCGATTTATAGTGCTAGCACACTGAGATACCATGCCGCAGTTTAACATGAATACCCCACTCAGACACAATATACTGATTCCGAGCCGACCAGTCCTTTTTTTAGCCCCTTAATGCCGAGGGCCAGACAGGGTAACAACAAGTACCATCTTTTAACGTCTTTTGGTATGACGCGGCTGGGGATCGAACCCCGGACCTTCCGCTCTCCGGGCGGACGCTCTACCATGAGACCTCGGAGGCGGTGTGTATCACACTTGAGAGGTGAACTGAGTTGGTTATTGTGAATGGACATTTTACTGGCCAGCGATATGTTAACTGCAATTTGCGTCCAGAGACAAGACATAGAGCTGGTCGTAATTACATGAGGGCATTTCTTACCATGTGCAACTGGACGCGCATACATCTGGAAATTGCCATGCTGTATCGTCGTATTGTCTGGTGCAGGCTCGAACTGGATCTGCATGCTTTTCCCAGAGATGCCATACCGCGAATTATTGAACACAATCTCGAACACAGTCTCATTGGTCGATTTGTTGTAGGTCTTTTCCGAAGACCAGTCTTGGATTGATAATTTAATCGTCATATTTTCGTTGGAAAATGCTGCAAAAAATATGAGTGAGTGTTTGCATTGATCGCAAATAGCTACGCAACTTTAACTATGCAGCCCTTGGTTTTACTAGCTAATACTCCCGTCTATAGTAACGTTCTTTGAAGAGTCTTATGCTGATTTTGTACACATTAAAACACATCGTGGAAGTTGTGTACCATCTGTACTATCGGAAATGCTAGAAAAAAGCTTTTTTTTAAGTAAAAAGAATCATGTGCCTATGAAAATAGCATATATCAAAATAACGCAAATCTACCTAATCTAGTCTATCCTGACACTGATGAGCCTAAAATGTACTTTTATAGGTAAAATGATGAGAAAATATTCGTGTATTTTTATGCAAGTATAAAATTGCCTATAGCCTGAGGTTATAACTAAACACCTGTCCCGAGGAGATGACCTAACGCCGGCCCGTGCGTTCTCACGGGTGCAAATGTCACCTGAGTTGGGGGTGGTCTCAAAATAGTTCTGTTATTATATTTTCTTGAGATATCCGTTGACGGGTGTAGCAATTCGGATACGTCCTTCATTATATTTGCTTGGGAAAATGATTGAATAGTTGAAAGCTATGAAAGAGTGGGGTTTTTGAATCAAGAATTATTTGTTCTACATGTGATTTCCTTAGCCAGCATCTTACTCAACGGATGAGGTATCTGAATCTGTACTATCACCCAGATACAAGACCATTCAAACGTCAGTGTCCTTCACACAAACAGCAAGATTGAATATATGATCATTTTGCGCACCTGCCAGTGCATACATGGAGCAGCTCCAAACTATCCGACTGAGCTGATCAGTGACAATACGCTATTAAGAAGCCTGAGCTCAGTATACCTACATCTGCTCACAGTGCCAAAAAAAACAAAACATGCGGCTACAATAAACCAAGCTAAAGCATTAAGGCTTTATGTGGGCAAAAACAAGTTAAGTGAGTGAGATGGGTTTAACGCTGCTTTTAACAGTATTCCAGTTATATCGCGGCGTGTCAGCTTAATGTGGGAGGAAAGCCCGAAGTGATGCAGACGTTTACCACTTCGGTGAAACCCACGAGCACGGGTATGGTGCTGACAAACCTAGAAACATAATCGGGGCGAACCGGGATTCGAACCCACAATCATAGGTTTCTGGCGTGCAACTCTGCACAGGGAATCGCGGCGCCTTAGACGACTGGGCCATCCGTGCCCCCATATACAAGTTGAACTCACACAGCGAGGGATACGTTTACAGGCGAATATTCACCAGTTAGCAACACTGATAGTAACTATTCAGTACTTGTATACAACTGACCCGATCTAAATACAGAGCGTATTCAGTTTTAACACAGGTATACGCCCCAACGCCACCAGTCTAAGTTGCTCAACCGACATCGCTTCAAACCACTTGTAACGCAACAAGCTTCTGTTTCCACAGCTTGTCAGCGACTTTGAATTTGGTCTTTCGTCGGGGGCCCGAAATACGGCATAAGCCTAATTTAAGTCACGCGCGGATTAAGTCATGCTAAGGTGCATTCTTTGCACTTTAAGAACATGTTTTATATACAATAAAGGCCCATGTTTGTTATTTAGGTACCGCCTAAATGATAACTAAAACCGGACGGGTATTATACATTTAAGAAATACTCAGCAACAAAAGTTCCTGTGACACGACATAAAACAAGAACCTGATCAAAGTAGACGCATACATCTGAACGAATTCATATTTTTAAACAGACAATGGACCAGTAAAACAAGTTTACACATTTAATGACACATGTCTAGCACAGAAATGACGTCATGACAAGAGAAAGATGCAAAAACAGAATTGTCAGTTCACACGCCAGTAGCGTGTGTGTCTCCCCTTAGGTTGGATGGATGCAATGCATCTCCTTCGCATTGAACGGTTGGAACGTTAAACACAGTATTCTGGGATAGCATCCCATATCTTCAGCCTGCCTTTCAGTTCCTACACTGTAGTCGGAGCACGTGGTAAGCGTTGGAGATGGCGGTACATTTCATCCCACATGTGTTCAGTTGGACAATGACCTGGAGAGCGAGCAGGCCATGAGATCACGTTGTTCTGTCCAAGTGTTTGATGAACAATCCGGGTTACGTGGGGTCGGGCGTCATGCTAAAACATCATGCCAGGTCCATGTTGATTCAAAAACGGCACAACGATAGGCTGGATGACCTCGTCACGGTAACGCTGCCCGTTCAAATTGCCAACGAGTCTCTCGGTGTCTCTCAATTGTCTCGCGGTGATTCATTTCACACCATAACACTGCCACCTCCGAAACGGTCTTCCGCCACAACGCAGTTCTGAGCGTAACGTTCACCGCGACGAGACTCGTCGGTGAACAGAACCTGTTCCACTGAATTGCCGACCGACACACTCTCTGTCTACACCACTGTAGACGCAATTGGCGCTGATTGTAGGTCAGAATAGGGCGTCTGGGTGGTCTCCTCGCAACAATACCGTCACGCATAAGACGGCGACGTACAGTCTGTGCCGATATTCGACAAAGGCCAGGAATTGCTCTCGCAGTGCTCTGATATCGATTTGTGGGTGGTTCGAATCCAACGACCTTGACGGACGCACGTAACGGGGTGCCTGCCGGTCCTTGGTCGGTCTCTGACAGTGTTTGTTCGCTGCCACCGCTGCCATAACGTCCATATAGTGATTCTGTGCACGTTCAATCGCCTAGCAACTTCACGCTGCGACGTTCCTGACTGGAGCATACCAATGGCTCTCAGGAGGTCATTTTCAGATGGGCGTGGCATCTCCAAACTTCAAATAATAATTGAAATTTGATGTCTTTCTGTGTTGCAGTTGTCAAGACAAGCAGAAACATTGCATACCGAATCCCTACAATACGCGTGCTTTTATACCCTGGTTTACATCATCAATTGCATGATTGCTGCATGAAAATGCTTTTCTGCTGAAGTTGCGTTTGTGCTACATGTTTTACTGTATTCGTGTCCGATTTGAACACCAGGAAGGTATTTCTTGTATGCAACCAATTGGAAAGGGGTGTCACAGGATCTTTTGTTGCTGAGTAACCATACAAATACGAGGGGGTATAGCCGCTATCATGCGCTGGTGTAGCTGGCCCTGACATTTTTACGGGCGGTCATGGCCACAATAATACAGCTTCCCAACATTCACCCACTTATGCTCTCCTTACGTTGCAGGTACATACCAGGAATGGAAATGGAGACTTTGTGGATGTCGTAAAAAAACGAAAAGTTGACGGAGCAGTTCACACCGTTGTCATGGCATAATACGTTACTAGTATTCAATGGATCTGAAATGAAGAGATTGTATAAACAGCTATAAACTGTCTGCCAGCAAAAGAAAACAAAGTTGATTTATTCCTATTATTCGACCATTTCTGTTTTGCAAATATCATTAGATTCAGATCCTGGTGCTCGCAACCGCTGCACGAAGATCTGAGGACATCCCATTACCGGTAACGTCAGAACGACCGAATGTGACATTGAGCATTCCGATCATCAGCTATCACGCGCTTCAGTGGGATAAAATTTGGAACCGAGAATTTTGTCCAAAGGAACTTCAAAGCGTAGTCTGAAATGGAAGTCGCCATTTTGAAATCGTTCCGTCAATCTCGATAAAGCTGCTTCTCGGCTAATCTGATGTCGACTTCGTGTCAGTCACTTTAATGGTCGATTAAAGTTAACGAAAGGTCGTTCATTTTCACGTGACCAACAATGTGATGTCCTCAGATCCGAGTGCAATAATCTTGAACTCGACGATAAACCTTCATTTTACCTCATCTTAGGCCGAACAAAGGAAAACCTTATCTATCGCCCTGACGAAGTTATCTTTAAATGTTGAGAAATGTAACGTTTGAAGGAAACATTGAACTTGCGGTAGCATCTGTCTCCCTTGTCCCACCCTTCCTGTATTTTGCTACATGTCGATCTGGTTCCGTTACCAACTCCGTCGATCCCACATAGGTAGGTTACGCTATTTTCAATGTAGCCGTCCACATTGTCAGGCAGAATCCCAGTGCTTTCAGTAGTGTTGAATGGGGGGCCGCACGTTACTGCAAAAGACGAGAGATCATTCGTGAGGTGATACCGTTTGTCCTGGTCTTCTTTAATGAGTGAGTGATCGAGTTAGATTTATTACAGCGGCAGTATTTCAGTCCCCATGTGGGATTCGAGGTTTCAATTGGTCCCCAGGAACCTATGCTTGTCTGAAGAGTTGACTACATGTATCGCGTCGTCAGACTCAGTTGATTGATTGATTCCGTGTGATCATACCAAGACGGCTTTGGACGTTGCTCTTAATATCAATCACTGGTTTTTCTGTTTATGAATCGATTATTTACAGGTCATTATGCTACAGCTGTGGTTTTGCCTAATGCACACACAAGAAATAAACGCATGGAACACACAAACAATCTTTCAGCCATATAGGGATCCAGTAAACGAAGTGTATGGCATTTGCAGTGCAAACTGACTTGCACATTGCAACAGTGAATGTGTTATACAACAATATAGATTTTGACTTGATTATCTGGTTTGTTTACCGGCCCTCGTCGCATGACAGGAGTACTGCTGTGCAGCGTCGGGTAACAAACACTTACTCTTTTTATGCACATTGTGTGTTACGAGTGCTACCGGTAGACAGAAGAGTTACATTTGGAAACCCAGGTTTTTATTCCCCCCGTATATTGCGATCACCATGTCAGCCGCCCGTTTTCCCTTTCAGGAACAAAACTCCAAAACCGTTAAATATTTTTTGTTGAAACTTGTTATACAGATCAGTCTTGTGGGAAACGGTTGCCTTTTAAAGAAAAAGGATTATATATATTTTTCATGACGACAAGTTGGATTATACTAAAAATGGGGAAAGAGCTCGTTTCCGGAGCAGAATTAAAAAAACACTAAATATTTCCAGATGAAATGTCCCACTGTACGACGGCGAAATGTAAATAATCGAGTCTGGGCCAGACAAGCAAGTGATTTATATTATGAGCAAGGATCCACGCCGTCGGGTTATGATGACAGCAGCCAACCGAGTCACCGAGGCTGACCACCCGATCCATTAAGTCGCCTCTTTCCATCAGCATATGTTCCTTTAGTCCTGTTCGAATCCGGGACCGCCTCCGTGGTCTAGTGGTAGAGCGTCCGCCCGGAGAACGGAAGGTCCGGGGACCGATCCCCGGTCGCGTCATACCAAAAGACGTTAAAAGATGGTACTTGTTGTTACCCTGTCTAGTGCTCGGCATTAAGGGGCTAAAACAAGGACTAGTCGGCTCGGAGTCGTGTTAAACTGCTGCATGGTATCTCAGTGGGCTAGCACTATAAATCGGCATCAGTCCGGACTTGTACAAGCAGCCACACACACACACGTGCGCGCATGCACGTCGCTATATAAGTGCAATAATGTTGGACGCGACGTTAAACCCAATTTCACCTCACCTTACCTCAAATCCGGAATCCCCTCGATTTAAACTAAAATCAGTAAGTATGGTTTTACGCCGCTTTCAGCAATATTCCAGCAATATCACGCCGGGGGACACCCGAAATGGGCTTCACACATTGTACCCATAAGAAGAATTGAACCCGGGTCTTCGGCGTGACAAGTGAACACCTTAACCACTATATATGCCACCCACCGCCTCTAAATATGAATTACATAATTATGACGTCCCCAGGTGAATTAAATGTTTCAGTCTAGCAATAGCGTATGCTAGTCGTTGAAGACGGTCACCATGACCTTCTACTGATACCATACGTACATAATTACATAGTATTACGTATTAAATAAAGTAACCACTACACGCATAAGAGAAAAAGGTACATTTGCAGTAAAGGTCAGATTGGAGAAAAATTTAAACATGCTTTACGAATAATCTTCACGGCGAACAAACTATTTCAGGTTATGATCCACTTCAGTTTACTGATCATTGTGTCAAAATGATTTCCCAGGGCTGTGAAAGAGATACGATAGCCATCTCATGTATCATTCATGATATGTACAAAAGTCCCGTGGTAAGAAATAATTTCCCAGCACCATGAAAGATCTATGATATTCTGCTCGTGTCAAAAGAACGTGCCAAAACGATGTCACAGGGCTGTGAAAGAGATACGATAGCTATCTCATGTATCATTCATGATATGTACAAAAATCCTGTGGTAAGAAATAATTTCCCAGTACCATGAAAGATCTATGATATTTTGCATGTGTCCGAACACCGCGTGGTTTCAAAACAACGTGCCAAAACGATGTCACAGGGCTATGAAAGAGATACGATAGCCATCACAAGCATCACATTTTTTTGAAGCAATTTGCAAGGGCAGCGCCGTAGGTCAAGTTCCGACAAAACCTTTAAGCATCCCCAATGATATTGAGCTACTTAACCATGTACTACCGACGAAAAATAAGGGAACTGATGAAGTGAGCGTGAAAGTGCAATGACGATAAATATCTGGCGTGGAAATCAATATGTGGTGTCCACCATGTTAGGCGATGTACCACACCTTGATAGCATACAGTTGCGTATGGTTGCCACGTTGTGATCTGGCATTGCACCACACCTTGATAGCATACAGTTGCGTATGGTTGCCACGATTTGGTCTGGCATTGCACCACACATTGATAGCATACAGTTGCGCATGGTTGCTACGATGTGGTCTGGCATTGCACCACACCTTGATAGCATACAGTTACGTATGGTTGCCACGATGTGGTCTGGCATTGCACCACACCTTGATAGCATACAGTTGCGTATGGTTGCCACGATGTGGTCTGGCATTGCACCACACCTTGATAGCATACAGTTGCGTATGGTTGCCACGATGTGGTCTGGCATTGCACCACACCTTGATAGCATACAGTTGCGTATGGTTGCCACGATGTGGTCTGGCATTGCACCACACCTTGATAGCATACAGTTGCGTATGGTTGCCACGATGTGGTCTGGCATTGTCCTCATGCATCACGAATTTTCTGCCGAAAATTCTGGCGAATTGGCTAACGACAGGAAGCAAACCGGCTTCTGTGTACTCGTGCATCAGGTGGTGTTCATGCATGATGTGAACTTTCATTGTCATCAGATATAGCATTCAGATGATACACCTCATGTACACCTCAACGATAGCTGCTTTCAAATCATTAGTCCCCTTATCTTTTGTCGGGAGTGTACTCTGAGAAGCTGCAGAATTATTTCATTGAAGATGACAAAGACTAGCGCAGAATATTACTTACGATTGCATACTGGCGCTTCACCTGTATAGTTGCCATCTTCGCATACTCGTGTACGATTCCCGGACGTTAAGATGAAGTTGTCCATGCATCTGTATGTCACAGTTACATTATCGGGAAATGTCCTGTATGTGTTCGGGACTGGTGGTGGGTCACCGCATTGGTTGAAAGGTACATCTGGAACAAGAATGGTTGCGAATGAGTTGATCCTACCGGCGCTAAAACAGTATTTAAGTTAGATCACGACGCGTCATCCTAATGTGAGAGGATATCCCAAACTAACGCAGGTCTTATAATGTTTGGTGCATCCAGTGAGAATGTGTTTGCTATAAAACCAAGTTTAATAATAGTGCCCAATCTGATGTTCTAACCCACTGTCATCGGATCCTTGAACCACCGAGGGACTAAATGCGCAGCGAATTGTGGCGCCTGAAACCACTCGGCCCCCCATGGCCCCCATATTTGTGTGTCATTAAATGCGCCAAAAGAATTTTTTTCGTCTCAAATCAGAAATATCTTTCGATTGTCTTATTCATATATAAATATATAAGTGAGAAAGTGAGTTAGTTTAACGCTGCGTTGAATGGTAGTAACTTGACGTCTCAGCCAAGGTAGGAAATCCCGAGGAGATGCAGGCCTTTGACGTTTACCATTTAGATGAAAACCCACGAGTATGAACATTGAATATGGATATATACACACCTAATCAGGGTGCACCGGGATACGAACCCTGATCATGGGTATATGGTACACCTATAGGACAGCGAATTGCCAACCTGTATCCTCTATTCATATATGAGATTGTATAATATAACCCTGGACGTTGTAGGATTGACTATTCGGATTTAGATTATACATTTATTACCCAGAGGGTTACAAGTAACTGAGTTCATAAAACTCGCATATGCACTGATGCAAATATCGCTTCTCGCGCCCCAGTGTATTGTTTCCGTCATCCCATTCTTATTGTGACATAAGATCGGAATGACGTCACACTTGAAACGACGTCAAAGCTGAATTGTGTGTTTCTTGGACAGCGGTGGTGATGCATTTTTCTAAAGGGGAACTTAAAAGGATTAAGAAATAATGGGTAATAAAGAAATGATTACACTAGCATGTGTGTCATACCGATTTTACGAAACTCGTGTAAGAATTCATGTATTACCCTCGCTCGGGAAATACACGAATTCTGATACTCGTTTCGTAAAATCAGTATGACACACATGCTTGTACAGTAATCTCTATATATACGTCTTATATCACTGTGAAAACTAATGACACATTACAACATGAGAAAAACAACAAAATAATTGTAATTAGGAAAACAACCAAACGAACATGTGTAACAAAGAAGTACTTACCGCCTTTTATGAGAAATGGTTCAAACACAATCATATTTACAATGAAAACTAAATGTCGAATGAAGCTCGTAGAAGCAGCCATCGCGACCATTCTCCAGACAGCACAAACACAGTCTGATCAGGATCCAGACCAGGTCTCCTGCATCATGAATTCAATACTGTGTATTAGATACCGTCCCAATGAAACGGAACTTACTAAAGTTACGTCAATGGAAACCGCGGGTGCTTTTGACAACAGTTCTGTAAAATTTGCTATTGATCTGAAAATGATTATGCAAGAAAAACACAAATAAAATTAATTAATGTTTCTCTCAAAGAGCTTATTTTTCAAAATGATCAGGTCCCCGGGTTTTTCTCTCTCCTTTGTATCAGTAGGCTTAAAACTTTATAACTTGGACAAGGAAAGATGTTTTCGTTAAAATGCCGACAATATTGACGCATATCAAAAATAAACGTTTAACGAACATAACCATTCATTATTGAATATCAATCAAACGGCTATACTTCTTTACTTTCATTATTTTGTTCTGTTTTCACGAACTTTTACTGGCCTAAAACACGTATTAGTGAGCGAGTGAGTGAGTTTGGTTTAACGCCGCTTTTAACAGTATTACAGTAATATCGCGGCGTGTCAGCTTAATGTGGGAGGAAAGCCCGAATTCGAAGTGATGCAGGTTTTCGGTGAAACCCACGAGCACGGGTATGGTGCTGACAAACCTAGAAACATAATCGGGGCGAACTGGGATTCGAACCCACAATCATAGGTTTCTGGCGTGTCCAAAGAACGCAACTCTGCACAGCGAATTGCGGCGCCTTAGACGACTGGGCCACCCGTGCCCCCTAAAACACGTATTAAGTACATCGAATCCGACATCAGAATATTATGGAAATCAGAATGATGAACATTTATACGTCAATATACATAAAACGTCAACGACATAATCCGTGTCGATTATCTGCCGAAAAAGATTCAATAAATGGCAAAATAATCGTTTTGTCTTTGTGAAAATCTGTGATGACACCAGATTTTAGCGAATAAGGTAAGCATGACCTACTCTTTCGTTATCAGTCGACACTCACACAATTTGCATAAAAATAAACGTTCCTGTGTTCACAACAGAAGGTTGCATCTTTTCAAATCTGACACACTGATGCAACAGTCTTTTAATGTGAGACTCACATGTGACTACAGGCAGACAGTTGGGTAAGTGGTTCCGGAATTACCTTAGACGAGAATTATTAGCCTGTGCATGTCTTTGTCATACTAAAATACATTTGGGGTTTATTGAATGGAAATACCATAATTGTATATTACGAACATTTAGCAAGACAGTTTTGTTTTATCATATTTATTTGAATGCATGTTAAAGATGAAGCGCCATGGTGTTTAACGTAGCGTCCAAGATTATTGCACTTATATAGCGACGTGCATGCACGTGTGTGTGTGGCTGCTTGTACTATTCTGGACTGATGCCGATTTAAAGTGCTAGCCCACTGAGATACCATGTCGCAGTCTAAAAAAATACCCCACTCAGACATTGTCGGACCAATCCCTGTTTTAGCCCCTTAATGCCGAGCGCCAGACAGGACATCTTTTAACGTCTTTTGGTATGAAGCGGCCGGGGATCGAACCCCGGATCTTCCTCTCTCCGGCGGACGCTCTACCTCTAGACCACGGAGGCGGTCGAATGCATGTTAAAGATTTCCTACCGCACTGTTTACAGAATAACACATTCGGACTGTTGTAAGGAAACTTTGCATGGGGTCTAAATTGTTTATTAATGCATTAGTACTTTGTAAAATGGATATCATCATCCAAGGTTGCTTTATTGTCAGAGATAGAAGATGATCCGTCTGTGCTCGCGGATGTCAGTATTTGTTTCTTGTTTGTAATTATGGGGATTAATGCATCAATGATCTGATTATGCACTCTATTCATTTGCAAACGTCCTGGCAGACCAGTCATGCAAGGGAAATAAGGTCATGGCTATTTCCTTAACGATCCATTACCATCCCCCATCACCTCACACCTTTTAACATGCTACAGTTATTTTTCAAGGGCTCCCATTATGACATGTGACACCAAATATGCTGCTATGTATGAGCCAGCGGATTATATCCTTCATGATGAAAATACTAAATCCCAGAAGCCCACGCTTTCATTTCACAACCGCATCAACTTGCTAACAATTATTCATTTGGTTTTAGAACGAACTGTAATGCGTGGCCATGTTGTATTTGATACGGACACAGCAGATAGAATTTCCTATTGTGGCAACCAGGTGTTCGTTAAAACTTATTGTTTTATTTGATATTTTTCAGGTTCAAAGGTATTGTCTGAATAAACTGAGTTTACAAATCGTTTGTCTGCATCAATTGTTTGGGTGTGTGTTGACATCCATCAACCAGGTCAGCGAGCCTTAGTCGCCGCTTCCGACAAGCATGGGTTGCTGAACATCAATTCTAACCCGGATCTTCACATTTTACGGAATCAATTAATTGAGTGAGTGATTGAATGCTGTTAATCGACGGAGTCCAGAATATTTCAGCTACGGTCACACGTTTCTCAAAATAGTCCCTACGTTGGATTCATATTGTACAAACGCCGTGATATAACTGGAATAATGTTAAAAGCGGCGTTAAACACAACTCACTCACTCATATTGTATAATATCATTAAGGTCAACCATAATTTGTTCTGTGTTTATGGTTTCTTGTCAATCAGCCAATTATTACCCAATCCTTATACATGTAACAGTTTAAGTCTACCAGGACCCTCCTCGTTGTTATCTTCTTAACCCTATCACATATTTTCTAAATCCACTTCCGTTACATGAGCAATTGTAATGTTTATGTGTACGTGTTTAACGTTCATTTAACTGTATAAAATGTGCTGCTTCGTGTAGATATAATTAGGTAGTCTGATATTCCGACTGTTTGTGCATGGACAACGCGAGCAGGATGTGCCGCTCGGAGGAAACGCCTGGGGGTTGAGTTGGAAGTCCGTTCACCACATGTTGGTTTGTGCTGGAAACCCTACTGGTTATTGTGCTTGTGGTGTCAGAGCAGGTTTGTAATAAATGTTCCGGGACCGTGATACCGATGTTGTTCATCATTATCCCAAGAGCTAACTACCTGAAAACGGCACGGGGCCACAATTATTGCGTTGAACAACATGTAGGCAAACAGGTGGGGTTCATTATGAGCATCGATATACGCAATCAGTACGAGACGCAATCAGCAGAGTCTCAAAGCCTGACCACCAGTTCCGTATATTACTTACATTGGCTCATACACGAAGCATGGGGAGTTGGGGTCCTAATCCAACGCGGAATACCTTCGGGCATCATTATAAAATGCGGTCTTAGCAATGCTTGGATATCAAGGCAAACGGAGTTCACATTGATATATGATTTAAGGGGTGGTAAAAATAAAGGTCACGTTGTCTACTAGAGGTGAGGTGTAATGGGGTTTAACGTCGCGTCCAAGATTATTGCACTTATATAGCGACGTGCATACACGTGTGTGTGTGGCTGCTTGTACTAGTCCGGACTGATGCCGATTTAAAGTGCTAGCTCACTGAGATACCATGCCGCAGTTTAACATGAATACCCCAACTCAGACACAGTATACTGACTCCGAGCCGACCAGTCCTTGTTTTATCCCCTTAATGCCGAGCGCCAGACAGGGTAACAACAAGTACCATATTTTAACGTCTTTTGGTATGACGCGGTCGGGGATCGAACCCCGGACCTTCTAGACCACTAGACCACGGAGGCGGTCGTTGTCTACTAGAAATGTCACACGACGAGCTGGTTAAATGCCTTTTTGGCCCCACTGGAAATGTGAAATATGATACATGTATTTAGGGACAATTTTGAAATATTAGTACGGTTATGAATTGTGCAGATCCATTGTGCCCAATGTCATTGTGAAAGATGTATATATAGGGATAATTTGTATCATGGTCTACAAGTGCCTGGATCCGGACAGAGAATAGGTTTCAGCAACCCATGCTTGCTCTAAGAGGCGACTATGCTTGTCGTAAGAGCCGACTGTAAACGGGTGGTCAGGCTTGCTGTCTTGGTTTAAGCATGTCATTGTATCCCAATTGCGTAGATAGATGCTCGACCCATGAAGACCCGGGGTCGAACAGGTCTTTAGCAACCCATGCTTGCCATAACAGGCGACTACGCTTGTCTTAAGAGGCGACTAACGGGATCTGGTGTTTAAACTCGCTGACTTGGTTGATGCATGTCATTGTATCCTAATTGCGCGGATTGATGCTAATGATATCAATCACTGGATTACCTGGTCCAGACTCGATTATTCACAGACCGCCGTCAAAAAGCTGGAATATTGCTGAGTGCGGCGTTAAACAACAAACAAACAAACATCAGATGATGTGTTGATGTGACTGTAGAATTAATTAAGAAAAGCTTATTTACAACCATGGCATCAGACATATCTACGCGTAAAGTAACAGACCGCTATTGCATCTTATATATTACGTAACAATGTTAACGAGTAAAAGTCGGCAGTGGTTTAAAAAGGTTGTACCACTCGCACCTCCGTGTTCAACACAGTATCCTTGTGGCCTAAGCCATGCTACTTAACCCAACCCTTATTATCACGTTTCACAAGTAGATAGTAATACGTCCGACCGACAATAGCTGCGTGATCATCATCGACGGGCGCTATAATATCCCGTTATTCCGTTTATGAAATAGTACATATCAGACAGAAATACCACTCCGAACAGAAGCCCCATCACTGACATCGCGATGTAAGCTATTCCTTTAGATGATTTTCTCTCGTCTGCAAGACTTCCCTTTGTCATTGTGTAGGATTTCAAGCTATTTGTGTTCAAAATAAGAGTTTTGGTTATTTGTTTCACAATGTCTTCCTGGTCCACTTGTTCTTTGTGGAGGCATCGACAAGTACATGCTTCATAGGTTGTCCTTTCGTATTTAGTCACTGGTAATGCTGTGGGTGTTGGCGACGTCATCGTCAAGGGTAACGAGATTTCTGGAACAAGAGAAATTGATATGTTTCTGACATGGACATTTTCATATTGTTCTTACGACTTATCGAATAAAAAATGACAAAAAATAAACTCTGACCATGAAAACTAAACAAAATGC